ACACACAGCACCCTTACACACACAGCACCCTCACACAGCGCACTAATAGCACGCGCACACACACACACACACACAAACAGCAGTATATGTATGTGTGTGTATGTATATATATATATATATACATGCGGCGTGTGTTGGTGCTTTAGGGTGCGCACACACAGCCCTTATCTCCCCACTACAGTCCCTTTTACCCCTGCCCAACCGCAGACGGAAATTTGGGGAATTTGGTGTTAGGCTAACTAGAGGTTAACGTTAAAAAAAGTTTTAAAATAAGCTTTAAAAAGGTAAAAAAAGTTTTACAGGCGGAGCCTAACTGCCGAGCCGGGAGGTTGCAACTCGCCTGAGCTCTGGCAAAAAAGTGCCCAAACAGGGGTAAATACCACTTGTACCGAGCCCATCCACAGCCAGGCTACTCACCAGAGGCTGGAGAGACACCCGGTGAACAAGTACACCACGACGAAAGTGTCAGCTCCGAAATCGGCGGCAACTCAAACCGCGGCCTACCACGTGTGCGCAGACGGGAGGTGGCCAGCCCCGCCGATCAGGTACCTGAAGGCTTAAAGGCCAGTGTTGACCCCACCAGAGACCACTGCACCCCCCCCCCCACGCCGGCAGGGGTAATTGCTAGCACCCCTAACAACTTACAGCAACTATGGGGCGCAAACACAAGAGGCTAATGCAGATGGAAAGGCAAGCACTTCAGGACATAAGGCTATCCTTCGAGAGAGCAAACCCGCCAGAACCCGCAAGGGTGGCACTGGCACCTGACCGTTACAGTGAGCAAGGGGCCTCAGACGACTCCCCTGGAGAGCTGGAATCCAGTAACCCTCCCTACCCAGCTGGTGTATACCTGCAAGCTGACTCAGATGAAGATTCCTCCCCATCCACAAAAGGCGACATTAAAAAGTTACTAGTGGACCTAAGGGAGGTGTGGAAGTCAGACCTCCGAGAAACACAAGCTGACATAAAGGCCTTGCAGCATACAGTATCAGAGGCTGAGGTCAGAGAACAAGCTCGGGATACTCAACTCAAATTGACTACACAACGGGTGGAGTGTCTCGCCTCACAGGTCAAACAACTGCACAAAATAGTGACCACACTGGAGTCCCGGCACCGAAGACGAAATGTGCGCCTGAGAGGCATACCTGAACAGGTAGAAGGGGGAGACATACTGTCATATGTCCAAAAGCTGATTATCTCAATGGGAATTCAAAAGGCGATAGACACCCCATGCATCCTAGCTGCCTTTCGGGTGCGCAAAGCTGCAGCGGCACCAGCGGACGCACCAAGAGACATTATTGCAACTACCAAAGATATTGCGGTGCGATCCGCCATCCTGAATAAATCCAGAACAATGGGTCGAGTGCATTTCGAGGGCCATAACCTATCCATCTACAGTGACCTCCCATTCCTTGTTCTAGCAGAAAGGAGGCAGCTGGCACCGGTGGCTAAGAAGTTGCGTGACTGCTCAGTCAAGTACCGCTGGAATGCAGAAGGCTCCCTGGCCGTCACACGAGGCGCGGACACATTCACCCTGACATCCTCGGATGACCCAGAGACGCTCTATCATAAATTAGGCCTATTGGCCACCAACGCATTGGAGGGTGCAACCAGGACAGATACTCCACGTGAGAAAAGAACCTCAGGAAGAGCACACCAGCGGAGAAGTCCGACTAAACAACAAGTACCTACCGTCAGGGACAGTTCGGACACTCCATAGCGATTGCTAATAGCCGGACTATACACTAATTATACTGACTTATGTGGTCAACCGCTACGCCCAACCTAAGGACCAATGCTATTGTTTTTGACTGACGCCTTTCATTTATCCTTTGTCCCTCTCATATGTCACTTGTCCATGTTCTACATCTCTTGCTAACATTAGTGTGTTTGCTGAACCACACTGAACCGTATACTCTCTATTTGTTTATCCCTCGCATATAATGGCACAGAGATATACTTGCTTATAACTCTAATAAAATATAAATTTAAAAAAAAAAAAACTGTAGACCAATATAGCTGTACTGAAAACAGATAAGTAGGAGACATTTTCAAATTTGTCTATAGTGACCTAAAATTTCACATTTATACTGAATTATTGAGCATTCACATATTTTTAATAACCCAGATATTAAACCAGAGGTATTTCACTGATGTGAAGTTGGTATGTGGGTTTATATGATTATTTTAACATGAAGCTAATTTGTTCACAGTTGTGAAAATGTAACAATTCTGTACAATTTCTATAATGACATCTTTCGTTTGTAATAAAATCAGGTGGCTCCTAAAAAAAAAAAATAAAAAGTTTTACAAAAATGTTTTAGTAACGTTTAAGTAAAAAAAATTAAGGATTAACGTTTATTTATTTTTTAACCCTCAGCGGTTCAATTTATTTAATTAATTTAAATATTTTATAATTATATATATTTTGCTAGCTGGAGTAGGTGGGAGTTATGGGAAAAGGGGGAATTTACTGTTAGTGCTGCTTACTGTTAGTTAGGGGTTAACGGTAAAAGAAAAGTTTAGAAAAAAAATTTAAAGTGTAAAAAAAGTTAAAGTGTAAAACATTTAATAAGTAAAAAAAAAGTTTAAAAACGGATTTTACAAAGTAAAAAAAGTTTTACAAAGTAAAAAAATACATTAAAAAATGCGCATTACTACTACACTTGGTACAAGCTAGCGGAAAAATGATCCCACGCTAAGGTTCAAAATATGCCTTTTGAATTACCCTGGGATGTCTTCTTTAAGAAATGGTATGCCTTTATGGTGTAATTGGATTATATAGCCTGGTAAAATACTCTAAAATGGGACATGGGCACAGTGTAAAAATGTAAAGTTTGAAAAGAACTGGAATGGCTATGTCCCAAATGTGCCCCTTCAATATCCACATATGCCTGGCAAAGGTACATACGGGGGTATTGCTGTACTCAGCCGACATAGCTGACACTTAAAAACCTTAACTTGTCACGTCTCTTTTACAGCAGTGTAACTTCACAAAATAGTCTCTAGGTCATACATTGGGCATATTGTTTTACTCAGAAGACTTAGCTGAGCATAATTTGGGGGGTTTGAACTTAGTGGCACATATGAAATGTACAAAATGCCCAGCAAAAATGTAATCTGTATGTAAAAAATGCCCCAAATTATTTTTTTACCACATACTTTGGCATATATTGGTGAAAAAATGGGGCATGTTAAGGCACAATATGCACCATATGAGATACCTTGGAGTGTCTACTTTTACAAATGGTAGGCCTTTGTGGGGTTTTTATGAACAGTCAAACTGCTATGATACCCCAAATTGAAGCATAGGCCCATTAAATCCGCCTCTCAAAATTCTACTGTAAATGTTGAAACGGACAGGTCTCCTATATGGCACTGTAGCTTCACGAAATAGTGCCAAAGACATACAATGGGGGTATCGTTGTACTCAGCAGAAGTAACTGAACACAAAATAAAACTTTGTACAGGAATAGCACACACCAACTTTACAAAATACACGAGACGTTCTTTGTTGTAAGTTTGTGTGCCAAAAACCCCAAAAAACAAAATTTTACTCCAATATTTAGCAGAGATTGGTGGTGAAATGGCTATGTAGAAAGTGTCAAAACAACCTTAGGACAATAGCCTGTGATGTCTACTTTATATAAATATATATTTTTGTGTGGCAATTTTGTTTGCATTTATGGCTATTAAGCTTACAAGACAAACATACCAAATTCTAAAATCGCTCCACATTAAAAGTTTATTTTTCTCCTTGTGCTTTGTGACCTGTAACTAACAAAAAATAAATAAAATCCCAGACACATTATATATTCTGTAAATCAGAACAACTAAATGAATTTATTTTTAATTACTTTCTTTAACCTGCACTAATTAGGCACACATTATTATTGCAAAAACTGTACAAAAAACACAAAATTATTCTTTTTTTTTTTGCATTTTTCTGTATTTTTAAAATAATAAATAAGCATTTATATATATATATATATATATATATATATATATATATGTTACATCAAATTAAAGACCTTTCTGTCCTTTAAAAAACAGTATATAATATGTGTCAGTGGAATAAACGAGAGAGATGCAAATTGCAGTTGAACGCATACAGCGAGTAAATGCAAAGATTGCTTGTGTCATTAAGCGTAAGACAAGCTTCTGAAGCTGTGTCCTTAAGGGGTTAAGAAAACAATGAATAGTTTTTTTTTTAATATTATTTTATAATCACTGCTCTGTGTTAAACAGAATTAACACGGTGAAGACAAGCATGAGCAGTGTCCATTAAAGCTATTTTAAAACTCGCACTATAAAGGTCAAATATAAATTCAATGTATATGTCTTCTTACCTATATGTGGTGCGACATGAAATCTCAGTACTGTGTACCTGACAAATAATGTCTACAGTATTTAAGGAATAAATTAAAAACTACTGCCATTTTACCTATACCTAAATTTCTCTGAACTGAATATTAATGAACTTGCCATTCTGTACTCATATCAAGTGGTAACTTTGCATCATGCAATGGTTTAAATAAATGCTATGGGTTTTTTTTAACGAGGAATGTGTGGCAGGTCAGTGACATTCGAAGTTCCATGTGAAGCGGAAACAATACATTGAACACTGACAAGGCGATACATTATTATATCAGGAGAGGAATTGCTGTCTGTGTACAATTACACAATTTGCCATCAGTGAACACGTGGATAAGGGGATACTTTGGTTTTGTTTTTTTCCAGCACTCTGGTCTGCTGGTAATTCATATTTGCCATCAGTAGTCATGGCATCAGAGGACACAACGCTCTAACTGTACTTCCGTTCAGCCGGCTACGTGTTTCCCGATGGCTATTGGGAGTTGGAGTGCTCTGCCTGAATCATCATATTGTGTTTGAAGCGTCAGAACGTTGAATAAACTACACTTCCCTTGAGCCTCTGCGAACGTTTGGTAGACGTGTCACGACCAAGTCGCTTCCCTTAATGATATTCCAGTGCATTGAGTGGAGTTGTGTGCTGGGCGGAGACGCTGTTGGTTGAGTGCGCTGGTGAATTCTCCGCTGCCGGTACACCGGTCACTATGCACTCCGCACTGGCCGTGGGCCTGGTATTTGCCGGCTGCTGCAGCAATGTGGTATTTTTAGAACTTTTATCCAGGTGAGAGAAATAGAGGGTGACATTCATTTACTGGACACCAGGCTGTCTGATATGTCATTCACTCAGTCAATGTGTCATTCATTCACCCAGTGACTATGCCAGTCATTCACCCAATGACTGTGCCATTCATTCACCCAGTGACTGTGCCAGTCATTCACCCAGTGACTGTGCCATTCATTCACCCAGTGACTGTGCCAGTCATTCACCCAGTGACTGTGCCAGTCATTCACCCAGTGACTGTGCCAGTCATTCACCCAGTGACTGTGCCAGTCATTCACCCAGTGACTGTGCCATTCATTCACCCAGTGACTGTGCCATTCATTCACCCAGTGACTGTGCCAGTCATTCACCCAGTGACTGTGCCAGTCATTCACCCAGTGACTGTGCCAGTCATTCTGCCAGCTATTATTTTATTTGATCAGTCTGCCAATTATTCATTATGTCTGGCATACATTCACTCATCCAGTCAGTTTATCTGCTATTCATTTATTTAGTCTGTCTTCCATTCATTCAGCCAGTCTCATTCAACCTATGTGTATTCATTTGGCATAGTTTCTGTTCTAGCAGGGGTTTTCTCTCCGACAGCCCATCAAGGGAGCTCTTTTGCATTAGTCACACTTTTATTGTGAGATAATGGGTTATCTACGCTGCATTAGGAGACTTATTCGGTAAACCTGTAGAAACACCCATGAATTAATTTCAAAGCATCAAGTGTAAAAAAAATAGGTGTGTCTTTCTGGTGATGATTAATCATAAAGGAGTTTATGTACAAAAGTGTTGTAATCAGTTTTGGAATTTTTTTCTTTGCACATGCACTACATATAAAACTCAACCACTGACTTTTTTTAGTCCGTCACTGTGCCAGTCATTCAGCCAGCCACTGAGCCAGTCAGTCACTGTCACTCATTGATTCAGTTTGCTTGCCATTTATCAGTCACTGTGTCAGTCGTGCAGTCCGTCTGTTTGCCATTCAGTCATTCGATTTCTGTGTCAGGCATTCGTTTGGTCTCTGTGTCAGTCAGTCTACCAGATATTTAGTCACTGTGTCAGTCACTCAGTCTGTTTGCCACTCATTCAGCCACTGTGTCACTCATTTAGTCAGTATGTCACTGTGTTAGTCATTCACTCACTCTCCGTCATTCACTCAGTCTGACTAACATACTCGTTCAGTAACTTTGTCAGTCAGTCCCTGTCATTCATTCCATGATTGTCAGTCATTCATTCAGTCCCTGTGTTAGTTATTCATGAAACACTGCACATCCAGATGACCAATTTCCACATGTGTTGTCAATTCTGTGCATAAAATCCATCTGTTGTCGGCGCACACTGCTTCGCCCTTGCAGGTAGAACTCTAATTTCCCAATCCCATCCACAATTTTTTTTTTTTTGTGGAAAGTCTCTTCCTCCTCAGAGAGAGCCTATGCTCCCTGAGTTGGTAAAATAGTCCAATTAAAGTCTTCTCTATGCAAAGCCTTTGGGCACTAATGCGGCTCCGTATCGTCAAAACAGGGGGGGCGTCAGGGATATTATTCTATCCTCAGTGAAAAAGGTTTGAAGAAACCTTTTAACAGAACAAATGTTACTAGAATTTATTTAAATGTAACTTTCTCTTTTTATAACATTAAGTTCTAGTTAGTATAACTGTTGAAATTGAATTTGTGCTTTAGGTATTAGGCCTATAAACCTAATGGTAAATATCTCAAGATAGCTCTATGTTAAAACTACTCTGACAAGTTTCTCAATTGAGCTTGGTTTCTATTAGCTTAGTTGGCAACAGGGTATATGTCAAGCAGATCGTTTGTTCAAACTAACAGTTCATTCATCCTTGACCAGTTTGACAGTTGTGATTCAAGAACATTGGAGACACACACTGGCTAATTGTACCCGAGAAACCATTAATGCCATGGTTTCCTTTTTCACATAAATCTGAAAGCTAAATCCCTGTATTATGTGAACATTATTATTGTTTTGAGTTACCATAATCTAGAAATTAGTGTATTACAAATATTCTAAAAGCAGATTAATTTGCATACAAAGCTCCTGATTTCAAACTATTTTAGTGTGATATGTGTATATATAAAAAATACTTATTTTTATCACAATCTACTGAAGGTTGAAAGGTTATACAGATTTTAATTTGATTTAAAGAAACACATCAAACACTGCAACCTACTGTGTAGTGGCTATGGTGTGTTTGAAATGTCTCATTAATATTACAATCTTCTTCTATGACATTTGTGTACTTCTACAGGAAATTTCCAGGATGTGGAAACATTGTGACGTTTGCCCAGTTCCTGTTCATAGCTGTAGAAGGTTTCATCTTCCATGCAGACTTCGGCAGGAGAAAGCGAGCTGTCCCAATAAGGTACTGGAGGTCGTGACATCAACAATTTGAATTCCAAATCAATCATAGTATATCAGCATATTCAAAGCTAGCACTACTTTGTCTTGTGGACAAGACAAAATGTGGCAATAAATGGAGTTTCCCGTGCCATTTCCCATCTGCAGGTAATTGCTGATGTGAACCAGCGTCTCTATTTTACAACGTCTAATAGATGCCTAAGGCATCTCATTGTATCTGCACATGGTCACTTGTAAAAGATTACGGGGTTTCCTGGCATGCGAAAACCAGGGACCAAGAATAAAGATAGTGGAGCACTGTAGAGAGAAATTAAGGTAACTATATCTACCATCCCTCACCTGCACAGGTTAGCATGAAATGAAAGAGGACAAAGCGCAGACTGACAGCTTTAAATTGAGGATGTTTTTGTATCTATGAACTATGAACAATGTGAGCATTACAGAACTCTGTGTCCTGCTCAGCTCTTTTTGTGTCTAGATAAGTTTTATAACTTCACAATTAGCTATTGTGTAAGCAAGCTTACAGAAAGTATAGGGTTTAGGTGGGGCATTGTTAAAGCAGTGCATGAGGGCACACGCCCTTGCACAGCATTCATCTGAGGCATCCGTAGGGTGACACAATGACCCAAAACTCAGAAGCGCAATGGAGAAAAGTGATATATTTTTTTTTTCCTTGTCTTCTGTAAAAGCTGCAATAGATTTTACTGGAATGACACAACATGGAGCTGTCATATTCCAGAGTTCTACTTTAAGGAGCTACAATAAACAGAGCTTTGTAACAGAAACAACTCGAAAGACAACTGTAGCAGGTGAGCAAATAATGATTTCAGTTGTAATAAACAAACAAACAGATGCCTAATAGAACAATGTCTAATACTCCAAAAGCTATGAGTACCAGAAAAACCAGTCTCTACAAACACACGTGAAAACAAATAATTTTATAGGTTTGTCAATTTTATTGGACTCAAATAGTCAGTGATACAAGAACTAAACAATTAAAAACCCAAAGTAGTCTGGGCTGCTCTATCCTTTTTAAGAACATAGCTACAATTACTCAAATATGAAGTGAGGTATATAGTATAGGCAAAATAAAATAGTCAGACATGCAAGCTGTGTGTGTCTGTGTATGCCTAACCCATTGATGGATCCCCCTATGTAAACTGATATGTTGTCAGGAAACATCATAAATACAACAGAAACAGAAAAGTCTCAAGTAGCAACAAGTAATGTAACAAAAATAGTTGTTACAATGTGACCGTCTGCCTCCCTGCTTAAATCTAATTCAGATTGCAATATGAGTAAAGTGTTCTCACAGAATCCAATAATGTTACTACGTGACCCAAGTTCACATATACAGTGGTACCTCGGTTTACGGATTTAATGCTTTCTCCGGGACGTTTTGTATTGCGAAACGTGGTTTCCCATAGGAATGCATTGAAAAACAATTGATCTGTTCCGGAGGTCAGAAAAAAGTAAAAATGAGCTGGCTTGGAAACCAACCCACAATGCAGAACACACAGTAAAAGGCGTGCAAGCGACAAAGCTCAGCTCCCTACCTCTCCACCGCTTGAGAAATGCACCCAAAACGTCCCAAAACCTTTGAAAAAAAAATGTCCACAGTGGCCCCAAAACTCAATGTAAAAACCGCTCCAACACCTCCACACTCGACGCCACGTGCTACCCACAGACTCCAGCATGCACGGCGGTGGCGCTATAAACCTCCCAGGTGCAATTCATCCTGGGGAAACCGAGGCATTATTTTCAATGGATTTTCATTTGTAAACCGAAAATGGTTAACCGAGGCGTTTGTAAACCGAGGTACCACTGTATTTGTAAACGGATACAAGGTGTAGGTGCTCGCTATGTACTTAAGCAATGGATAGAGGCTGCAGATTATCACCCAAGTTATCCCCAACCTTGTGGAAATACAAAATAGACAAAAACAAAAAAATCGTATAACCCACGTATAAAACCTATATATTTTTAGGTGGAATCACCCATAAAAAGGTGTGTGTGTGTGTATTTGTGTGTGTATATATACATATACCCTGTTCCAAATTATTATGCAAATTATATTTTTCTCATTTACCAAAATAATTGATGTAAATAACAGTCAGCATAATTCTCATGTTCTCAACTATCAAGAGTACAATTCAAATTTTATTGAACAAACCTAATGATAACACTTTTTTTTTTTTTTAAAAACATAAACTTACAATGCACAGTAAGTTTCAAAACACTTTATAGGTTGTAAAGAACTAAAAAATGTAATTTGTTGTTTGCAGCATATTTACTGAAATTAAAAGCTATTTCAATCAAACTTATAACAACATTTTAACAGGTCACGTTACATTTTAACATAGGACCCCTTATTTGATAGCAGCTTCACAAGTCTTGCATCCATTGAACTTGTGAGTTTTTGGACAGTTTCTGCTTGAATTTGTTTGCAAGATGTCAGAATAGCCTCCCAGAGCTGCTGTTTGGATGTAAAACTGCCTCCTACCATCATAGATCTTTTGCTTGAGGATGCTCCAAAGGCTCTCAATAAGATTGAGGTCAGGGGAGGATGGAGGCCACACCATGACTTTCTCTCCTTTTATCCCTATAGCAGCCATTGATGCAGAGGTATTCTTTGCAGCGTGAGATGGTGCATTGTCATGCATGAAGATGATTTTATTACGGAAAGCATAGTTCTTCCTTCTGTACCAGGGAAGAAAGTGGTCAGTCAGAAACTCCACATACTTTGTAGAGGTCATCTTTACACCTTCGGGGACCCTAAAGGGGCTGACCAGCTCTCTTCCTATGATTCCGGCCCAAAACACGACTCCACCACCGCCTTGCTGACGTCTCAGCCTTGTTGGAACAGGGTGGCCGTCCACCAACCATCCACTACTCCATCCATCTGGACCATCCAGGGTTGCATGGCACTCATCAGTGAACAGGACTGTTTGAAAATTAGTCTTCATGTGTTTTTCTGCTTGTGAGCATTGGTAAGTGGTGGCTGAATAGAAGGTTTATGCACAGTTGCAAGATTCTGGAGGACTCTACACCTTGATGTCCATGGGACTCCAGAGACACCAGCAGCTTCAAATATCTGTTTGCTGCTATGTAATTGTATTTTAGCAGCTGCTCTCTTGATCCGATGCATGGATCTGGCAGAAATCTTCCTCAATGTGCCTTTATCTTCACGAACCTGTCTGTGCTGTGAATCAGCCACAAATCTCTTAATAGTGCGATGATCACGCTTAAGATTTCGTGAAATATTTAATGTTTTCATACCTCGTCCAAGGCATTGAACTATTTCACTCTTTTCGGCAGCAGAGAGATCCTTTTTCCGTGCTCTGTTTAATAATGTGGAACACCCTCCTTTAGTATTTTTTCCTTAAATTGGGCTCACCTGGCAATCTAATTATCACAGGTGTCCGAGATTTTCAGTGATCAAAAGAGCCCTGAGACACAATGCCATTCATGAGTTAAACTGAAAAACAAAATATTTAATCTTTGTGACACTTGAATAGAATTTGCATAATAATTTGGAACAGGGTGTATGTAAACAAGGCCTTGTTTGATGCTGAATCTCTCTAAAAAAAAGAGAGAGAGAGAGAGAGAACAGACAATATTAGTGCAATATTTTTTATTTTTTTTAATATGGGGTAGTGTTTAACAAAAGCACACTCACACTTCCGAGAGCTACCTAGAGCTCTGCTGTTATTAGCGTGGGAGGTATAATCCCCGTTTAAGGATATATGTTCAGCAGTAGTGATGGTATTTCCTCAGTAAAGTGCAGTATGCGGAGACATAAACAGGAACATCCAATAGCGTTATATGTATGGCACAAAGTTCACATATACAGTAGTAGTATTTTACTCACATTTTTTTTAGAGCATCGACCTGTTCTAGTATGGTGGATTGTTGGTGGTATGATCCCCACTTGGGATATGCAGGAACAAAGCGTAGTAAAAATCAGGAAGCCAAAAGGGTGCAAAGTAAATTTTAAATAAATTACTACATCATGGCATACCATTTGCAGAAGTAGACAACCAAGGGTATTCAATTTGGAGTATTCTTGAGGATTAAAATATTCCATGTACACATATATTTGTGTAGCATGGGAAAAAAAGGGGTGAAATCAAAAAGGAGGTATTGGATGTTGAAAACAGTCTAACAAGATAAACCGATTTTCAAGGAAATGAAAGGGGAAGGAAAAAGCGGTTTACTGATGAGCGAACGTCTCCAAGTTTAAATCCCATTCCCCAAAACTCAAAATGTTAGCTTGAAAGAATCCCTCTGAAAAACCACCCTATAATCATAAAGCCACCTGCCTAACACACTCATCTCAACTACCCATCGCATTTGTGCCCATAAAGTGACTACAATAAATCAAAGCAAGAAAAGTGCTCGATGTGCATTTCAAAATTTCAAAGCATTAGGGGGCATGGCCTAGCAGCGCATGGAAGCGGTCGTGTAAACTGTGAGCTCCTCCAATCCCGGGCTTTCACAGTGTGAAATACAGCCATACACACAAAGTGCCTTACCTATTAAAGGATACCTTCCTCTGCCTTATGGTGATGAAATCCGGTAAAAAAAAACTCTGGCAAAAAACGTTACACTTACATCTAACTCTGCCGCAAGTGCTGATACAGAGAGACCAAGATGGTGCCAACGGGCCACGATCTTCCACCTCCGGGGACAGCCAGAGCAGCTCCACTCCCCCGCGCCAGAACCCTGTCACAGATGCCTCTGTGAGTAATATGCTGCGAGACCTGAAAGCAGCCATACACACAGACTTTATGAAGATAGCCTCTGATATCAGAGCAGATATCCAGGCCGTTGGAGACTGGACGGCACACCGGGAAGAAAAGACAGAAGGGTTGGTGGAAGTACACAACTCCCTAGCAGATGCACACTCTGCAGTAGCAGAAAAGGTGAAATTCCGGGAGGGGAAAATAATGAAGACCGCGACAGGGGAAATAGCAGGCTCTGCGGGGTACCCGAAACTATAAGGCCACAAGACCTGTCACACTTTGTCCAAGAGTTATTCAAAACTCTCATCCTCAAGCTGGAAGAAATCACAGGCTTCCACAACCGAGACACCTTCCCCCAACAACACCCAGAGATGTGATTACAAGAGTGTAATGCAGGCCGCCAGGATCAACACAGCTCTCCCAGGAAAATTTGCAGACATCACGCCGTTCATTGAGCTATCTTCAGCCACCATTTATAAACAACGCACGTTTGCGCCCATCACCTCAGCTCTCTGAGTTACAAATGTGGCCTACAAGTGGGGATTGCCGGCTAAATTATTGGTCCAACGGAATGGCACAGACAAGATTTTCACACCTTTATGATCGCAAAAGACTGCTCAAAGAATGACACATTCCCTTCACCCAAGAAGACAACCCCCGATCACCTAGCAAATCACCCCCAAGAAAAGTTGCCAAAGACTGTCTCACAATCCTATGGTCATCGGCAGCACAGATTTGCGGCTAAAGGGCATCATCAGCTCTCAGGTAGCATTCCCACAACCTGTACAAGGCCCTGACCCTTTGCCACAACAACCGATAAAAGAGCGATGCTGGCAAGCTCTCTCTAAACCAAAAACTATATCTCTTTGCTATAGAGCATGGCAAAACACTCAACCACATACTCATCTACACTGCAAAACAAAATGGGAAACTGACTGTTCACTTTCAGTTCCTGACACAGAATGGCTGCACTTGATGATCTCTCAAAGTAGACGAAATGCTACACACACACATTGAGACACACAGAATGCTGCTATATAGGTGGTATATGACACCCTCAACTCCCCCAGAAGCTACACAAACTTTATCCATACTGCTGGAGATGCTCCTTTCCTTGGAGGAGGGCACCCTCCTGCACGTATGGTGGACGTGTCTGGTGATCCAACCTCTCTGGTCGGCTGTCCATAACACCTTACACACATTGGGAATTTCCAACTTCCCCGAAACTGCTTAAGCTTACCTCCTGCTACTCTTTCCCTCCTCAGTGGATGAAGAGTAAGGGCAATTGATAGCCTTCATCCTACTTTCAGCTCGGATTCTTCTGGCAAAGAATTGGAAATCCACAATATGCCCAACCCTATCCCAACTAAGAGATAAGATACAATTCTACATTTTTGAGCGCATGTCCTTAACCACGAGCAATGATGCACCTTACGTTCTCCCTTCTCAGAGGACACCTAGATTACTCAATACACCCATAGGCACAATCAAAGGCCTGCAGTAGATTTCACACCTCCATACCTCAAAGTACTCCTTAATAGTGATGCATTATTAATGATTTTACTTTTGTTCAGTTATGTTTGTTTTGTTTCAGTACAATGTTAATCCTAACACGTGTACGAGTTGAATACACACACACACACACACACACACACACACACACACACACACACACATATATATATATATATATATATATATATATATATATATATATATATATATATATATATATATATATATATATATATATATATATATATAGTATACGCACTGATATACTGTATCTACCAGTCATGAATTGTCATGTTTATCTTACCAACCTGTATCAACTCCACATATGTTGAATAACTATACAATGCTTATATGTTTCTGAAAAAACAATAAAATATACATCATAAAAAAATAATAATTTCAAAGCATTAAAATGCATGGAAGACCTAATGAGCGCAAGGTAAGTACTTTTACCACAAGATCCAAACCACTGATAAATCAGAAGATTGGAGTCGCAAGCTTATACTTGGCTAAATAGTATCTTATACGATATGCAGGTTTCTGGAACAATGATAAAGATTCACCTGTGTCATTATTATAGACAGTATGTAGTAAGAAAAGAACTGCTTCTGATCCCAAGTATACTATATCACCCGTGGAACATGGTGGAGTTGGTGTTATGACATGTCTTTAAAAATAAGGTAACTGATGACCGAAGATAATTATGACCACTTTAGGAATATGTTGATTTGCGTGATTTCTTTAACTCTCCTATACTTGGGGGTCCATGTATAAAATTAATTGTAGTTCCAATACACTCCATAACATGTAAATGTTGATTACTTTTCATTAACCCCTTAAGGACTGCGCCAAATGTAAATGTTTTGATCAAAATAAAACGTAAACAAAACTGTGAATTTTACTATGTCTGTTCAACCGTAATTCACCTCTTTCATATTAAGTGCACCCACACTTATTATATATCATTTTATTCAGGAGAAATAGGGCTTTCATTTCACATCAAATATTTAGCTATGAAACATAATTTAATGAGAAAATATAAAAAAAAGTGAGATTAATATTTTTAGTTATGCATGAAATTTTTACTGTAAATGTCACACGGTTTGCTGTTACTGCAACTAAATTTACATATTTGTATTCAGCGATGTCTCACAGGGTCAAATATAGCATGTTAAATTTTTCAGTTTTTTTCACATTGAAATTCGCCAGATTGGTTACGTTGCCTTTGAGACCGTGTGGTAGCCCAGGAATGAGAATTATCCCCATGATGGTATACCATTTGCAATAGTAGACAACCCAACGCATTAAATTCATAAACCGAGGTCCCACTGCGTGTGTGTGTGTATATGTATGTGTGTGTGTGTGTGTGTATGTATATATATATATATATATATATATATATATATATTCTATACACACACACACACACACACGCATTGGGACCTCGGTTATGTATATATTGTTTTATTTTACACTGTTTCAAACTTTATTTTAATTTATTTCAGGCAGCAGGGAGACTACCTGTCATTCCAGGCACTCCTCCTGCTGGCACTGCTATGGACGGCTATTCCGGCCATGTGATCGTGAGGTCCTTAGAAGGACCTCACGATCACATGGCCCAGGAGGGCCGGATCGGCAGCAGGGGGACAGCCCTTGATGGCGGAACAAACCTATGCCGCCTGCTGGCGTTTTAGAGCTGGGTCCCCAAGGACGGCATAGTCACTAAAACAACTCTAGCTTAATAAAGCAGTTTTGGTGTATAGATCATACCCCTGCAGTCTCAATGCTTAATTCTCTGCCATTTAGGAGTTAAATAACTTTATTTATGCAGCTCTAGGCACACCTCCCTGCATGTGACTTACACAGCCTTCCTAAACACTTCATGTAAAGTGAGATCTAATGTTTAGACTTTATTGCAAATTCTGTTTAATTTAGAATTTATCTTATGCTTTGCTACTAGCTTGCTAAACCCTGCAGGGGCCACCTGTATGTAATTAAAGTTCAATTTACAGAGCAGTAGATTAACTTTTAAAGTAAGTTACATCTGCTTGAAAATGAAACCATTTTGTTTTCATGCAGACTGTGTCCACAGACAAGGGAGGTGTGGCTAGGGCTGCATAAACAGAAACAAAAGTAGTTTAACTCCTAAATGCAGAGAATTTAGCAGTGAAACTTCAGAGGCATAATCTATACATAGGGGAAAAAAGTGCTTCATTAAACTAAAGTTGTTTTGATGACTATAGTGTCCCTTAAACCCTTAAGGTACTAGCCTTAAACATGGCTAGTCTACACTTTAGACTTTACACTTTAGGGGGGAAAAAACCCTGTATTTCTTTTACTGTCCAAATCCTCATTGACTGCAACATATATCGTTTTATTTTAGGCTTCAGGTTATTTTCTGCATTTTGAAATGGAATATGTTAAATGTAACACATTACATAGTACATCCATCTAGGTCTGTAATTACTAGAGAAGTTATGTTAGTTTTATTTTTCTTACAGGTATTACATCATTATGGTAACCATGTTTTTTACAGTGAGTGTGGTGAATAATTATGCACTCAATCTCAATATCTCCATGCCACTTCACATGATATTTAGATCGGTAAGTAGAAATGTTGGGGGGAGGGGGATGGGATATTACATTTCTATTTTATATCTGTGATAAATTACTGGGTAGATGGCTTGTAATAATTTGAGTTGAATTATTTTGCTGTGTTTGACAAAAGGGGTGTTTGTGTTTAGTTTCTTTCTCCTTGCAATCTGAGATGCTTCAAAAATACTTGCAATTAATTATATTATGTAGCTGCTGTTACAGGGAAAATCCAAGGCTGATTTAAAAAATTAATACAAAAAAAATATATAAATCACAATACCGATTTTGTACATACACCACATTTTATTTTTAATTTTTTAACATAAGAATTAAAAGTAATTTGTGTAAAGGGACACTTAAAGCAGCACAACCACTGTGACGAACGCCCCTTTGCCTAGACATTTGACACAGGCTCCTGAAGGAGTGTGGAGGCTAGCCTCCTGCCCACTGACTATGGGCCATGCTAAAAGGCTATTAAGAGACTTGGTTTGTGGGATTCCCTTGGACTGTTCGGGAACTGAACCAACCCATGAACTGCGGACCACCTCTAAGCTTATTGACCCTTGTTAACCTCTCCTGAAACTTCAATCCATGTGGGTTCTAATTGTGCGGCTGGGTGGCTGCCATTCGTATGCATGATCGCATGAAAACTGTGGCCATCTTGTACACGAAAATGCAGGCAGCAGTGTTTGGGCAGCGATCGTGTGAAGCCTAAATCTGACACTGAAACTCCCGAACACCATTGAACTTTGACGAATGCCGGCTTCTTCTCCACACATGGCAGGAGAGCGCCATTCGCTAGGTTTGTTCGTATGAATTATACGAACAAGTGCTACCAACAAACCAGAGTTGTTTTTCTATCACATGGAACTCCCGCATTTGACCAGCAAAAGCACAAAATGCCCTGGAACTGTTTTGGGCATAGGACCATGTGTGCGGCTGGTCAGAACTTCCACATGGTGGTGTGCGTGGGATCTAAGCGCTTTTCGGAAATGTTGGGCGCTCAGATCCCTCTTCCCCGGACATGCCATGCGGTAGGTTTGTTTGTATGAACCATACGAACAAACGCTACCAGCAAGCCAGAGTGTGCGTTCGGTATTTCTTTAACATGGAAGTTGACCGGCTAAAGCATAAAACGCCCTGAACGGTTTGGGGCATGGGTCAGAACTTCCACACGGTGGTGTTTTGGCTGTGTTGGATATGTTGGGTGCTCAAATCCAGCCTATCCGACGATGTATAGACTGTGGGAAATATGCATTTTTGTGTGTTTTTCATATTTTGTAATTTTCTGCTGAGTCACGGTGACATTGCATTTTGGGGACATTTTGTGGGTGTGTTAATGGAAGTGTCATGGGCGTGTTTGCAGTGTCTCTATACTGTATAAAAGTGGGCCCTTGAGCCTGGATTAAACAGAGATAATTTTACCCCTTCATTAAGTCTAGGTTAATGTTTGGGAGATTTGAAGCTATATTTACTAGTATCCGTTACAACCACTATAACATTTTTTTAATATTTATTTTGCCTAGAATCCCCTGCCAACTTTGCCTTCTAATGGTTAGGTTGCTTAGAGTGTTCATTTGTCGAAAACAAAGGTGAGAGGCAGTCCAAGAAGTGTGAAGTCAGAATAAATTTGTGTTTTTTGTGTTTCTTCTTATTTTACTTGCATATAAAAAAAATTCTTCCACACTGTCCATTTAATGTGCATATTAATGGGGATGAATGATTTTGTCAAGTGAATGATCAGCAGTTTTAACACTGTATCTAAAATTCCGGCTGCTCTTTTGACATTTTTCACATCAATAATTTATTACTAAATTCTGTGCTTCCTTTCTAGGGATCTTTGATAGCAAACATGGTGTTGGGAATAATTATACTTAAAAAGAGGTAAGATATTTTGATCTTTAACTGGACCTCTCTTAAACAGGGCTTTTATAAATGCATCTATTTCCCACATTGGATCTTAAAGGGACACCATAGTGAACAAGACAACTTTAGCTTAATGAAGCCGTTTTGAAGTATAGATCATGCCCCTGCCGTCTCAATGCTCAATTCTCTGCCATTTAAGAGTTAAATCACTTTTGTTTCTGTCCATGCAGTCCTAGCCTCACGTCCCCTAGTTGTGACTGACACAGCCTGCGAGGCTGAAAAAATATGGTTTCATTTTCAATCCGATGATAACTTGCTTTAGTAGTCTTTATCTCCTGCTCTGTAATTAAATTTGAATCACACATAGGAGGATCCAAGGTCTAGCAGGCTATTAACCATGCAGGAGCTCTTTTCAGGTATATCACCGGATAATCGAATGGCACAATCCAACTTCTCAATGGATCTTCCCTACCCTGGAAAGCAAAACGGTACAGGACTGAATCCCTTCTGCTTTGTGGCTGAACATGGGAGCAACTCTGGGAGCCATCCGCGAGCAGCCATTTCTAGGCGACAATTCGGCTATGGTACCAATCCTGTTTTCAATTGTCCCTCGCCACCTTACACAGCCCTATGTATCCCTTGTTAGAAAATCCAGCTGGTCTAGATCGACACACATGGGCATACCTTGGCAGAGGTTCATTAATTCGTGGTGTGAGGAGAATGCTTCCTATCCAAAGCTGTATACAAGACAGATCTCCTACCTCTCTTGAGGTCTCTCAAGCAGGTCACTCACACCATTTGACGAGATATACTCCCGGGATGAACTGTTGCGTAATGGTATTTCTGCCCTGCATCGGGTGCTGCTGACAGAGAACAACCTTGCCCCATTTAAGTACTAGTCATTGTGGGAATATGCCCTACACATGTCGTTTACAGATCAGGAGTGATCGAAGATGATATTGCTGACTTACTTGAGTTCTATCTGCACCAGATACCAGTAATTAAACGACATGATCTTAATGTAATCGTATGACACTGGAGAAATTGCAAAGGTTCTTTCCTGTGGCACCTGATGTTTGCTAGAGATGTTGGGGCATGGTGGGCTCGCTCCTTCACATATTCTGGGAATGTCTGATCATCACACCTTAGTGAAGGAAGATTTATGACACTGTCGTCTGTGGCAGACAAGGGGGTGAACTTTCACCCGGCAGATATGATTCTAAACCGCTGTAAGCTCCCTATCTCCAAATACATGAAAATCTTGTCAAGACATCTGAGTGGAGGAGATTAGTCAGATGGAAGAGGGTACGGCTATTTTGAAGGGGCGGATTGAGAGATACGAGGAGGTATAGAGGGCGTGGAAATACTACCTTTGTACCGGTGACCCGACCAGACTGTACAATAAAGGAAGTTTAATAATTGGATATCACTTTACAGGAAGTGTTTAGAAAGGCTGTGCAAGTCACATGCAGGGAGGTGTGGCTATGGCTGCATAAACAAAGTGATTTAACTCCTAAATGGCAGAGAATTGAGCAGTGAGACTGCAGGGGCATAATCTACACACCAAAACTACTTCATTAAGATAAAGGTATTTTGGTGACTATAGTGTACCTTTAAGTAGTCACAAAGTATCCCTTTTTGGTACCAAAGTAAAGGCCACCTATTAACAAGGGAAACATCTGGGATGAGTTCTATGTTACATTACTTTGTTGGCCGTCAGTCTCATTGGCAAAATCTCAGACGTTACGTTTCTTTTAAAACCTTAAGCATCAACTCTCAATGAAGTGCTTATTGTGTCTGGAAGTCCTATGCTCCATCTTAAACTTATGACGTCTTCCTTCTCTGGCCCTAGCACCTTGGGGACCGTTAAATGCTCTAGAAAGGTACACCCATTATTGGTATGTACTGGAGGAAGAGGCAGAGGGGCAGAAATGGGCACTGTCAAGAAGACATTCGGGTTAAACCCCATAGGACCTTCAGATACCATAATGACTTCATTGAAATGTGCACGGAGTGGTCCTTTTTAATACAAAATTAGCTTTATTATAATTTATCAAGAGGTAAAATGTGTGATTTAGTACATCAATAAAGGGCAAAATATGCAATCAGAGAATTGTGCTTGTAGTTTTGGTAGGAAACCAGCCTGTCAAATCCTAAATTTTATTTTTATTACTACAGTAATGGCTAATGGCTCTCAGATTTCATTTACTTTTATTTTAGGTAAGTATTATGTTTTTTTTTGGTTATTATTCTGTAGATTGAAATGGCAGCTTAACGTTTCACATTTGGCTGCATAGTTTTGATATGTGGAATTTAGAGCGAGCCTAAACTCATAGGGCGGTAACTTGATGAGAAAGGAATATCTAGTTTGATTGAAGTAGATTGTGGTGGATTGATGATGTCTCACTGGTATACTCTTAAATAACTATTTACAGTGTTCACTAAAAATATTTTTTCTTTCTCCCCTAGGTACAGCATTTCCAAGTATTTGTCTATTGCTCTTGTTTCTGTGGGGATCTTTATTTGCACATTGATGTCTGCACAGCAAGTGGTAAAGCCCTGTTGCTCTCATTTTGCTAATTCCTTGACTGTTTTATTTTGTGTATTGCACCATTACCTAAGGCATACTATAAATGCTGTTCTTGACCACAAGCAAGATGTGATTGACTGTTAGCAAGCCAAAATTGTCTTTCATAGTTGATTTGGGATGCTTACGTGATGTAGCATTTTCAGAAAATATGCAGCCGTAGGAAAATTAAAACTTAACGGAAATTGGATAAAACAAATATTGGACAGCCAGCCTACATCAATGCCACTTTGATCAGTAGGTTTTTGTCACTCTCTACTTGACTTAAGTGTTTATTTTGTAGAAGGGTTTGCAGAAGAACTCGGTGTGGCATATTTTAATTATGATAATGTTACATTGTGCCATGCAGGGGCCTCTAGTCTCCATGCAGTTCTGGTACATACATGGGTGCCATGGGTCTACTAAGTGTGTGTCTCTGTGCAAGTTGTTTGTTCTTGCACTTTATTATCTTTTTGTTGAGGATTGTGTTCTTTATTTTTATGAAAAGTAACTCCATGCATCAAAAGGTGTATTTTTTTTTACTTTTACTCTTGGGAAACACTGCATAAATGAATATAGGAAAATGCTTAATAGGTGGTCAGCTCTACCTTTAATTTTTGTTATAAGCCTCATCTCGAGTCTTGCACTGTCACCAGATGAAGAAAACTCAACCCATAAAGACAATGAACCTTTGTAGTGCGTAGAGCTGTGTTTACATTTATTATTGCTTTCTTTAATGTTGTATTGTTTTACTCCTTCAGGCATCACATCAACCCTCCCCTGAAGAAGATGGGTTTGCAGTTTTCCTATGGTGGCTTATAGGTGAGTAGTAACATTCACGAACTGGCTTTTTTTTTATACATCTGGACCTTTATAAACCAAAGTCTAGTGTCATTTAAATTCCTAGCATGGAAGCATAGCTGGACCTGTGTAAACATTATCTAATTGTATTATCTAATTTTATTCATTTTTTTTTTTATACATTTTGTGCAAACTGTATTTTTACTGTATTTTCTGTGCATGCCTTTTTAAAGGATCACTATAGGGTCAGGAACACAAAGATATATTCCTGACCCTATAGTGTTAAAACCAAAATCTAGCCCCACTGGGCCCCTCATGCCTCCCTAAAAAGAGCAAAATCTTACTTTTATTCAAGCCTGAAGCTGTAGCTCTGCATGCTGTTTGACTCAGAATAGTCAATAGTCAAAACCTGTCTGCTGACATCATCAGAGGTGGTAGCCTGATCCAATCTCAATGCTTCCCCATAGGATTGGCTGAGACTAACAAGGAAATAGATCGGGGCAGAGCCAGCATGATTCAAACACAACACTGGCCAATCAGCATCTCCTCATAGAGATGAATTGAATTAATGAATCTCTATGAGGAAAGGTCAGTGTCTGCATGCAGAGGGAGGAGACACTGAATGTTTGGATGCATTTTAGGCAGCCATGACCCAGGAAGGATCTCTAACAGCCATCGGAGGAGTGACCAGTGAAGTTATCACTAGGCTGTAATGTAAACACTGCATTTTCTCTGAAAAGACAGTGTTTACAGCAAAAAGCCTGAAGGTAATGATTCTACTCACCAGAACAAATATATATAAATATAGTCCTTTAGTTACACACTGCTACTATATTAATGGCAATGTTAGTATCATTATGTTTGTTTTTACTAGCCATATGAATATATCTAATCCTAAAGGTCCACTAAAAATGTAATTTAACACAAAAACAACCTCAAACTTTAAGGAAGCCTAAAGGGCAACAAAAAAGTAACAGAATGAAAGAGAAGAATAAAAACCAGGGTTTTTTGTTGTTGTTGTTTTGTGTACACATTTTGGTGGTTTTATTTAACCCCTTCAGACCGAGAACGGTTCAGGACCGTCATCGGCATTTTTGCGTTGCCGACCTGTAACGGTCCTGAACCGTCCTAACGGTCCACCGTACTTACCTGATCGCCGTCGTTCCCCCGGCGGCAATCGGTGTTGCTCCCGTTGTGGGGAGACTGCCTGCAGCCCAGACAGTCTCCCCATCGTGGATTAGGACCCCTGGGGTCACAATAGGTGTCCATGTGTATGCCTGCAGGGGAACTGCCTGTGCTGCCTGCTAGTGTAAAATCATAAAAAAAATTAAAGTTAAAGTTAATAAAAAAAATTAAAAATTATATATGTGTGTGTGTGTGTGTGTGTGTGTGTGTGTGTGTATATATATATATATATATATATATATATATAATATATATATATATTGTCATACTAAGTGTATTTTTATATTAATATGTACATATATTAATATTAAATTACACACGTGTGTGTGTGTGTGTATATATATATATATATATATATATATAATATATATACAGTATATACTCGAGTATAAGTCTAGTTTTTCAGCACATTTTTTGTGCTTAAAAACCCCCACTCGACTTATACTCGAGTCACTGTCTGTATTATGGCAACTTAGAGAGCCGTGGCAACAATCCGCGCGGCAACCAGACCGCGAGACTTACAGTGGAGCTGACCGGAACGGAGGAGAAGGGAGCTGACAGGAGCTGCAGGAAAGGTAAGTAAATGCTTCCTGCCGGCCCCCCACTTCACAGCCCATGCCACTGGACCACCAGGGATTAAGATAGCCCCCCCTCCCTGACCAGTTAACAAGCAGGGAGGGGGGACAAAAAAAATAATTAAATAATAAAAAAAAATATTAAAATTAAAAAAAATTAAAATAATAAAAATGCCCTCCCCCCACCCAGTTCACACACACACTACACAAACACACACTCTGCATTATATACACACTCTGCATTATATACACAGAGTGTGTGTATATAATGCAGAGTGTGTGTTTGTATGAGTGTGTGTGTGTATATAATGCAGAGTGTGTTTGTATGAGTGTGTGTGTATATAATGCAGAGTGTGTGTTTGTATGAGTGTGTGTGTATATAATTATAAAAATCACAGAATTTCATAGCCCCAAGTTTTACCCTCGACTTATCCACGAGGCATAGCATATTTCACAATTGTTGGTCACAAAACTGCACTCGACTTATACATGAGATCGACTTATACATGAGTATATACGGTAACTATATATTGTGTGTGTATATATATATATATATTATAAAATACAAATATTTAATTTAAATTAAATAAAAACATATAAAAATAATACATTTTTTTAAAAGAAATATATATCTATATGAAATTTTATTCTAACTGTATTTTGATATTAACCCCTTAAGGACTAGACTGTTTTTGCGATTGTTGTATATTTGCGACCAGGCATATTTTTACACTTTTGTGGTGTTTGTGTTTGGCTGTAATTTTTCGCTTTCTCATTTACTGTTCCCATACAACTTATATATTGTTTTTTTCAGGACAAAAGGGGCTTTCTTTACATACCATTATTTATATAATCTCATGTATTTTAATTTAAAAAAAATATTATTTAGTTTTTTTACTTTTACTTGAAAAATCTTTTACTCATCTACAAAAGCGAATGAAAAAAACTGCTAAATAGATTCAAAATTTTGTCCTGAGTTTAAAAATACCCAGGGTTTACATGCTTTTTTGCTTTTTTTTGCATGTTCTAGGGCTATAGGTACAAGTAGGATATTGCGGTTTCAAAACATACATTTTTAAAATTTATCAATAGTGACATTGTAACGCTATTATCTGTCATAAATCTCTGAATAACACCCCACATGTACATATTTTTTTTAAAGTAGACAACCCAGGGTATTCAATATGGGGTATGTCCAGTCTTTTTTAGTAGCCACTTTGTCGAAAACACTGGCCAAAGTAAGCATTCATATTTGTTTGTGTGTGAAAAAAGTAAAAAAACTAAATTGAACGCTAATTTTGGCCAGTGTTTGTGACTAAGTGGTTACTAAAAAAGACTGGACATACCCCATTTGTAATACCTTGGGTTGTCTTCTTTTGCAAATGGTATGCCATCAAGGGGGTAATTCTCATTCCTGGGCTACCATACGCTCTCAAATGCAACGTAACCAACCTGGCCATTTTCAATGTAAAAATATTTGACCCATATATTTGACCTGTAACTTTCAAAAATACTATAAAACCTGCACATGGGGGGTACTGTTTTACTCAGGAGACATCACTGAACACAAATATTAGTGTTTAAAAACTGGAAAACGTATCACAACAATTATATCATCAGTAAAAGTGCTGTTTGTGTGTGAAAAATGCAAAACTTTCACTGACAATATCATCGCTGTGATATGTTTTGCTGTTTTGAATGCGCTAATATTACAATGTTCAACTTGTCTCCAGTAAAGCCTATATACAGGGGCTAGGAGGTAATAAATAGAGCGTACAGGGTAAAATCCCCAGTGCTTACAACAAAAATTAAATTCTCTAGGACTTTTCATTTACCGTTTGGCTGGCAGGTCCTCAAAATTACAATCAATAAAATTACTTAATTATGTAAAAATATTACATAAATACGCCGCGTAGAGATTTAAATATATATGCATATTTATATATTTGGAAATCTCTACGTGTATATTATATAATTATTTATGTAATTTTGTATATGGACATATGTATATTTCGTATTTTTATTTATTTATATATACATAGATATATATACAAATTCATTCTAAGTGTATTTTGATATAAATATATATATATATATATATATTAATTTTAAAATACAGTTAGAATAAAATTTCATATATATATAATTTTTTTTTATTTTTATTATTTAAAAATTTTTTATAAAATTTAAATTACTTATTATTTATATTTTATAATAATATATATATATATACAATATATATAGTTATTATATATATTATATATATATACGTGAGTAATTTAATTATAAGTGTATTTTTATATTAATATAAGTACATATTAATATAAAAATACACTTAGTATGGCATTATATATATATGATATATAGACATATATTATATTGATATAATATATGTCTATATATCATATATGTATACACATATATAATAATTTTTTTTTATTAACATTAACTTTATTTTATTTTTTGATTTTACACTAGCAGGGAGACTGCCTGTCAGCACAGACAGTCCCCCTGCAGGCAGACACATGGACACCTATTGTGACCATGTGATCGCTGTGTTAAGCGATCACATGGCCCCAGGGGTCCTAATTCAGTGTGGGGAGACTGTCTGGGCTGCAGGCAGTCTCCCCACAACCGGAGCCACGCTGATCGCCGCCGGGGGAACGACGGCGATCAGGTAAGTAACTAAGACCGTTGGGACGGTTCAGGACCATCATCGGTCTGCAAGGCAAAAATGCCGATGATGGTCCTGAACCGTCCTCGGTCGTGAAGGGGTTAATAAATATATTTATATAAAAATACACTTAGAATGAAATTGTGTGTACATATATCTATGTATATATAAATAAATAAAAATAATACGAAATATACATATGTCCATATACAAAATTACATAAATAATTGTATAAATATACACGTAGACTTCAAATATAAAAATATGCATATATATTTAAATTCTACATGCGTATTTATGTAATATTTTTACATAAGTAATTTTATTGATTGCAATTTGAGGGACCTCCCTGCCAACCCAGGCCGAAAGTCCAGAGAATTTAATTTGCTACCACTGTATTTTACCCTGTAATTTTCTATGACACCCTAAAACCTGTACATGGGGGGTACTGTTTTACTCGGGAGACTTCGCTGAACACAAATATTAGTGTTTCAAAACATATCACAGCGATGATATTGTCAGTGAAAGTGACTTTTTTTTGCATTTTTCACACACAAACAGCACTTTTACTGATGATATAATTGTTGTGATACGTTTTCCTATTTTGAAACACTAATATTTGTGTTCAGCAAAGTCTCCCGAGTATAACAGTACCCCCATGTACAGGTTTTATGGCGTTTTTGAAAGTTACAGGGTCAAATATATGGGTGAAATATATTTACATTGAAAAAGGCAAGGTTGGTTACGTTGCCTTTGAGAGCATATGGTAGCCCAGGAATGAGAATTACCCCCATGATGGCATACCATTTGCAAAAGAAGACAACCCAAAGTATTGCAAATGGGGTATGTACAGTCTTTTTTAATAGCCACTTAGTCACAAACACTGGCCAAAATTAGCGTTCAATTTAGTTTTTTACTTTTTTCACACACAAACAAATATGAATGCTAACTTTGGCCAATGGTTTCGACTAAGTGGCTACTAAAAAAGACTGGACATACCCCATATTGAATACCCTGGGTTGTCTACTTTAAAAAAAAATATGTACATGTGGGGTTGTTCAGAGATTTATGACAGATAATAGTGTTACAATGTCACTATTGATAAATTCTAAAAATATATGTTTTGAAACCGCAATATCCTACTTGTACCTATAGCCCTATAACGTGCAAAAAGCATGTAAACACTGGGTATTTTAAAACTCAGGACAAAATTTTAAATCTATTTAATAGTTTTTTTTCATTAGCTTTTGTAGATGAGTAAAAGATTTTTCAAGTAAAAGTCAAAAAACATATATTTGTTTCAATTTTTCATCATATTTTTTTTATTTTTTTTAAATTAAATAACATGAGATTATATAAATAATGGTATGTAAAGTAAGCCCCTTTTGTCCTGAAAAAAACCAATATATAATTTGTATGGGAACAGTAAATGAGAGAGCGGAAAATTACAGCTAAACACAAATACCACAAAAGTGTAAAAAGAGGCCTGGTCGCAAAGGTACAACATCGCAAAAACAGTCCAGTCCTTAAGGGGTTGAACAAAGGTCCAATTTTAAGTGCAGAACTCTGTTGTGGGCTACCTAATGTCAATTCATTGCATATTTGCGTCTGTTGTCAGCACACTGGCGATACGTGTGATAATCCTCTCCCTTTTAGAAAAAAAACGCTTGCAAAGGGAAGATAGCTCTCCCTTCCCTCCCTCTCGCTTTGTGCTTCCTCTCTCCTCTATTTATTGCAGATGTAGGTGTTTTGCGCTCATACGCTCTGAGACAGTAAAACGGCACATCCTCCTCTTCTGCGTAACGTATATGAGTGTATATATACAACATTAATAACCTGTTATGAGAAGCCAGTCAGTGCGTCGTAAACATGGGTATGCAGAAGAGGAGAATGTTACAAGAAATATGCACTCAGCAGGTTTAGGGAAGTAAGTTAACTACATTAAAAAATAAGCCTATTAATTGTACAACATGAACCAAGCCCCATGATTAGTTATCTGATATGATAGTTTTACTTTAAACTCTGCCACCTGCATTTATAGGCAAAATTACAGCTGTTTCTGCATAAACGTTCTATTTGCCATTCCTTGTATGTTAAATAAACGTTCCAGACCCCTGCCCAGTGTGTGTGTGTGTTTGAGTCTTGCTAAAATAACCAGAGCATTGCAAGTTTGTGGAAACTGTGTACTTAAACATCAGTGATATTTTTAGCAAAACTGATGTTATTCTATAAATTTCTCTAAAATATATATTGTCATTGTTGGTGTTCATTTCCATTCCGTAATGGCTGCTTCAGTTTATAAGTGGCACAATCTCTGACATCGTAATGTGATAGCTGTTATCAAAATAATTTAATGGGCATTTCTTTCCTGCTTTCCAGGTATCGCGGCTCTGACCTTTGCTCTCATAGTGTCAGCCAGAATGGGAATCTTTCAGGAAACCCTGTACAAAGAATATGGGAAGCACCCCAAAGAGGCATTATTCTACAATGTAAGTTGGAAACTTAGCATTGGGGGAACTGACTGTGACAGACTATTGAACTATGTTTATTCTGGTGCACACTGATGAATGTCACCATTGAGTTAATGTTCAATGGTTAGATTATGCAATCTAAAAATCTAGTCTGCTACACTGTCCATGTGAACATCATTTACTGGTGAACAGAAACAACTGATCTAATAGTTTGTCAATCTACTGACCACTATCTGGATATAGAAATGGGGTATTTATTTTTAATCTGTGGGTGCAAAAATTACATTAAACATGTACATTTCTTAATCTGCCGGAATACAAGTATATATATTTATTTATTTAATTTTTTTTTTTAGCTTGGATTTTAACTTGTATATTTTTAATAAAAATTTAGCTGCTTAGGCACATATACGTAGGAGGTATTTTTTAAACAAAATATAGTATCCAAGGAGGAAAACTCAAAAGATTTCTCTCTTGTGGCATACAAATATTATACATCTTTTAAAATCTCTTTGACAAGTGGGGAATTTTCATTGGCCACAGACAGAAAGCAACACATTATAAATAAATGAACATTTAAAAGCACTTTGATATCTCACAGCTACCTTTTTATCCTTCCCGTGACAGCATGCTTTGCCACTGCCGGGATTCCTGCTACTTGCTCCTGATATTTATTACCATGCAGTCATGTTCACTCAGAGTGGTAAGTATCGCAAGTCATTAATGAAGCGGTATTTGCATGTAACAAGTGTGCCCAGTTTAACTAGCCTATTTCATTTGCTCTTCTTTGTGAATTTTGTGCATAGTCCATGGAATATCTTTTTTAAATGTGTTTTTACCAGTGGCATCCTGAGGGAAACAAGCTTAGACCGTATTTATTTTATTTCAATAATTTTTATTGGAAAATGTTTCAATATTATACATATAGACAATTAATCATACATAACAATTTGTTGTCTTTTCAGTGGTTAGTTTAGAGTTAATACATCTATATATCCAGAAAACATACAAATATCCTTCATATCACATAGAAAGCAATACCTAGAAAAAAAAGCAAAAAAAAAAAAAAAAAGCAGAAGTAATAAAAATAGTTATATCAGTAGCTAAGAGTAAGAGGGCAGGAACACATACTGCTGCTCCTGTCCTCCCATCGACCGTTACATACGGGTTATTCTGAGGAGGGAGAGAGTTATATTTGTAAAAGAAAAAGCGCTCTTGGTTCTATTAATTTTCTTGCAATCATTTTGTCAATAATATTAATATTCGATTAGTCTGGTACAATTTTATTTAACAATTCCTTCCAAATTGAATATTTTTTTTTGTGAATTCAAGAGGTTCATCGATATCTTTTTGTATTTGTATTTGGGATATGAATTGATATTTTGCTTTACGCCAAATTGTTTTTTTAGGTGACTTCCAGTTCTGTGTGATCAATTTAACTGCTAAAATAGTGTGTGTTATTAGCATTTTATGAGCTTGAGACATTTTTGGCCAGAACATATGGAGAAGTGTTTCCTTTGGAGACCAATTTATTTTGGTTTTGGTCATATTAAATAACCATTTATATGAATCAAACCATATCACCCTAATTTGCTCACACTCCCACCAAATGTGTAAATCTGTTCCACTCATTTTGTTGCATCTCCAGCATATTTATCTGTAGTAGATAGGGAAATATTTGCACTCCTGTTTGGGACCCAATGCTATCTGTTGGCAATCTTATACTGTGTCTCTAAGAAATTTAGGCAAAGTTTTTTGTTCCATTCGTCATTGTCTATATACACTCTAAGGTCTTTCTCCCACCTAACTATTAATGAAGTTTTGATTAGTGGATATTTAGCTTCTGTCAGGGTTCTTGCTCTAGATAATAGATAATACTTTATTCACTTTTTCATAGTTAAATATCTGTTGTAATTTAGTAATACGATTTGAGTTTTTAGATAAAAGATGTTTATCTAAAATATTCTTAAATAATTGAAAACCTGAGAATTAGTTAAATTAAATTGCTATTTGAGATCTGGAAAAGGTTTAATTTTATCATTATTAATCAGTTGCTTAACAAATAAGATGCCCTTTTGTTTCCATAGATTTAGGTCTAGATCTGTTAATTCTATGATCTGAACTTTTAATGACTGTATTATTTTGTTTGTTACTCCCATTTCTTTTTTTATTTTATACCATGCTTCTAATAATTGTTTTAAAATTATATTCTGCTTCAATGTATGTATAGAAAATCGTTTATTTTTTAGATTCCATACAGCCAAAGATAAATCATTATTTCTCAGTGAATTTTTTTCTATTTCTTGCCAGCCTTCTAATTCAGGAGATTTTATTTGCAGCCAGTATATATGTGTAATTTTACTGGATTGGTAGATATTTTTAATATTTGGAAGATTTAGACCTCCTTTATTTTTTATTTTTTTTACAAGACAGGAGTTTTCTATTCTAGGTGGTTTGCCTTTCCAGTTAAAGTTTGTAAAATTTGATTGTGACATAACCATAAATTAGGTACCAGTAGAGGCAATATTTGAAAAAGATATGACCATCTTGGTAGGATGTAGGAATTAATTAGGTTGATCCGTCCCCACCAGGTTAATTCTATAGTTCTATATTCTTTTAATAGTTGGTTTGTTGATCTTAGTAGTTCCATTAAATTTATTTCCATTAAGCTTTTTACATCTTTAGTTATTTTCACTAATACGTAAGAAACGTTTTTGTTTAACCCAGCAAAATCTATACTGTTTTTTTTTTTATTTCTTTTATGACTTCTTGTTTTATATTTATAGAGACAATATTAGATTTCTCTTCATTTATTTTATAATTGGATATTATGCTATAATTTTGAATTTCTTGGATACGTTCTCTAAGTGAATCTTTGGGATTTAACAGAGTCAATAGGACATTGTTCGCATATAGATTTATCTTTAGTTGTGTGAGTCCTATTGGGAATCCTTCTATTTTTTGGTTATTTCTTATTTTCATTGCAAGAGGTTCAATTGATATATATAGCAATGGAGAAAGTGGGCATCCTTGCCCTGTCCTGTTTTTTAATGGAAACCAATCAGTAGTTATATTATAACCCACTGTTCTTGCTGACGGGGAACAATACAGCAGCATAATTGCTTTATAAAGCCATCCCTGTATAGAGAAATGTTAGATAGATTTACTCATGAACCACTAGTTGACTCTGTGGAACTCTTTGTCAGTGTCAGTCGAGAGAGTCAACATGGGGGTCCCAGATTCTTCCACTGAATCCATAATATCCAATAGTCTTCTAATATTGGAACCTTAAAACTTATTTGGGATAAACCCAGTCTGGTCTGGGTGGATTTAATTAGTTATCACTGATTTTAACCTGAATGCAAGTATTGATGAATATAGTTTAATATCTGTATTTAAAAGGGATATTGGTCTATAGTTTTGAATATGAGTAGGGTTTTTATTTATTTTTAATATTGGAATTATATTTGCTTTAGTTCATCTGTTATATAATGCTGTTGGACGAAGTCATTAAATGTAGCTGTTAGATCACCTATCAACTGTACCTTAACTGTTTTATGAAAAATATTACTTGGACCATCAGGGCCTGGTGTTTTTAAGAGTTGCAATGATGTTATCGCTTGTTCAATGTCCAACTTACTAATTGGTAAATTTAAGTTCTGTTTCTGTACATCTGTTAATTTTGGAAAATTTGGATCTCTAAAATAGTCATCTATATCTCCTGTATGATTTCCTATACTATATAACTTGCTGTAATAGTCATTAAAAGCTTTGCCTATTTCATCTGGAGTTAACAAAATGTTATCTCCTATAATAATTTTTATTATATTTCTTATATTGTTCTTTTTTTAACTTATCTGAGAGTAGTTTATCTGCTCTATTCCTCCTCGCATTATATTTAGTCTTTATTTTTTTTCATTGTTTTAATTGAACTTTGTCTTCATATATAGTTCATTTTTCCCTGGGTTTCTAATATCTCATTATAGGTGTGAGCAGTATGATTTTGTTTATTATCATTAGAGAGATTATGAAATTTTAAATATAGGTCTTGTAAATTTTGTTCATGCTTTTTCCTAAATTGATTGATTAATTTTATAACATAGCCTCAAATTACTGCTTTGAAGGCACACCAGTTATTAGTTTGATTTGTGTCCTTTGAATAATTTTCAGCAAAATATAGGGAAATTATCTAAGAGATATATTCTTTGTTCTTTTTAGGGTTTAGTAAAATGTCATTCAATCTCCATGTTGGTTTAATTTTGAATTCAATTTTATCTTTAATTTCTATAATAAGAACATTATGGTCTGACCATGTATTATTAATAATCTAAATTTTTGAGGTACTTTTAATTAATGGTGTATTGCCACAGATCATGTCTAAACAGAAATAGGATAAATTAACTTTAGAAAGATGGGTATAGTCTCTCTCTTTCGGATGGAAGATTCTCCATCATATATCACATAAATCATATCTGTTAAGAGTATTTGTTAACATTATTGCTTGCTTTTTTTTTTTTTAATTGCCTTTTTTATCTATTGGGGTATTTTGTAGAATGTTTTTTGTCCATATCTACATCTTAAACGCAGTTGAAATCACCAGCTATTATAACATGTCCCTTTTTAATACTTCCTACCTTCTCTATTATCGTTTTTAAGAGAGACACTCGAGAGTGATTTGGTAAATATATGTTAACCAATGTAAATATCTCTTCATCTATCTTACAAATTACTATAATATAATGACCCATTTGGTCCAAAATTTGATAAATGTTTTAGTTTTAGATACATCTATGGCAACTCCTTTTTGCTTTTTACCTTGATTTGAGGCATATATAAGCACTGGAAAATCTTTGCCTTTAAATGTAATTTTATCATCTTATCTCCAGTGAGTCTCTTGCAAAAAAAGCAATATCCACTCTGTTTTTTCAAGTAGCCATATACAGTTGACCCTTTATATAAGGAGTTTAGACCTTGGGCGTTAGCCGATGATAACCTAACCATATGACCTTCTGCTTACTCCCTTTCCCAACCGAAATAACCTCTTATGATTTATACAATATAAAGTTAAAGAAAAAAAAATAGACAAAATTACAACTTGCTTACATACAGTTTTAAAAAACCTTCTATTCATGGAAGGTTGAAAGATAATCCTAGCTAGAAACAGAAGTAGATTCTCCATTTTCCTGATCTAGGTCGATTTCTATACCTCTTATTCGGGTGTATGGTAGAGTAAAATATGGAGCCGTCGTGCATGGGGCCACAAAAAAAAAAATAAAAAAAAATCTAATTCTATATAATCATGGACATCAAGTTCAATATGGCATTTATCTTATGTTAATCAAGTATTTAAAATGTATATATTGTGAATGTATATATTTATAGAAATCTTTGTTGAAAATCACTTATCATAAATCCCATCTTTCTGTGAAAATACATTGTGGAAAAAATATTACTAAATGCTATTATAGTTCAATGAATTACTCAATCTTCTGAGTAATATTTTATATATATTATCGTGTATATAACTTTTAGTTGTAGTGCCTTTATTACCCCTTTAATACTTAGTCATAAAATTAAATATGTGCCTTCAAGGTTATGGGAAAAAAATTGAAACACTTGTGCACAACTAATTAGATATAGTAATTAACTTAAGTTAATCCAATATTTTCTTATATATAGTGAGCATATGCTTTCGTAAAAATCTTTATATAAACCATTTATTATAAATCACAACTTTTTATCTCTATACCTTGTGTAAACTAAGTATTATTAAATTCTAATACCAATTATTAAATTGGATAATATTTCTACATATAATATCTTGTATATACTATCATATGTGTAACCTTTGTGATAGTGCCCTTATTGAGGATTAATTATTCAGATATATGCCTTAAGAGTTATATAATTAATATTCACTATATACAAATTAAATAATTTTTGTTACCATCAGAAAAAAACAAATAGATCATCAGAAAGGGGGAAAAAAGAAAAAAAAATATATATTTTTTTTCCATTACTCCTTTTTCCCTTTTCCTTTTCCTTTCCCTCTCTCTTCCCCTCTTATTCTTCATCTTCAATTGCTGAGATAGATTCATTTTGAATATTTTCATTTATTGGATTTGTTTTATCCATAACATTTTTTTTTTTTTGTATCTCTTTACTTATATTAGGTGAAAAGAAACCTGAAAGTCTTTTGTCTACCAGTTTTTTCTGATTCCTTTGTTCTGTCTTTATCTTTCTTTGCTGTTGGCTTTTTTGTTGACCTAATTTTGTTGACCTATTTTCTTTTTTTAACTTTTGCCTTTCTCTGTTTTCAGTGTTCTTTTTCTCTTTTTTTTTTTTGTAAATATGTTTTTATTTCGGTTTACATTGTCGATAATAAGTCACATTGAGACTCGCAGGTCTCCGTAGGCCTTTAGGGCACAATAACCAAAGTACAACATGTGCATAGCGTTTTTATGTCGGCCAATCGGGCGCGCAGGCCCACAATTGCGATGGACTCGCAGGTCCCTTACAGCATGCAGTTTTTGTCCCTAGACTGGTGTATCTTTTGTATTCAGTTGCTCCATTTGTTAAGTAACATTAGGCTAACTTCAGTGTGGACTCGTGGGTCCACTTAGGGTAGGACATAAGCAGCCGTTGGAAAGGAATGACAGTCTGCCAAACCAGCATTGGTGACGCGCAGGTCACAATGTAGCGGGTGTTATAGTCGGGTGTCGGGCCCGTGAGTCTCATTGCAGTAAGGTGGTCAGGTATTACCTCTAGTAAACGCTAAGGTGTCAGGGTGGGTCCGCTGGCCCCTTTGAGCCCAGCGTTAAGGCCCGTGGCCTGATCTGGAGAACGTGCATGTGGGTGTCATATGTTCTGTTGTCCCCTCATGGAGGAGTGAGCGTCTCCCCAGAGGCCTTATAGGCCCTCTCTTATGTTGTCACTGGCGTATGCCTATTACTTGTCTGTTCGCATGCGGTGTTTGGGATTGGGGGGGGTGTCCGGGTAGTGGCGTCCGGGGAAGTGGGGGGGTCGGGGTGCGTCCGCGTCTGGGTCACGTCTGTCTAGGTCGTCTCTGTGTTTGTCGGTCTATGCGGCCTCGTCACTGTGTCCTTACGTGTCGTCCGTGTACCTATTCGAGGAGTTTGATGTGGTCATGATGAGTTCCTCTATGGCTCTGAGTTCTTCCATTTGGGAGAACCAGGATGTCAACTGGGATGTCGTTTGTTGCTTCCAGAATTGAGGGATCACCTATTTGGCAACATTTAGGATTCTAATGGTTAGTGAGTGCTTGTATCTCATTCTAGGTGACTTTGTATGGTGAAGGAGCATGTGTTCTGGGAGGAAGGGGGGTGGCGTGTCTGAGAAGGTTTTGAGAAAGCCGTGTTTACCCCGCCAGAAGGGCTTTATGGCTTCGCAGGCCCACCAAAGGTGGAGTACTGTGCCGGCCTCTCTATTACACCTCCAGCAGAGATCCATGTGTTCCGGGTCCATGGCATGGAGTGCATCTTTTTCTCTTTTATCTTCTACCTTGCTGCTACATAAGCTCTTTTCTTGGTTCCTGCTTGTTTTTTTTTTATGTATCTCTTATTTTTTGGTCTGGAGGAATGTTGCTTCTTTCCTTTTCCTTTTGTTTCCCTTTCTCTTTTTCCTTCCTTTTTTTTCCCCTCCTCTTTTGCTGTTGTTCACCGTTAATTCAAAACTGTAGAGTTTTTTAAATTTGGAGTGGAGTATAGTTATGTGTTGCTAATTGGGGTATGTACCTTTATATCAAGTTTTATATTTCTTAATATTTATAATTTTGTTTTTACTTCTTTGTAATCCGGATCCTCTTCCATACAATATAAATGATCCCATATTGATTTGTGTTTTCAAATATACAATTTGATCTGAGTTATAGACCGTAACAATCAATGCGTCCGTTTTTTTTTCTTCCACTTTTTTCTCTTTTCTTTTTTATCTGTTTTTTTTTTCCTTTTAAATACCGCGGGCTATCCAGCTGTTTACTAGTATATCATAGACAATATATCAGACTGTCCATCGCCTACTGTAGTGTCCCCTTAGCACACACTCCTAATCCACAGTATATTGCCCCCCCCCCCCTCCATCCAGATCACATTCTTATTTATTCACCACATATGTACATAAGCATCTCTCGGTGAATATGCAGGGGAATCTTAAGCTGTATTCAAGTGTTTGCCTAAATGTCAGGCTATATTCCTCTTCGTGTGCTTAATCTTGAGCACCCACGCGCTCCTCCCTCCAGTATAGAATTAGCCCTACTTACTCGGTCTCTTGTCCATCTCTTTAGGATATCCGCAGGAACATTTAGTAGAATCAGGAGAATCACCGGGAGTCGACCAAGAAACCCATTGTAGTTTTCCACCTAGAGTCTTAGTGAAGATTGAAGCTGTGAGTGTGGCAGCTGGACTTGCTGGAAGCATGAGGTTTTTTAAATCCTCTCAGCTTGCAGTTTTCAAACCTGCAGCTTTCAGACCATGCTGTCCTGTCTCACTCTGTTTTCTCTCCATAAGCTCCACCCCTTGACGCCGCGTGGTCATGTGATCAGGTCACACGTCCCTATGGCCTCCAAACATAGGTTGTAATTAGATACATCATTAACTTTATAGTGCCTGGCCTCCACCTCTCTTATGGTATCCGGCGGTCTTCATTACAGATTGGACAACCCTGGTCTGTAACATTTATAAATAAGAAATGAATATTGTAACCAACAGAAAAATATATTTTAATATTGATTGAATAGGTTTATAACTCTGGGAACAGAAGATGACCATTGGTCATTGCATACAGGATTCGCTATTGCACAATTAGTGTTCCCAAACTGACAGAAGTGAGCGCAGCACACTGCTCTTTAAGTGAATTTAAATACCAAAATACATTTAGTGTCCCCGACCTAGTCACTCTTGCTAAGGTTTGAAAAGACCATTGGGAGGTCTCACTGCATACTCTTTAACCAAGTGATTTGCAAAATGCCACATTGCGTTAATCAGCATCTCCTCAATGCCTCAGCCTGTGCAGCACTGGACTAGGGATCTCATCTAGTGGCCATCTGAGCATCTGTCTCTAGAGGTGTTACTATGCAGCAATGTAAACATGCTTTTTCTCTGAAAAGGCAGTGTTTACATTGAAGATTCTGCAGGGACTGACTATAGAATCCAGAACCATTACAATAAGATGTAGTTGGTGACTATGGCGTCCGTTTAAGAATTTTATTTTTGTCATTGAAAATGAAGCTTTCTTACCTTGAAAAAAGCTGGCTTCTAGATTTTAAGCAGGTTCATAAAATCCTGGATTACTGGTTGGATGAGGGACAAGATTAGGGAAAAATGTATACATGTAGGGTACCATTGTACTCGAAAAAAGTAGCAGAATACAAATATGTTTGCGGTAATTGGACATGGGTATTCTGTGAATTTCTCTAAAATAAAATGTGTGTGTGTAAAATGAAACCAAACAAATTAACTAATTTGACCTAGGCATTTCATAAAATGGTTAAATAAGTGTCAAAATGCTCTTAATTACATAGCCTGTAGTATGTACTTTTTAGTTGTAAACACAATAAGAATAAACTGTAAATTGTTATATTTTATTAATGCCATTAACCAATATATATGAAAATGTACCACAATGTTTACAATTTAGTGTGATTCGTTTGCAGTGATAAAATAATAAACCTGTAAGAGTATTAAGAGTTTATCTGTTAATCCGCAATTAACATTATACAAATTGGCTAAAACAACACATGGTATGTCAGAGTCTGAATGTTGAAAGATAACTTACTAACCAATGAATTGTCAGTATTATTTTAAATATGTGCCACTCAGAGACCTAAAAATGAATTTACATCCAACACATATTGGGCATTTTAACAATCAGGACTAATTAGAGAATCTTTTTAAGTTTCTTTTCTTTTGTTGTATCGTTGCACTTGGTGTGTAAAAATTATTAAATGGAAAACTGGATAAAAAACGTGTTTCTTAATTGATATTTGTGTTTATAAATATATGTATATTAAAACAATAACACAAAATGGTGCACAAACAATCATTAAGTGTATTAAGGGGTTGGAGTACAAAGTTATTCAGTGGCTGATCGGTTGTATTTTTTGTTTTGTTTTTTTGCAGAGCCATACCACGTGCCCGTTATAGGAATACAGATGCCGATCTTGTGGTTTTATCTGCTAATGAATGTTATCACCCATTATCCTTTAAACAGTTTTTATTTTACATCTCTGGCTGCTCACATTTGAGCCAACAGTAGTGCTATACCAAAATCTCATGTTTTATTTTATAATTAGAGGAAGCAAATCAAGCCCTTTCAGCTTACGATAAAACTTAATATCCCAAAGGTGCATGGTTTAGCAAATTAGCGGAGAGCGCTTAGCTGACACTCCCAACCAATTAGCCGATCATCCCAGCAGGGCTTATCTCAGTGGAGCTAAAGGAAGCTCCTAGGAGTAGTTTCCTGGGCCAGAAGAGACGGTGATCGGCGCATGGCAGACCCCAGATAAGTTGTCAAACCATTCACAAACACATTACAGTGGGCTTTAGGAGTTATGGTGCCTGGGGTCTTCCTTTATATAACATAAATACAAAAAATATGTAGTGGTGTTGGCACTCAACAGTGATACAGGTGCAGGTATTGCGGTCACCCTCTTATATAACCTCTGAGATAGATAGATATAATATAAAATCAAAAAATACCGCACTCACTTAATGCAAAGAATTTAATCAAAATAAATCTTTTTGTATTGCCATTGTATGAGGGGGTTAATAGCAGAGACTATGTAATGTCATGTAAGGTGATATATATCCAATAAATTTATCTATATACACAAAGCTGATTTATATACAGAGACATTGATCTTAAACCTATAATTCATATGATGTACACATCAAAAAAAATCAGACCCAAATTCATAACATTATTAGTACAAAAATAGTAATGCACAATTTATGCTCTGGTGGATCCACCCAATGAAAAAATAGTGTGGAAATCTTTCCATGGAGGAAAAAGAAAAAGTTGCTATTAACCCCTCCCATATAACATAGATAGTTGGCTTTTAGTTTTAAAGTGACACTATAGTCACCAGTACAACAACATCTTATTGTAGTTGTCCTGCTGAGTATAACCAGTTCCCTTCAGGTTTTTTGCAGTAAACACTCTTTTCTTTTCCTCAGATGATAAGAGGTGCTTTTGGGGGCAGTGCTGCACACTGTGTAGCACTGACATTTATTGTCTTCACCCTCTGCATGGAGACACTAAACTTTCCTCATAGAAATGGATTGATGCAATGCATCTGTAGGAGATGCTGATTGGCATGCGCTGTGTTTGGCTTGTGCTGGTTCTTCCCCTGATTTGCCTCCTTGACAAGCTCAGCCAATCCAAAGCTTCCCTATAGGAAAGCACTGTGATTGGCTCAGATCACCACTTCTGATAATGTCAGCCAAGCAGGCAGATAAGGGGCAGAGCCAGCAGCAGCAGACTGCAAAAAAAGTAAGCCTATACTATATTTAGGGGGGCAAGGTGGGACTAGATGGTGTTTTTAATACTATAAGGTCCGGAATATATATTTGTATTCCTAACCCTATAGCATTCCATTAATTTTCATTTACACACATTACTTAACATTGCATCCTGTAGCTCAGTCTATATTTTATTGTAGTTTACTCATTATGGCTATACCATGTTAATCAGAGGTCCTATATTCATGCATATGTCTTGTATGGGTGCTTTTTGAATTAGTGTGAATATAATTTTGTTTCAACCTTCCTTAACTCCACTTTTCAGGTATGTGTGCATTCGGGGTGTGTTTATCCTAACCACTGAGTGCCCTTCTCTCACAGTAACCCTGGTTGTCACACTTCGCAAGTTCCTTAGCCTCATTATTTCCATTTTGTACTTTAATAATCCTTTTACCACTTGGCACTGGATTGGCACTTTTGTTGTTTTTCTGGGGACTCTGTTGTACACTGAAGTGTGGACTTCTCCAAGCAAAGATAAGGAGGACACAAAGCGGGAATAATTTTTTCCAACTCCAGTGTATGTGCGAATAAGTATAACATCTTATATTTGCCCTTCAGTTTGATACAAGATGAAGAACTCTGAGCATAAATGTTTTTTTTTTGTTGGGTTCTTTTTTTAAATTTTTTTTTAATGTAATGTCTATGTTTCTATGTTGAAATACCTCTGGCATTATCATGTCATGATAGGTGAACCTGTTGTCCGTATTTTAAGTTGAACTAAATAGTCCCCAAATACATCACGTATTCGAGACATACATGATGTATTCAATGTAAAATATTGAGATATGTTCACCTTACCTCTGTTCCAATGCTTCTCCAGCTCTCTCCTTTTACTCACCAAACTTCCTCTGTGATGCCAACACGTTGGTTTCATTTGCCAGCATGCCGACATCTAAAAGGAGTGATATTAGTTACGGTTTCTATATTCTCTATCCAGCACTGGCAGCATTGGCTAGAGCTGCCATAGCAACCACAGCACATGCTATGTGGTTGCTATGTAGGGAGAACAGATGGACTACCAGTGGGGAGGTCTTTTCTGCTCTCCCTTGTCAGTACATTCTTTTGCATATAGTCTTTGCCAAAGAACTGATTGACAGGTTGGAGAAAAAAAACTTTTTTAAAATACATTTGCTAGCACAATTTATAGATTAATTGTTTGTTCTTTTAAAATAGCATAACTTTTACCTGGCAAATCAGGTACCATTTATGCAATGAACGCATAAGTTCTTTTTCATTGCATAAGGAGCTTTTAATCCAATGTTACTACTCTCTAGTGTTGTTTAGCCACCGTAATGCTGGATTGATGGGGTTACATTAGTGTAACACACACCAACTGCCTGTTACATAATTAAGCCTGCTTTGGAAGCAGGCTTAATTGTCATTCCCTTGTCATTCCAACTCTCTGGCTTCTTTGCCAGTGCTGTGGTGTGTAATTTCAGTCACACTTGTCCTGCATTTCTCCGGCAAGCTATGAGATGCTAGTACGTTGTAAATGACAGGGATAATTTCAGCAGTCACAAGGTATGTACTGTATTTGCTCTGAAGGAGAGCAGGAAAGCTACTTGGATGAGGAGGAGGCTTCTCCGGTTCTTCCCCTGCCAGTTAACTATTGGCATACTCCTGTGTGGTGCAAATTAACAGTTGACGGTATTTTGGGGGGTATTATTTTTCTATAAAATCTATACTTTTGCTAGCAAAATGTATAGGTGAAATATAATACCAGGTGAATTATAGGTATAGAATTTATATAAGTATGCAAACTTAAAATACTCAGGGATAATATACATGTAATAAGACTTAAAGAGGCTATGAAAAAACTCTTACTGGATGATTAACCTTGTGAAACAGAACTGTGCTATAGTGACAGCATCCCAGGTTTAATCATTGACAAAAAAAAGTGCTCTACTGCCTATGATAGACATTATGCATTGATTAAATACTAATTTCTGATTTAAATTTAGTACATGATCATCCTAAACCTACACCTCCCCAAAATGCACTGGTGATATACTTGGTTTCTAGAATGGGATTTAATGATTTATTTTTTTAATGATTTCATAGTTTGGGGAAGTAGGGCAGGCGTTTGATTTTTAAAAAATGTAATTATTAATTGTTGTTATTCTTTAGCCATTATGACATACTGCATGTTAAAAAATATCCATCAGTAGCACATACAGAAATCTGTGGGGTTGGAAAAATAATCAATGCTTTTCTCTAGGGCAATTTTCTTAGTGAAGCACTAAGGGCATAACTAAGCTAACACTATCATTTGGCAACATAGAGCCAGCAAAGAACAGTATTAAAACCAGGGAACAAATCTGTAACTAACTATTGAGGGGCCATCAGATCTTTAAGCTTTTACAATTGTCTGTTACATTTCAGTTTATCTGATAAATGAACCTCTTTTTGACAATGTTATTTTATGTAGAGCTTAATTACCTCTTAGAAATATGGATTATCTGTAAGCTACAGGCTCATTTTATACAAGTTAAAATTTCCAAAAAAATTGGCTTTTTTTATTTTAAATCTCCTTGGTAACACATTATCGTCATGCAGACAGATGGGAATGTTTCTCATTTGCCTTAAAGGGACACCATAGACACCAAACAACTTTAGCTTAATTAAGCAGTTTTGGTGTGTAGATCATGCCCCAGTAGTCTAACTGCTCAATTCTCTGACATTTAAGAGTTAAATCACTTTGTTTGGGCAATCCTAGCCATGTCTCCCTACATGTGACTTACAAAGCCTTCTTATACACTTCCCACAAAGTCATCTAATGTTTACACTTCCTGTACTGCAAATTATATTTAATTTATAATTTATGTCCTGCTCTGTTAATAGCTTGCAAGTGTGTGATTAAAGTTAAATTTACAAAGCAGAAGATAGAAACTTTTAAAGTAAGTTACATCTGATTGAAAATTAAACCATTTTGTTTGCATGCAGAATGTGGCTGGGGCTGCATATTTGAAACAAACATGGGGGGGAATTGTGCAGTGAGATTGCAGAGGCATGATCTATACACCAAAATTGTCTGTTTAACCCCTTAAGGACACATGACGTGTGACATGTCATGATTCCCTCTTATTCCAGAAGTTTGGTCCTTAAGGGGTTAAGCTAAAGTTGTTTTGGGGACCATAGTGTCTATTTAAACTGTTCCTGAAAGTGAAAGTGAAAGCTTCTCATAGAATACCACTGGTTTCAAGACTGAGTTAATTTTTCTAGGAGAAGAATCTGATTGGACACAGGTAATCAGTTATGATGACTTCACAGGAGTTGTATAAGATGTGTAGAAAAGATACTGTCTCAGAGCTGAAATAAAGTGAGTTTATAAAAATTTCAATATACATGAATTTAAAAGAATAAATACATTATGAAATGGTATATAACAGATTTATATTACAATGGTAAAAAAAAAAAAAAAAGAGTTTTTTTTTTTAACACTTCTACATAATCAGTGTCAGTTCGGTCCAGCATTGATTTGCTTAGAGTGCTATGGGTGTGTTATTGACACTGGTAATGCAGACATATTAATTCTGCCTTATTAATGTAGCTGGGAGGTGACGTTCCCTCTGTTTATATCAAACCGTGGATGGTGCCAGGGGATGTTGAGTTAATCCTTTGCATGATAGCATTTCTTGTATAGTATTTATACATTAAGGTTAGCATACGCAGAAAGCCTGTCATGTAATTTTATTATGGTAGTTATTTTATGTTATATCAAGCAATTTTCTTAACCTATGTAACAAGACTGTAACTGTGTGCAGAAAACAAACATGGTTACAAACACTGAACTTTTTTTTTTACTGTAGACGGTACCATCTCATCACTGTACACTGTACCATTCAACATGTCTTTAAATTTTTATTATAATAGTATTTTTGTTTTGTGTTTTTTTTCTTTTCATACAATTGTAACATTCTGCTTGAGATGCAGCCAAACGTTTTCTCTGCATTTTGAGTAACAATCAAAAACAATCATCCTTTATCTATACTTTGGAATAAGTATGAATAGCTTAGCATGGGGAGAGATATGCCAGGAAGGTAAAGGTTCTTTATGGTCTATTCAGAAGCTGATATAATTTTAATATTATTGTAAACACACCTCCAAACAAGTAAAATCTCAATTGGGTGAGAGTAGTACAAAGTAAGACACGAAACAAGTTAAAGAGCACTGTCCGTAAGTACTTTAGCTCATTGTAGTCTCAAGTAGCAAAAGAGTATGCATGGTCCTCAATACAGTTTATGTCAACCTCTAAGCCTTTTTGGAAAAAAAATTATTGCTCCGCTCTTCTGCAAAACTCATTTAATCGTACAATTAAATGGCACAATGAATGGTCTGACCTTGCCGTTTCTGGCACCCACTTTCCTTCCAGTCTGAGTTGGTCTGATAAAATAAAATTATGTTTTTATCATTTAAACTCATATCTGGTTTAAACCGTATTAAATTTCTGACTGTCAGCTGATGACTCTGCCTCTAAACCTGGTATAATAATGCTAAAGTATGAACTTCCACTTTATCAGACCAGAAGGAATGCAGGCATTGGACACAGCAAGGTAGGTGCAAAACCATTCATAAGCGGTTCGACAGACTACTGGTGGATGACGCTTATTGACTCGTGGCACCATAACCACTTCAGCATGCTTTAGTGATTGTTGCCTAGAGTGACCCTCTAAAGGCAGACAAGACCCATGTGGCATTTTCATTATGATCATGTCCTAGGATAACCTAAACTTTGATGTTGGAACTAACAAAGCAATTGCCTGAGGATTAACTTCTAGTTTTAATATTATTGTATCAAAATAGTTGACAGGTGTTAGTATATTTCCCATAAGTGCCTTATCCCCTAGATGTTATCTGCAGCAGTGTTCTGCAGAGCACAATGTGCTGCTCATTCCACACCTGGAAACAGTGGACATAAACATTTATTAACACAAAGGTCAAGTAATATGTGTGTTTTTGTGTGTGTGTGTTTTGTTTTTGTTTCCCTTTGTATTTTGTAGTAGTGTGTGATCTGCAGGGGATTGCCCTCCACTTTCCATAACTTCTCAATGCAACATCTTACCATTCTGTTTTTACATCCATACTCTATATCACTGATGACAAACCTAACGTGCTAGATGTTTGTAAACCACATATCCGTATGCTGCTCATTAAGCCACAATGCAGACTTAACATCTTGAATGTAACTCTAGGTTCTTTTATGATACAGAAACCTCCTTAATGCCTTTCGAAAGTATACACTTCCCAGGTTCTCATTTAGATGTCATTATGAAATAAATGTGTAGTTTGCCAATTAATAAAGCTGTAATTTAAATGATAAGACAGTCATTTTGTGCTAGTGTTGGTGAATGCTTATGTCCACAGTGAATCTCTAACTGGAAAACAATCTGCACTTATTCCTATGATGCTCACTGGCACAATGCCATGGGAGAACAATTGTCAGGTTGTTGGTGATACTAGTGGTTTTGTTACAGGTTTAGTTATAACATGGTTTCTATGTTCCAAAATATGTATCATGTTGTCTCTTTGTATTATATAATTATTGTTTAATAAAGAAAAAATTACAGAAGTATTTTTTGGCACAAGATAATTTTTCCTTATTTGGAAGTAGTCTTGCAGTTGAAAAGGATTACTTTATACATATGAAGATCAGGTGTGCCTCTTCATGCACACAGGGTTATTCAGTAAAATGTGAATTGAAGTTTCTCCACTGACTATTTTGACCTAACATTTGAAAGTTAGTTAAAATGCAAAACAATCCACACTTTAATGAAAAACTTTAGCAGTTTATTTAATCACTCCAAAGAGCAATAACTAGACTTGTACATTAATACTTTTCAGCTGATCCAACTCAAATTCCTTTAAATCTATGCCTGTAGGGTTTAGCATCCTGTTAAATGAACACTATAACATTAGGAATACAAACATGTATTTCTAACACTATAGTGTTCCCCCCACCCCATTAATAAAGGGTTTTAAAACATTTTTATTAGAATTTTTAAAATAAACTTTTATTTGCTTGACTTTATCCTCTGTGCGGGTAATTTCTCTACCTCTAGCGACGTCATTCCGATGGGGGAACCTAATGCACACTCGTTAACGCTTCGCTAAAGTCAGCCTTGTGTTAAAGATTTCCTATGGAGGATTTGAAGGTGCTAGATGTCCCCTTGCAAAGCGCATGTTAAACTACGTTGGATAGCAGGAAGTGCCTCTACTGGCTGTCTGAAAGACCATGCAAACTGAAACTGCAATGTTAAGGGGACAGGGGCACTAAATGAGATGAAGTGGTCTGGGTGCCTATAGTGTCTCTTTAAGCTAATAATTGAAAGCAGTTATGTCTGTTATAGCATACATCGTTTAGATTTTTATTTCTGTGTTGCAATACCCCCTGAAAAATGCTATGAGTTTTTTTTTTCATTCTGATTCTCATCCTTCCTCTGTTATTTTATCTTAATGTCCCCACAAAAAATAAAATAAAAATTAAGTAAATACAGCAGGCATTAGGTTTGGTCTTCCATGGTCTATTAATCAGATGTGAAGCATCTAAACATGGCATTCATGGAGTAAGACCTTTTTTTTTGTTTGTGAATATATTTTTATTTGACTTTTTCAAAATTTTCATAAAGTGTGGACACGCAGGTCCAATCATTTACAATTTCCATTTTTTTTCTGGGGATACGGTGTTACCTTGTATACTATAGTGGCATACAAGTCTCTTTTGAGCTTTTGTGGTTCTTTTTCAGTGGACTTGCAGGTCCTTTCGCATATACAATAAGACAAGCATAGCTCTATAGTTCACAGTGTGTTTACCATGTCTGGGTCTAGTAGTCTTAATGGGAGTCTTCGTTGGTGTCTTGTGTGCTGAGGGTAGGTGTCGTTTACTGTCAGGGGAGGTGGGGGGGGGAGGAGGAGAGGTGGTGTGGTCTCCCTTCTGAGGTCTGCCGGCAGTGATAGCTGTATGTATTGTGATCGGTTATCGTTGTCTGCCTGCCTCTTGTATGTGGTAACCTTCCCTGCAGCCGCGGGGTTACCTACCAGGTGTCCCTTTCCTCTCTATTGCTGGTGTGTTTACTTTTCCCTCTTTTCCCCTCATCTGTATCCTCATATTTTATGTTCCCTATGTTCTGTGTTCAAGCCTGCCTATCTGTGGTGTCTCGTCATCTACTCTTATCTTATGCATGTCGCTGCTCTCCGGCCCAGAAATTTTGCAAAGTGCTAAATTGTGGCCTAATGATCTAAGAGAGGTAGGAACACAAATGGAGTGTACCTGTTGGTTCCAATTGTTTCCATGTTGATCGCACCTCATTTAGTAATTCACACTTAAAAATGAACACAACAGATTGATAATTAACCCCCTATGTGTCAAAGCCAATGCATTCCAGAACATGGAATATATTTGTATTCATACATGTTTCAACCACAATGCTAGTATTCCTACATCCTATAAAAAAACAATGGAGGAAGAATCTTAGATCTGTATATCTATGCAATAGGAAAAGTGTACTAGTATATCATTGCTTTCTGAACAACTCCTTCCAACATACCGTGTTTAACCCCTTAAGTACTGAGGTAATTGTACAAGTTATAAATGAAAACAAAACCTAGAATTTGAGCTATGTATTTCTTAAACCTTAGTTTACCGCTTTATTTTATGTGTACCCACACTTATATATAAATTTGTTCAGGAGAAATAGGGCTTTAATTTCACATGAAATATCTATATATGATACACAATTTAATGTGAGAAATTAAGAAATGCTATTTTCCAATTTCTGCATGGCATTTTAATTGTGAATGTCTTGATACTGTTAGCTTTTACTGCAATAAAATACACACAGATTTGTATGCAGTGATGGTCCACGAGTACAAGTTGCATTGGAGACCGTTTTTGAATTCTGCTTTTTCACTAATGATATTATGGTAATTGTACATTTTACTGCTCTAAAACACTTGTTTGTATTCAGCGATGTTTCACGAGTACAACAGCACCCCTCCCCCATACAGGTTTTATGGGGTTTTGGAAAGTTACAAGGTCAAATATACACATGAGCATTTCAGTCTTCCTGCCTGGAAATTTGATTACCGTATATACTCGAGTATAAGCCGACCCGAATATAAGCCGAGGCCCCTAATTTTACCCCAAAAAACTGGGAAAACGTATTGACTCGAGTATAAGACTAGGGTGGGAAATGCAGCAGCTACTGGTAAATTTCTAAATAAAATTAGATCCTAAAAAATTATATTAATTGAATATTTATTTACAGTGTGTGTATATGATGAATGCAGTGTGTGTGTATGAGTGCACAGTGTGTGTATGAGTGCGCAGTGTGTGTATGAGTGTGCAGTGTGTGAGTATGAATGCAGTGTGTGTGTATGAATGCAGTGTGTGTGTGAATGCTGTGTGTGTATATGAGTGCAGTGTGTGTGTGAATGCTGTGTGTGTGAATGCAGTGTGTGTGTGTGAATGCAGTGTGTGTGTGTGAGTGCAGTGTGTGTGTGAGTGCAGTGTGTGTGTGAATGCAGTGTGTGTGTGTGAATGCAGTGTGTGTATGTGAATGCAGTGTGTGTATATGAGTGCAGTGTGTGTGTGATGCAGTGTGTGTTTGTGTTGCAGAGCCTTGGTGGGGGGGTGGGCATTTTTATAAAAAAAAATTTTTTATATTTTAATTTGTTTTGTTATATTATTATTATTTTTTTATTATTATTTATATTATTTTTTATATTATTTTTATTATTATTAATCTATTATTATATTTATATATTTTGTTGTCCCCCCTCCCTGCTTGATACATGGCAGGGAGGGGGGCTCTCAATCCCTGGTGGTCCAGTGGCATTGGCAGTTCAGTGGGGCGAGGAGGGAGGCTGGCAGAGCTGTTACTTACCTCTCCTGCAGCTCCTGCCAGCTCTCTCCTCCTCCGCGCCGGTCCGTGCAGCTCTTCTCTCAGCTCACACTGTAAGTCTCGCGAGAGCCGCACTATGACCCTGCGGCTCTCGCGAGACTTACACTGGGAGCTGATCGAGGTGCTGCACGGACCGGCGCGGAGGAGGAGAGAGCTGGCAGAAGCTGCAGGAGAGGTAAGTAACAGCTCTGCCAGCCCCCAGTCTGTATTATGGCAATGTAAATTGCCATAATACAGACAGTGACTCGAGTATAAGCCGAGTTGGGGTTTTTCAGCACAAAAAATGTGCTAAAAAACTCGGCTTATACTCGAGTATATACGGTAAGTGATTTTCTGGGCATATGTTGCCTTTGCTATAGTATGGCAGCATGGATAATAACCTTCCCACCATTATGGCAATCCATGTTCAAAAGTAGGCAACCCAGAGTATTCCAAATTGTATTGCCATATTGTGACCACTTCAATGGCATATATTTTTGAAAAAGCAATCTACCTTTAAATTTATAAGAGATTTTTCAATACAAATGTTTTGCTCTGGGATATCATTTTGGGAGAATTTGTTAGACATGAGTTGGATAAGGGGCCAAAGTTTATAGTGCATATCAAACAGTACGCTATCGTTAAAATGTAGGAATCTCAGCATTTGCTCTTTGCGATCCCTCTTCAAAACCCCTGGGAAAAGAGGGGTAGCCATGAATGGGGGTATTTCTGGGGCAGTAAAGTTTGAGGTGTAACGGATCACCTGGCACCCCAACTGGGTACCTCCGTTGATGGATGCTCCTAGCGCTTCTTGAAGATTCCAAGCACTCTAGCCGTCACCACAAGCCTAACCTCTCTTCTTTCAGAACAAAGCAGGAACGAGCTCTTAAAAGAGCTTAGGAGTGATTATAGCAAGGGAATATGCAGAGCATAGCAATCCTTTGTAGCAGATTCCCCCCGATAAGAAACAGAACTCCAAACTGAGGGTGAAGTAAAAATTTCTTTTACTTGGGACTAGCCCATATGGTCATTACATTAACATTGCTGTGAAAACTCAATAAAATTACAAACAGTCAAATCATAGCAGGAAACATACAGTGACTTATAACATAATTACATATTTATAAATGGGTGGGGAAGACCATAATTAACACAAAATATCTCTTCTGCATGCAGAATTAGCGATATGCAAATCTACCCAAATATGCAAATTACCAGTCTTGCTATTCAGGTAGTGCATATTACTCTTGCTACCAACAGAGGGCACTACACAAGCTCCATAGCCAAATCCACCTAGTTGGTAGAAATCCTCAGCAGTACAGGAGAGCAGGCAATACATCCCAGGGGCCATAGTCACATGGCAGGAGGCTGGCAATCAGTCTTCTCCAATGCCCAGTGGTGAGGCTGGTTCCGCCATATTTCTCCCCTTTTCCAAACAGACTAACAGGATATCTGACCTCCTGCCAGTAAGTCCAGAAACCCACCCACGAAGCACAAACAGTAATACAGCCCACCCACAATACATGGTTACTACACCTAGGTAAAAGATTAGCTCGTCCATGTCCAGGTGCCTCAACACGGCTGTGTGGGGTACGGATAGGCTGCCTTGGTGGATTGCTGAGGGGGCAGAGACCCGCAGTACTCTACCCTGGTGCCAGCGCTACCACAGGAGTAGCCTGGTTGGAGCCATGCTGAAAAGAAGAGTTGGTATGCTCCTCTCTTGGGATCTGGGGCTGCTTTGGTTACATAGTCCTTCTGCTGGAGGGGGAGACTGACTGTCCCCGCTTTGGACATACAGCCCTGCTGCTGGAGGGGGAGACAGAGTGTCTCCCCTTTGGCTAAACAGCCCTGCTGCTGGTGGACAGGACTGACTGTCCCTACTCCCAGTTGTGCATGTGCAGAGACCACGGTCCCATCTGCACTGTTGTGGAGCTTACTGTCTCCCCTTGGTTGGCTAAGCTGCCGTTGGGGAGAGGGGGTAACAAGCTCCTCTCCCATACATACTTTCAGCCCCTGGGAAGAGGGGGTAACAAGCTCCTCTCCCATACATACTTTCAACCGCTGGGGAGAGGGGATAACAAGCTCCTCTCCCTGACACACTCTCTGCTGTTGGAGAGGGGGACCGACTGTCTCCCTTTTCAATATATTGTCCCGCTGCTGGGGAGCGAGACCAACTGTCTCTGCTCCCTGCCGGACACACTGCTGCTGGGGAGGAAGGACGGCACCTTCGGCTCCCTGGGACACGCTTGACTGCTGGGGAGAGGGACCGACTGTCTCCTCTCCCAAGAACTCACACTGCCGCTGGGGAGGAAGGACGGCACCTTTGTCTCCTTGTAATTCACTGGACTGCTGGGGAGAGAGACCAGCTGTCTCCTCTCCTAAGGACACACACTGCCGCTGGGGAGGAAGGACGGCACCTTCAGCTCCCTGGGACTCACTGGACTGCTGGGGAGAGGGACCAACTGTCTCCTCTCCTAAGGACATACACTGCCGCTGGGGAGGAAGGACGGCACCTTCAGCTCCCTGGGAAACATACTGCTGCTGTGGGGGGTGGGGAGGAAGGACGGCACCTTCGTCTCCCTGTGACTCACTGGACTGCTGGGGAGAAAGAATTACACATTCAGCTCCCTGTAACACACACTGCCAATGGGGAGGAAGGACTGCACCTTCAGCTCCCTGGGACTCACTGGACTGCTGGGGAGAGGGACCAACTGTCTCCTCTCCTAAGGACATACACTGCCACTGGGGAGGAAGGACGGCACCTTCAGCTCCCTGGGAAACATACTGCTGCTGTGGGGGGTGGGGAGGAAGGACGGCACCTTCGTCTCCCTGTGACTCACTGGACTGCTGGGGAGAAAGAATTACACATTCAGCTCCCTGTAACACACACTGCCAATGGGGAGGAAGGACTGCACCTTCAGCTCCCTGGGACTCACTGGACTGCTGGGGAGAGGGACCAACTGTCTCCTCTCCTAAGGACATACACTGCCACTGGGGAGGAAGGACGGCACCTTCAGCTCCCTGGGAAACATACTGCTGCTGTGGGGGGTGGGGAGGAAGGACGGCACCTTCGTCTCCCTGTGACTTGCTTGACTGCTGGGGAGAGGGACCGACTGTCTCCTTTCCCAAGAACTCACACTGCCGCTGGGGAGGAAGGACAGCACCTTTGTCTCCCTGTAATTCACTGGACTGCTGGGGAGAGGGACTGTCTCCTCTCCTAAGGACACACACTGCCGCTGGGGAGGAAGGACGGTACCTTCAGCTCCCTGGAACTCACTGGACTGCTGGGGAGAGGGACCAACTGTCTCCTAAGGACACACACTGCCGCTGGGGAGGAAGGATGACACCTTCAGCTCCCTGTAACACACACTGCCGCTGGGGAGGAAGGACTGCACCTTTGGCTCCCTGGGACTCACTGGACTGCTGGGGAGAGGGACCAACTGTCTCCTAAGGACACACACTGCTGCTGGGGAGAAAGGACAGCACCTTCAGCTCCCTGGGAAACATACTGCCGCTGGGGGGGGGTGGGGGAGGACGGCACCTTTGTCTCCCTGTAACTCACTGGACTGCTGGGGAGAGGGACCAACTGTCTCCTCTCCTAAGGACACACACTGCCACTGGGGAGGTAGGACGGCACCTTCAGCTCCCTGGAATACATACTGCCGCTGGGGATCTGGGCCGACTGCCCAGCATCCCTGTAGGGCCAGTAGAGAGACCTTGGTCCCATCTCCACCTGCCAGCTGGGTGTCTACCCAGGACAAGTCAATAAGGTCTTCCATCTCTGGGGCTGGTTGGGACGTATGTGGTACAGTACCAAGGTCCCCTGATAACAGGCTTGGTTGCTGGGGAGGAGGAACTAAACTCAATGCTTCTGTTATATATCGTCAATAAGCCCCATCATGTCAGAGACAGGCAGCGTTATATGTTGGAATAGGCAAACATAATCCTGTTCTACTTCAATCTCTGAAGTAGTGATGGTTTTCCCAAGGCTAGGAAGCCATCCCACCGCTGCCACCAATGTAACAGATCACCTGGCACCCAACTGGGTACCTCCGTTGATGGATGCTCCTAGCGCTTCTTGAGGATTCCAAGCACTCTAGCCGACACTACAGGGTCCTGCAGTTTTCCTGGCACTGGAGAGTCCCTTTAATGTCAGTCTGTCAAAGTGTCACTGCCTGCAAGAGTGTCAATGACTGAGAATGCCAGAAAGGCATAAGCCTCCTCTGCCATACAATTGAGTGCCATCTAAAGGGATTTCTCATTAGTTTGCCTACTTGACTAATACCCACTACCTCACCCACCAAAAGCTGCGACCAGCACTAAAAGTTATATAATTATTTTTAATACATATAATAAAAAAATGTCAGCTTGATCAGAGATCACTGATACAGTAACATACAGCACAGATACTGTACAGCAAGCATGTCAAACTCGCAGCCCACAAGGGACATCTTTGCGGCCCAGCGAGCCGCGAGTACATGCCTAATGCTCCAAGCAGAGTAGGCACCTGCTTTCCCCACATTGCAGGTGCCTACTCTGCTAACACTTAACTGGCTGGGGAGGAGGGCCAGCCAAGGAGCTCAGTGTTCCTGCTCTCTCGCGCGTGCTGTCTGGAGTGAAGCCGGAATATGATGTCATATTCCGGCACCACTAAACTGTGCAAGGGAGCAGTGCGAAGCAGATAGAAGGACCCCACGGAGATGCCCCACATCGGCTCCAAAAGGTAGGGAGCAATAAAGAAAAGTATGTGTGTGCAAGTGTGTGTGTCTGTCTGTGAGTGTGTCTGTCTGTCAGTGTTCCACCTTCACAGGGTTTCAAAAAGTAGTGGGAGGATCAGATTTGGCACAGACGGCAGCATTTGGGGTATACCAGAGGCCGGACTCAGAAGTCGCATACTGGCAGCAGCAATGTGAGTGGAGTCTGCTTGTTGGCTAGAGGAGGTGCTGGGATTTAGTAGAGGGGGAGGACTGACTTAAACCTTGTTTATGTGGCCTGTGCCAGACTTTGAGTTTGACATGCTTGCTGTACAGTACAGGGATCAGACAGCAAGGATGGGGGTTACAAAATTTTTAACTGCCATAGCTGACAAAAAGATCCAGGGTTAATACTGTGATTAATAGTGAAAGGGTTAAATCATTTTAATTTTCACAGTAACTGACCTGAAATCACTGATGATTAGATTTTTTTTTGTTCCCAAGTTTGGCTATTCTCACCAAAAACATTTGCTGTTCAATTCACACTTTAGGATGCCTGCCATTTCTTATTACTATTGGAAAGAAATTATTTTATACCTCTAGTACCAGTTCTTAATCTACATATAAGCCACCACTTGCTGCCCAACTGCAGATACTATACAAAGGAAGCCAGGTTGAAGCAAAATTTTGATTTATTGACATGTTTGAGATCATAAAGATGTTCGTATTTTGAATATGCAGGCTAATAACTGTAGGAATATGGTTATATTTCATATAGTTCTTTTGAGCTCAATCACTTATAAAAAAGAAGGACAAGTCATGTTTATTGTTACATTTTTTGAAATTATTACAGTCTGTAAGTTTATCACACAATTATGTGTGCTATTTAAAAGAAAATAGAATGTACACTTAAAGGAGCACTCTAAGCTTGAATTGTGCTGTAGTAGGTATGTCACTGATAAAGCATCTATGTCATCCCCAACCCCCTGAAATTATGTTGTTTTAGAAAGTTACTTTCTAAGCAGATTAATTTAAGGGGACAAATAAAAAAGTAATGGGGTTCCCTAGCCACACACAACGCTCATTGGTGATCATTGGACTTGTCCTACTTACATTTTTATGTCATGCTGGTACCACCAGGTCTTAACAGTACCTATGTCTACTATTGCGCCCCCTGAAAAGGTTTTACTCTGCCCTCCCTAGGGTTCTGAGTAAAAGCATGTGTATATTCGATTCGTTAGGATTTTCAAGCTTCATCACTGGGAGGAGGTGACTCAACACTATCAAAATTGACAGAATAGGACAAAGTGAATAAATTATGTGGAGTTTGATTTAAACTCCACCGGTCCTGGTGTCACCAATGAGTGTTTTGTGTGATTAGGAAGGTTATGATGACCCTAAGACAGGCTGGGGCAAGTGAGGTGAAAAGTGTTTAAGAAAAAAAAACTATTTTTGAATATTTCAACAGAACTTTTTTAGTTATTTTTTTTTTTCTTATTTCTGTGAAGAGGAGCCATAGTACTGGTGTCCATGGGATCCAGGTCAGATAAGTGTCAAGTCATTTGAAAATGGTTTCACTCTTAACAGTGTGATAGTGCTAGGGCACTCCTGGTACCACAAGCATTCCAGTGGGGCTGTATAGGTTAAGGTGCTTAGAGTACTCTAATAGTGATAAAACCAGCCTTTGTCAGGAAGAGAAGAAGAGAAGAAGGATGATTTTGGATATGGATTTATTAGTGGAATCTGGAATTTAACCATACTATCTATATTAAAATGTACTAACAATATGACCACAATCAGGTGTAGCTTAGTTCTACACTATATTAGGTTGACAATTTTTTGCGTCCACATGGTATAGGAGGCAAGATGGGTTTGGTATTTGAACCTGGACGGCTTGTGCGTGTGGATAGGCGGGAAGACGAAGAAGATTTGGACTTTGATGCTCCTAGTTCAGACCGTGTAGAAGATTGCATTCGTGGTGTATCTGGAGTATTTCCTGTACTCTGCTCCTCTGCTGTGTATAATAAAGAAAGTAACAAAATAGTGGCTGTTAAGTAGTGGGATTGAGGTTTTCATCTATTGTGTACAATATTTAAGGTGCTGGAAGATAATTAGCAAAGTTAGAGAAAGTGCAATCAATATAACAAAATATGTAAGTGGTATATTTATTTCTTGTAATAATATGTTACCTTGACTGTCAAATTATTTTTGGAGCAATTTACTTTTCTTTGTAAGCATCTATTATTAGAGTACACGATTTTTTAAATGTATCGCAAGTCCATGTAGAAAAAGAATACAGTATTTATTTTTCTGTTCCAAACCTGGTGTTGTGTCTGCTCTTTTCACAAGGCTGGACAGGTCCAGTGGTTCTATTTTGTCCTCTGGAGGTGAGTGAATATTAATAACAGGGGTTGGTTGAGAGGAGGAACGGTGATCAGAGAAGGCACCAGCTGAAGAAAGTAACGATAGCCCCGAGCTGGGCCGAGAATCTCTAGAACTGTGGACATGTCAGGAATAAGGGAGTTATAAATACAAAACATTCAGTCTTAAAAAAAAATACAAAAACAATGTTTTTCTTTTATATGGAAATGTATACTGATCCAACCAAATGAATAACAATAGACCTATGTATGTAGATCTATCCAGTTGTGTTAGCTATAACACTTTGACAGTGTCACGTTTTTCCACCATGTTATATGGCAAGCCCAGTGGAATATACATTTAATCCCTTTTAAGCAGTGCACCAATTTATAGTGATGCAATAACGGAAATCTGTCCCATAATATCCCGCAGACGTGTCATAACTTGAACATGTACAAAAGTGAAAATACTTTATATGAGAGTAATACTAATAAGCAACAACTGAGTGGAAAAGGGGAGGAAGGAAAAAGAACCCTTTACGTAAGTGAAGTAACCCACATATAACATTTAAAGGATCACTATAGGGTCAGAAACACAAACATGTATTCCTGACCCTATAGTGTTAACACAACCAACTAGCCCACCTGGGCCCCTCATGCCTCCATAAATATAGCAAAATCTTACTGTATTCAAGTCAGAATGATTCAAACACAGCCCTGGCCAATCAGCATCTCCTCATAGAGTTGAATTGAATCAATGAATCTCTATGAGGAAAGTTCAGTGTCTGAATGCAGAGGGAGGAGATACTGAATCACAGGATGCTGTGCACAGTGTTGCCCTGTGCTCTGCTGACAACAGATCTGAGTGGATGGAGGCATATCATGCCTCCATCAACTCCGAAGTCCCTCTGGTTCACTCTGAGTTACTGCAGCTGGAGGGGTTTCTCAGAAAACACAGTGTTTACATGAGATAGGCTGCAGGGAGCTATAGTTCTCACCTGAACAACCTCATTAAGCTGAAGTTGTCCAGGTGACCATAGTGTCCCTTTAACTTTTATTAGAAATCTCATAAAACCATTAATATGGTAGTATATTGAATTTTTTTTTTTTTTTTTTAAAGTCCCTACAATCGGGACTGAACAGTATAAATCACTGATTTAAAATAATGTCCTTATTGCATCTGGAATAGCTAATGAATACAAAGTATTATTTAATTTTGTACTTTATATTTATTAGCTATTCCAGATTTAATAAGGACATTATTTCAAATCAGTAATCTATACTATGTTCAGTCCCGATTGTAGGGACTTAAAAAAAAAAAATTTCAATATACTACCATATTAATGGTTTTATGAGATTTCTAATAAAAGTTACGTTTTATATGTGGGTTACTTCATGTCCAAAAGTGTTTCCAAACTTTTCCGAGCTGTCTCTTGATCTCAGAGTAGGTAAAGAAATGTAAAGCTACCCACTATAAAAGTATGTGATTAAGATTTGTTTGTTTTAACATATTTTTGATGTATTTTAATTCTAACCTACCAAATTATCAGCTAGTTAGTTAATAATTTGTCAGTACAACTGTACCAATCTAATTTACCACTGTAAAATACAATTTGTAATTGGTTACAACTCAGCCCAACCACAATAACAACTTTGCAGAAATGCAAAGGTGATAAAGCATACAATATTCTGAGCCTACTGTCCGCTACGACAAAAATATGTGAAAATTACTGCAGCTCTAAGCCTGCCTCTTAGATCTGTCCATCACGCAGGCAGAAGGCTTAGTTTCGGCTGCCTAATATCAGTTTTGCGCGGTGCGCCCTTTTCCAGGAGAAATAAATAAGCCATAGAGCCACAGCTCTACTGAGAGCTTAACATAGCCTGGATCAAAAAACAGTGAACTAGCTAACTGTAAATTTATAGCATACAGAAAGAACTTCTCTTGGGGATGAGCTACTTGAACTCTGTCTTTCATCTTTCCCAAGTTTATAAAAGAAGTACAATTAACTTGAGTATTAGTAACAATATCAGTATCAATACATCAATATTATTATTTGTATTCTGCCTCGATGCACCTGGAATCATGGCTGGCTGGAGGGAGGCTGCTGTCTGTACTAACATTACTTCCATTTTGAAGCATAGATGTGCATGATGATGGATCTAGAAGGCGGCGATGTGTACCCAGTGTTGCTGGAGCTGTTAGAGGACCTCTAAAAAGTAAAACAGATAGAAGACACATTATAAAACTGGATGGACATGTCTGTACACACAACACACTGGCACTGTAAAGTAAGCAATGATACGTCATTACCTAATTCTTTGCCAAGAGTTCTATCTGTTCAAAGATTTACCCAATTTTAAATTCATATGTTATGATTTGAAAGGTTCATGAATGATGGAGGCTCATACTGAAATCAGCCTTGTAAATGCTTGTCTGTAGTTTTTCACTTGCGTGTTAAATGTTATGTAATCTTCCCTGTATGTACCAGTGACATTGTAGAGCAGGGGAGGACAAAGGTAGATCCCCATTTGTCAATAAACTACAACTTCCACAAAGCTTTTTGCCCAGTCCTCCAGTTTGAGAGCATTGTAAAACCCCTGGCACTTTAGCTTCAACAGTGAAAGGGATAAAAATGGAGCATAATTGTCCAGCTTAAAGGGACAGTTTAGTAGCCTTTAGGTACCATAATAACGTCATTCAAATGACAGCTGACGCTGTTAGCCAATCAGTAACTCCCCATTCATAAAACTAGCTTGGAAAAGGTATATTTACTTTCAAGCCAGTTTTGTGAATGAGGAGTCTCTGACTGGCTGAGTGTGTGAGCTAAGCGCTCTCAGCCAATCAGTGGCGCCCCTGCCCCGTGGCACTCTGCTCTTCCTGATAGCAAAATTTCAGTAGGCAGACACTGCTTGAGGGAGAGCTGAGAATAGCGCTAGAGGCAACATTGGGGTTAGAACTGTTTAACACCTTGAGATAAAAGTGTGTCCAGGGGATGTCCTGGCATCATAACAACTTGCGTTCCTTTAAACTCCTAACTCCAAATATGGTTGTATCAACATTGAATCACTGGAGCACAGTGGAATATGGGAAAATATATTATTTATAAAGGTTAATGCTAGGCCAATAGGCCTATGTTCTTTGCTTGCAATGCATTCACTTTCTCACAGATGCCAGGTCTCATGCTTTTTATAATTGAGGAAGGAGTGTAAACCAATATTTCCTATTTACAATGAGCTGAAGACTGTGTTATGGCTGTTTAACAAAAAAAAAACAAAAAAAAAAAAACGAACAACGATTGTAGTTGCAGTACACATATAAAATATAATAATATATAATAGCTTTACAAGATGGAATAAGCAAAAGTACTAATCGATTTGGGAAATGTTGGAAAATTAACTATTGTATAGCAAGTTTTAGCTCAAAGTACCTGAACTGAAATAATTATCTGCATAAAAAAGACCTTGTGAAGCCTGTCTCAGGCGTTCTTTATGGAAGGCTATCATCCTTGGGCTTATGCTTGTACTACAGAAGCTTTAAGGAGAAACTATCTTTCTGAGGAATAGTGGTTTTGTTGGAAATAATATCATCTGCCTTATGAACGGATTCCCACATACTTGCCTATTTAGGGCAAAATATGTGGAAAGCAAAAGCAAGGCTTCTCCCAGACATGGTTAATAATGAAGGAAACAGCTTGGTGTACCTGAAAGTGGTACAGGCCAGATCCAGTGACCAATAGAACCTTATCCAAAGCAGATACCTGCAGAAAGGATGACTGAAGAGCATCCACGACTCTGAAAGTGCACAACAGAGACTCACCTGCGGGGTTGAGATCCTCCTGGGAAATTTGACAGTCCAAATCAGAATCAACTTGGAAGTAGTACTCAGACAGCAAACCCTACGCAAAGTCTAACTGAGAATATACACTGATGATCTATTATTTACAGAATGCTTTTAGAAATAGAATAACTATATTCATATATGTGTGTAGGAATGGTCTTAATCAGGAACCATCTGAAGCAAACGGCATAAACTTGATTTAACTAAAATGAATAAACATCTTCAAGTGAAGGAGACAAGTAGAGTGTAGCCCTCTAGTAAATTTTATTATTGAGGACTTTAGTCAAAGTGACAGACCACAAAATATAAAGACAACAAATCTCAAGGCTATGCATTCCCTAATAACATTCCTCTCTAACCTAACTAAAAATATTTACAAAGACACTGACACCATTTGACCATAAATGTGGTCTAAATATTGTAGTAAGATTATATTGATTACTTGGTTACCAGGATAAGCTAAAACCGGTTATAGCAGTTAAAATTAGCATAAGGAAATTAGCCACTTTTTGAACTTAATTACTTGGGCCCAAAACACTAACCAGAAGGGCTTACTACTAGCCCTAGACGCGGAAAAAGCGTTCAATCGCTTACGCTGGACATACATGCAGTCTGTAATGACATATATGGGCGTCCCACCAGAATTCCTGAAATGCATAATGGTACTTTTTTATTCCAAACCGTCAGCCAAAATATTAAATTCCGGGTTTTTATCACAACCTTTCCAAATAACAAATGGTACTAGACAGGGGTGCCCTCTCTCTCCATTAATCTTTATCTTGTGTATGGAACCCCTAATCAGACACATTAAAAATTACCAAAACATTGAGGGCCTAACAACACCAATAGGGGACCAAAAAATAGCCCTTTTCGCAGACGATGTTCTCCTCTTCTTAACACACCCGGAGACATCTCTACCAAACTTGCTAACTCTACTGGAAAGATGTCTTACTACAAGAATAACGCCCAAAAAACACAAGAGCTGGCGGTAGGGCTGCCTCACACCCTTCTATCACACCTTAAAATACAGTACCCATTTGACTGGCGGAAAACCTCCATTTCGTACCTGGGCATAAAAATGCCAGCATCACAATCAATGATAATACGGGAAAACCACACACCGCTCATACACAGACTAGATCAACAACTCAAGTCCTGGGTGGACAAAGAGATTTCTTGGTTTGGGCGCATCCACACCATAAAAATGATGATTTTACCACATATCCTATATCTATTCCGCACCCTGCCCATTACAATCCTGAACCCCATACTAAAAAACTTTCAGGCTATGATCAATGCACACATTTGGAAACGGAAACCCCCAAGAATAGCACAAAACTCACTTTGGCGTTCATTCACAAAAGGCGGGCTGGGCATACCCAACATAAAATTATACCACAAAGCTTCAATACTGGCACAAGGCCATACGATCCTTGAGAGGCCGTCCCCTCCGGTATGGCTAGCGTTGGAGAATGCATGCCTGCCCACTGGCACAATCCCAATGCTTCTCTGGGCAAACACAAAACTAACAAAGACCAAAACCCTGCTACCAGCCACAGAAACGTTGCTCCAAACCTGGAAGCAAACTACCCCACTATTCCTAAGAGAGAATGACCTACTCCTTGCAGCATCGCTTCAGGCCTTGGCTGCCCGAACGACTAACCTGCAGCTAGACAACTGGCTCAGTCGGGGGGTCTCTCTGGTACGCTCCTTGCTGGCCCCAGAGGGTATCAAACCATTCCCCGACATGGCCAGGGAATACCTCATTCCACCTAGGGAAATATTCTCCTACCTGAGAATAAGAAATATAATACAAGAGAGCAGGCTTAGCTTGAAAGAACCCAATCTACTACCACCATTTATCCACAAGTGTATGGGGAAACTTCCCAAGATTAAAGCACTATCCCTTTGCTACAACACACTACTAACCCAGTATACAGTAACAAAACCCTCCTACATGACAAAATGGGAAATGGACCTGGGGATGCAATTCCCAGTAGCCATATGGCACCATGCTCAGAAGAAAACAAAACAGGCCTCACATAGTCTCAATCAGTGGGAAACATACTGCAAACTAACCATGAGCTGGTACCTGATCCCCAACAAACTGGCCCATATATATCCAGGATCGAACAAACTTTGCTGGAGATGCCAAAAACAAGAGGGGACCCTCTACCATATATTTTGGACATGCACACAGATTACAACATTATGGCGAGACATACAAATACTTCTTTGCAAAAGCCAAGGGATTGGGGTTCCTCCAAAACCAGAGTGCTTCTAATTACACATTTTCCCAGACAACCTCCACGAAGATGAAAGCTACTTAACGATCCACTCCCTAATGGCAACCAAAACTGCAATTGCCCAAAGGTGGAAATCCACACAGGCACCCCCACTACCAGAGATTCTAGGTAGACTGGATTCGATATATACATACGAACGCATGGCAAGTCGTATCACTGAGAGACAGAGTAGACATGAAACGAGGTGGCGCAGATGGGTGGAATATAGGTACGGCTAGACACAATAGGGACTACGAGTTACATAGCACAACACCAGGGTTCCCAGGTGAGGAAGGTTACCCACTGTAACAACTTGTAACAACTTTTAACAATATAATATCTGCTGACACAGAACACCAACGCTAATCCCCCCCTCTTTCCCCTCCCTTGCATCCCCCAACAGTTAGGGCATAAGGAACCAAACCAGTGCCTTAGAACATATTCAGGCATACATGTATGTAACTACCAATATTATGAAATGTATATGAAAGCTGTTGAATTGTGACTACTACCTAATTATGCGAACAGTTGTTAAAGACGCATTTGTATACTCATGATACAATGTATATATTGGCGCCCTCCCCTTTTTTTCCTTCTGTACCCCGTCCTCTCGTTATTTCCTTCTTATGCTTTGTATGACCAATGAAAACTGAAAAATAAAATACATTGGAAAAAAAAAAAAAAGCATAAGGAAATTAGGACAATCATCCAGATTGTTGAGTGCAATGCCCTGTATGAGATAAAAATTTAGCTCTTAATGTAATTTGTGACCTAAAAAGGCTACTTTAAAACTCACATGCTATACATTGAGGATCTCCTCAGTCCAATAAAGAAAACATAAGGAGACCTAGTAAAAACAGTAAAAAGTACACAATACAATGATTCACCTAAAATAAAAAGAAACAGTGTCAAATGTAATTACCACTGATTCCGAGCAGTGCATTGGCTACCAAGTGGTAAAAGATAGATTGCAGTATCTAATAGAAAAGAGAATCACTTTCTATGTGCTTGTTCCTAATAAGTAACTTATTGTCTGAAAAGAATAGCTTCAGGAATGATCTCACTGAAGGTCCTACAATTCTAAACCATGCCGAACAACTGACTACCAAAATTGAGGATGAATTGTTATAAAGCACTGTAGCCAAATAGAGTCTCACTTGTTCCATATACAACAGCGAAAAAAAAGGAAGAATGTCCAACTGGAGGGAGTAATTAATTTGTCCAACTTTGTTCCGAATAATGACGAAATTAGAACTCTTAATAAGGGTTTGAAATTTGCCCCCAGTAGAAAGTTTAACTCCTTCTCAGCATACATTGACATATTAAAATATTCTAGAACACTTACTTTAAAACGTTTTTTTGAAATTAACAAATATACAGATGTGAAGAAAAGTGATAATCATACTGTTTTAAAAAATAAATCAAACTTTTATCCAAAAAATTATCGAACTAGTGCTATAGATATGTTTGAAAAATCGGTCATTGAGGATTTTGATAAATTAGGGAAATGTAAGCAGAAACATGATCTGAACCTAAACTATAATGAGCATAAGGCCCTACAAAATTTGAGAAAGAATAAGGAAATAATAATAAAGCCTGCTGATAAGGGGGGCAGTATTGTGATTCAAGATACCTCTAGGTACTTAAAAGAATGTCATAGACAATTGGAAGATAAAAAGATATATAAGATACTGGTAAGAGATCCAACCACAGAGATTAAAACATCATTAGAGACCCTTTTGAAAAGGGGTAGAGAAGAAGGAATTTTAAATGAAAATAAATATAAATTTTTACTAGTTGAGTTTCCCAGAGTACCTGTATTTTATACCTTACCTAAGGTACATAAAAACTTAGAAAATCCTCCAGGTAGGCCGATTGTGTCCGGCATTGGATCTGTTTCAGCCAATCTTTCTAAATATGTTGATATTTGGCTACAAGATTTAGTTAAAAATATGCCATCATATCTCAAGGACACTACAGACGTAATAAAAATTATCAAAAACATAAAATGGGAAAATGGTTACTTTTTGGTAACCTCGGATGTAACGGCACTTTACACTTCCATTTCTCATGACAAGGGATGTAAAGTAATTCAGGAAATTTTGGAAAACTCAGGTAATTTTACTAAGGAACATGTTTTATTTTTAACTGATAGCATTAAATGGATTTTAGAAAATAATTATTTTAATTTTAACTACAAGGTACTGCTATGGGGACCAGGTTCGCCCCCAGTTACGCTAATTTGTTTATGTCGAGCTGGGAAACAGAAGTTATTTATACCAGCCAACACTGGGGGACGAACCTGGTCTCCTACCATAGATATATAGATGATATATTTTTTATCTGGAGAGGCACACAACTGGATTTAGAGCTTTTTTTTTAGAGAATATTAATGTAAATGACTGGGGTTTAAATTTTAGTAGTCTCTTTAATAACCATAGTATTAATTTTTTAGATTTAGAAATTTATGAGGAAACAGGCATTTTAAAAACTAAAATTTTTTTTTAAAAAGTAGATGCAAATAGTTATGTATTGTATAACAGTGGGCACTATACTCCATGGCTAAATAATATCCCAAAAGGTCAACTACAAAGAATAAGAAGGAACTGCACTGAACAACATGTCTTTGAGGAGCAAGCAAAGATAGTGATAGACAAATTTTCCCAAAAATTATATCCCACTAATATCTTAGAAAAAGCTTATGATGAAATTAAAGAATATCATCAAAACGAATTAGTCTTCAAACAAAGTAACCATAGGGACAAACAAAATAAATTTGAGAAGGTACCTTTGGTTTTAGACTTTAATCAAGATTCGAATAAAGTTAAATCTATTATTAAGAAACACTGGCACCTTTTAAAGAAAGACAGGGAATTATCGACAATTATCCCAGATATACCTTTTATTACCTTTAGGGGTGCACCTAGTCTAAAACAGATTTTAACCTTTAACCATCCAAGAAAGGAGATGCCTGAAACTTTTTTAAATTTAAATGTAAATAAAAAAGGTTTTTATTCTTGTGGAAAATGTGCAGGTTGTAAGTGTAGCAAGAATAATACCTTAAAAGGGATAAGTAAGTTTAAGACAAAATATGCAAAAGAAGAATATACTATTAAGGATTTTATAACTTGTTTTACTAAAAATATTATATATCTTTTAATATGCCCATGTGGGCTGCAATATGTGGGGAGGACTATTCGCCCCCTACATAAAAGAATTTATGAACACGTTAATAATATCCGTAAAGGTTTAGACCATCATAGTGTATCTGCCCATTTTAAGAAGTACCACAATAGCGATCCTAGTGGCCTTACATTTTTAGGGATTCAATTAGTTAAAAAATCATGGCGAGGAGGAAATTCTATCCAACATTTGGGAAAAGAAGAGATGAAATGGGTTCATACATTAAATACTCTTGAACCTAAGGGCCTCAATATTGAATTCGATTTGTACAACTTTTTTTAATGACCTTTTTTTTCTCTTGTGCCTGTCTTTTAGATTTTTAAAAAAATTTTTTTTTTAAAGATTATTAACTTACTTCCTTTTTCTTCCCCTTTATAGAAGGCTTCCTTTGGTTTTTTATTTTGGTTTTTTACCTAGGTTTTTTATGTAAATTTTATATATATAAATATATATGTGATTTATATGTGTATGTATATCCCTTTTTTTCCATATATATATATATATGTATATATATGACCCTGTGTGTATGTGTATATATGCATATACATATTCTTCCTCTTGTGGAATTATATTAGATGCTAACTAGAAGTATCTATGTGCTATTATTATTATTACTATTATCTACTGCTGTTCTATGAGTCATTTGGATGAGGTTTTTTTAATTAGAAGATTAGCCTTATGCTATACTTGTTTTTCTTGTTTTTCTTGTTGTTTTTATGTGTCATGGACTTTCTAAATATAGACATTTACAAGATCTACCCCTAATTAGTTTATGGGGAGTTTCTACAATGATTGATACAAACCACACCCATGTATGGGCTTTAAAAGGCAGGACTAGCTACATCAGGATGTGATCTGAGGAAGCCGATTGGGCGAAACGCGTCATCACGTCGATTACGTCATCACGCCATCACGTGACCGGACGAAACTCCGAGTTCCAGGAAGTGAAGTCTGTAATACCGAAAGTCACCAGGGACTGGTAGATATACATTACACAGTACTGGCAAAAGGTTATTTGGCTGCTATATGGAAACGGAGAGTGTGGATTCCACTTATTTTCAATAAAGCTGTTTTTAATTTGGGAAGCTGGTGTCCTGCCTATTTACACCAACATTGAAGTCCTGGTTTTTGGATTCAAAGCTGGATCAGTTTGAGCAGGCTTTTACTGCTCTTCACTTGTGAGTGATATTCCTAATTCTACTTGCTGGTCTTTATATTTATGTAAAACAATATTATACTATGTTTCTCCATTTTTTATCTCTTTTTACATATGTTCTTATGTGATTTGGAGAATTTAAGGAGACATATATTTCCCTTGTAAGTTATTTGTCTTGGATATTGATTTTTACACTATCACATTTGCATTTTGCACTTATGCCACATTGAATGTGATTGTATACACACTGTTTTTGCACAAAATATTTGCACATATTATTGCACTATTTGCACTTTTTAACATTTAAAGATACAGCGCACCTATTTTTATTTTTTGTTTTTTATTTTTTGTTCCATATACAAGCCCACAAAAAAAGTAGGAGATCAAACATTGTCAAGTGGCTAGTGTTTATCACAGAAACCCCTATGGAAAGTTTAAACCAACGAGAAATCCATATGCTGGCCCGAAAGCTAATAATGGGCCCCCAGCAGCTAACCTATCAAGGCTCACAAATCACATCACCCTGCTAAATTCCTGCCTGTCTGAGCATAACTTCTCCATGGCTCTATATCATTCACAGGAAGTGCCCAACAATATAAAAAAAAAAAAAATCTAAGGAAATATCGGATACTCTGGTGGAAACCTCTGAAAGTTCTCTGTCACTAACTCAAGTCTCTATCCTTACTGGATGTCTTAGATTGACAAAATATTTGCAAAGTAGAAGATCCCTTGACATAAGACCTTGACTGAAGTAGGAAATAAAACTTTCAGAGCTCCATGAAATTCAGCCATTTCCAGTTAAGTGAATACATCTTCAGTCAGTGCTTGTTAAGGACATTTGTGTGCTGTGTGTTATTTGAAATGACTGAACACACAGTTTTTTCCCCATGAGATTATGCTATTCATCTTCCCTACAGTGATTAGTGTGCAGCTCGCAGACAACATTCATTATGCTGTTGACAATGAAATATAGCAAGCCTGTACATGTTTAACCTGCAGATATATCACAGCAAATTGTATTATTCCCCTCACCAGAACTTAGGGGGTTTAACTTTATATTAATCATAAACATCTATATTAAACAAGGAAGAAAATGTTATTCAAGGACCACAAACTGAGGCGTTAATCTACCAAAAAAACTACTTGGAGGTAAGAGGTAAAATTCATCAGCATTTACAACTCTGCTGCTGTTATTCTATGCCAGATGTTCTTAATCTCTATGCCAGGAGTCACTATTGGGTTCCTATGCCATATCAGTTCGTCTTCAGTGATTGAAACAGGTACAACATATTTACAGGCAACTGGCCACAAAAAAAAAAAATATATTGTAGCAACCTTGCTTTCCTCAGGGCAATGGTTTGTATCTAATTAGGTTTTTTTGCAGGATTTATTTTGTTATATATTTTATTGTAATTGTAGAATGGGTCACTGAGTTCATTAAAACCTTGTAGGCAAGCTAATGTCATATACAAAATTCGGAAACACTGTTTTAGTGTCACAGTAAGTATAATAACCCTACACGTTATGCTTAAAGGACCACTATTGTACCAGGAAAACATACTCGTTTTCCTGGCACTATAGTGCCCTGAGGATGCCCCCACCCTCAGGGACCCCCTCCTGCCCGGCTCTGGAAAGGGGTTAAAACTTACCTTTTTCCAGCGCCGGGCTGGGAGCTCTCCTCTTCCGATCATCCTCCTCTCCGCCCATTCGGCTGAAGGCGCACGCGCGGCAAGAGCTGCGCGCGCATTCAGCCGGTCGCATAGGAAAGCATTTGCAATGCTTTCCTATGGACGCTTGCGTGCTCTCACTGTGATTTTCACAGTGAGAATCACGCAATCGCCTCGAGTGGCTGTCAATAAGACAGCCGCTAGAGGCTTTGGAGGAAGGCTTAACCCATTTATAAAAATAGCAGTTTCTCTGAAACTGCTATGATTATAAAAAAAATGGGTTAACCCTATCTGGACCTGGCACCCAGACCACTTCATTAAGCTGAAATGGTCTGGGTGCCTAGAGTGGTCCTTTAAACCTATACTGACCAAGGAGAAGAACAAAGGATAGCAGCGTATTATCAGACCTTATTGTGACTGGGCTTAACACAATGCCTACAGTAGGTAAAATAGCGAAGTTAAGAAACAAAGCAAGGGTCAGGGATTCCAGAAGTACACAAGGACGATAGGCCAAGCCCAGTCAAAGAGCATGGATAATCGACTAATCAGACAAGCCGAATAGGGAAACCAGAAAATCACAGATCAAAAATGCGCTATTGGGATCAGAAGGTAACCACAACAGGTCAATGAACAAATGCAAAAAACAGGTATTTATAGATTTGGGGCAATAATATCCATGCCCCCAAAATGTAAATGCAATTCCATGTCGATAATGTCATGATGTGAATGCACGGATGCTTCACCATAAAAAAGGGGCAGAAACACACTGACTGGAGAAATTGGTGTGGTGCCGCATTTGGGAGGTCTGAACACCACATGACTGGTGCAACACAATGGTATGCATCTTTACATTTAGCTGGTGGAATATTCAGTATTACATTATGAATCCTCATTTTCACAATGATGATATTTTTAGTATCAAAGCTTGGATGGATCAAAAAGCCATACATGGGAGGAGTCAGGGCCGGCCTGTCTATTGGCCCCAGTGGCACTGTGACAGGGGCGGCAAAATTAACCTTTAAGTAATCTGGAGCAGAGCCCGGGCCGCCTATTTGCACATATAACGATTACCACTCTACACTTGTGCTGTTCCGGGCCCTGCTGGTGTGTACAGTGAAGAGGGAGCCCTGAGAGTGATCTTACAATCCCCAGCAGCTACAGATGCTCTTCTCTATCTAGCCGCAAGAGTGTTACCATGGGTGGACATAGCAATGTTCCGGCATGCATTGCGTGCTGCTGCTGGGGATGTAAGATCACTCTCAAGGCCCTCTTCACTGTACCACCATGGAATCATGTATCACACCTCTCTGCCCACAGGTAAGAGGCAGGCAGGGAAGAAGCTCGGGAGGGAATAAAATAAATTGCTCACCCCCACAAATGTACTTATCACCACAAACACACACAGCATGCATTTAATTAACAGAGTCACTGCATCCACTATACACACACATACACAATACATCCACTATACACACACACACACACACTACAGCCACACTACATCCACTATATACAGACATTGCATCCACTATACACACACTACATAGTATCTACTATACACACACTACATCCACTATACATACACACACACACACTACACACACTGTGCATCCATTATACCCACACACAATGCAATACACTGCATCCACTACACAAATACACAATACACACACTACACACACTGCATAAAATAATGGACGTGTACGTGTTTTGGTTGGTGTGGTTTTGTTCGAGGAGGGGGCAGCATTTCATCCTTTGACCCAGGCAGTACAATGCCTTGGGCCGGACCTGGGAGGAGTGACCACATTGACTGAGAATAATGAAGGGAAAATTAGAATCATTAAAAAATCCAAGACAGGAAAAAAGTAGAGACGAGAGCAGCAAGAAGAAATAGCGTGAGTGACAAAGAACAGAGACAAAGAGACCGATACCGGCACAAATGGGACAATTAAAGGCAAAAAATATTATTTTTATTACATTTTCAATGTTTTTAATTTTTTGAGCTTCATCCATTTTCAAGTACTAATTATCTAGGAGCACCCCATCTAGAAGTGGGCTGTAGCATTACCAGTGAACCCGTTGCGTGTGCACATTTTAGCTTACCTTTGGAACAGCTGAGTATACGTTCCTGGTGTCTTCCCCGCTAATGCCTGCCTGGCTGCCAACTGACGTCTCTGTACAGAAGCTTCTTCCTAGGAGAATATTAATAATGAAACATACGTGTCGATTCATTATAAGCTAATCTACATGTTGATGTATTATCATCAGGAGAACGCCTTACCACTGAGGTTTTCTGTGGGGATAATTTTGCAGAGACTCTGGCTGAGTAGTTCCTGGCAGCAGAATCTAGAAATTCATTGTTTACTTCAGCCTGAGGAGGTTTACTTCTTTCATTCGGTGAAGATCCAGTCAATGATTTTCTTAAATCTTAAAATATAGGACACGGCATATGTTATGTGTCCATATTGGATTCTGCTAATGAGTATATATATATAACAATGCAACTAAAGTTAAATGACATGATGTTTTTCCTAATAATGAGCTAAGTGCTCAAAAGACTTATGATAAGGTAAACAAAGCTTGGGAAATTTCATATGGTGCAATAGCATGAGCTCTGATAAGAAAATAAAAAGGGAGTCTTATTTTGGAAACAAATGAATGAACCTTTGCTAAAAGAGATAATCTAAGATTGCTCATCACATATGAAATTAAGTAAAGCATTAGTGATGAACTTACAGAACCAGAAATGGCAATCAACTTGTATGTAAAAAAAATAAATAAAAAGTGTGTGCATAATACCAAAAGGTTAGCAATTTGTCATCCTTTTCCTGTTTTTTTCTAGATATAATGATTAGTGAGAGTGCCAATCATGATCCACAGAAAAGTGGAAACACAGTTCTTAGAACACTTGCAACTTTTCTTCATAGGTTGCTGTAGGACTGCAAGACAACATGAGCAGGGAATATAGGGTGCGTATGCAACATTTGTCCAGCTTCATCTGAGTTCTCTTTGATAATTTGTAGTTTATTTTTTTGTATACTTGAAACATTTTGACTTTTAGTGAAGCTACTTTTAAACACACTATTTCCCCTCTATTAACTATATCATAGCATATTGAATGAATAGAAAATAATCAAAATGCTGGAGTGTGTATTTAATAAACTCTAAAGTCCTTTTGAAGGAAGTGCTGCAATATGCATAATTTTAAGCTCTTTGGCAATGCTGAATTCAGCTCATGAATAAATGAACACAGAATACCTGGTACTATATTAACTTATTTCACACAATTCATGTGTGCTGTAAGACTGTTAATGTACCATCCATAGTATTAATTTACCCTTCACGTTGAAACTGTGACTCACCTGCTGCAGTTACAATGTGAGTTGACTGATCAGACTCTGTCAGACCCAGATACTCCTTCACTAGTTGTCTTAATTTAGTATATGCTTCCTCCAAATCATCTACATGAAATATAGAATATGATAACTTTATTAAATACATACATAACATACTGTACACATACATATATACATAGAAACGAAAAACCAATGTTACAAAACATACATACATCTCATTCTTGGATTTTGTTTCGGTTACCTGTATTGATCACAGCATCAAAATAGCCTGGGCAGTCTTGGTGAATTTTAATGTACATGTCTACTCTGGACACTGCAACGTCTATCTCAGGTCTGGTGAACAAGCCTTTTCTCCTCAGCCACCCTTCATACTTCTCTTTGTTCATTGGGAGGAGCAAGATATAACGAGGCTCAAAATATGAATTCTTCAGGCTCCTTACACCCTGAGTCGAGAAACAATGTGTCATCTATGTTAACTAAGATATAGAATGTTTATTAAACACTGTAAAGGCAATGCCATTACATGGACAAGCAGATCCTGTTTAATGTGTGATATTTTAACCCATTGTATCACATTAACTCCATTTTCCTGCTTGTCAATAGTGTTTTTGGCCCCTCCCCTACATTCCTTTTCAAAAGCACCAATTTCAGTGCATTTTTTAATCATCCTAACATGTTTTGATTGTATGAGTGATACATTTTCCACATTAGCAAAATTTAGCTCTCTGTCTTTGCTACTGAGAACCATGAGGAAACAAATTGAAGAAATATAAATATTGTTAGACACTTACATACATGTGTGATCTTCTCAGAGCTTCAGAGGATTCTCAGTGACAAAAACCTAATTCCCCTTCAAGAGACTGTTTGTCTCTTCCGGGATAATATGGGAGAACTTGCAAAGGATGCAGTTCATAAGAACTGCAGCTTTTGCAAGCTCTTTTAATAATATATGTCCACAATGAATGCATGCATGCATTAATTTGTTGGAAGTATATCCACTAAATAGAGATTTCTACATTTTTTTTAGCTTATGTGGGCAGTGGAGGGTCCCTTTAATCACTCAATGTAGAGCTTGATAGGCCAACAGCAAATATCAACAACAAAGAAAATTGACTGATGTTTTCATTTCATCATAGGTTAATGAAGACTAAGTTCTTTCAAGGGGTGACTTTGCCAAGTGTCAATGACTCTCCTTCTGACGAATTGTCGTGATATGTGAGTGTATGGCACCCCAAAAAAGTGATATAAAAGTGCGGTTGAAAAGTATAGGAACGTTGGTATTGTGATCACTTCAACAGCTAGCTAATCATCACCTCATTACTTAATTATCAAGCAATAGTTAGAATTTGCAACTAATTGTTGTTGACTGTAGTCATGGGCTTGGAATGCTGACCATGAAAATGTTTCCTGTAGCACTGTGGCATATACCTCAATTTCCATGTGTGTGCAGCAAGCAAGCCCTTCCCTTGCAACAGATTCAACAGCTTCCCGGCTTAGTCCATAATAGTGACCACTATATTTCATAGTCAGGATAAACTGGCCCTGGAACAAAAACAAGTATGATAACAGCATTCTATACAGCATTATGACATATGGCAATATGGCCAGGGGACACTGACATGTACTGCAGACATTTGCAGTTTCTGGCAGAATTCAGTCTTGGTAAATAAATAATAGAAAAGGGCAATCTTATTAAAAGATAATGAATAAAGAAAGAAAGAAAGAATCAATCAAAGAAAGCATTCTACTCACTGAGCAAGTCATATCTTCAAACATCTCTGGTGTGACAAAATGGTAATCAAAACGTTTCTCCTCACCAAAGTATGGATTCCTGGTGGTGTGGCATGGGCTGAAAAAAGAACATTGTCATGAGTGAGATAGGTGATCCTAAGGCCGCGCATAAAAAATTACAAACGTAGACATCTAGTTTGTTTTTTGCCATCAGATTTCCCCATCTATAAGATGCATTTATAAGATAAGTGTGTACATGGTATATTAGATAAGAGTGATTTATCAGCCAAGTACCTGGTATATAAGATAAGATCAACTCTCCAGCCAAGTACCTGGTATATAAGACGAGATCGACTTACCAACCAGGTACTTGGTATATAAGATAAGACTGATTTATCAGGCAAGTACCTGGTGAATAAGATACGATCAACTCTCCAGCCAAGTACCTGGTATACAAGACGAGATCGACTTACCAACCAGGTACTTGATATATAAGATAAGACTGATTTATCAGGCAAGTACCTGGTGAATAAGATACGATCAACTCTCCAGCCAAGTACCTGGTATATAAGACGAGATCGACTTACCAGCCAGGTACTTGGTATATAAGATAAGACTGATTTATCAGGCAAATACCTGGTGAATAAGATAAGATTTTATTAGCAGTTAATTACCGGGTTTATTAGATAAGATTGATTTATCAGTCAGTTACCCGGTATAGGTTATCATCCTTGGAAAGAACCTGAGTGTTCCTGCAGGTACAGTATTTTAAACTTTCGAGTTGCACACAGTACTCTTCAGCAACCATAATATGCAAGAGATGAAGTAGCCAATATTATGTAATGAAAAACACTATGAATGTGCAATACATTACAATGCTGCAATCTGCCCTGCCCACACATTTTCAAGCCAATGTCATGTTAATAAAGCTAAATGTTACAATTACTGAAAAAAAATATTTTATTATCATTGTTTAAGTTCTAAAACATTGCAAGTAGTAAGGTTCAGCTGAAGTTATCTAAAGGTTATCTAAAAGCACCGGCCCATATGCCATACATTCTGCTAACAAGCACATATTATTATGATGTAGATGAAGCATCCACCTCACTTCAAACATCTCAACCCATTCCTGGTGAGCAAAAGGCTTTAAAGAAGATTGGGATGTGCTGTTTACATTTTACTAAAATACGATTAGGTTTTCAAACCCGGGTGGGATATGTTGCCTTTTTTTTAATTTCACATGTATGAGTTGGTCCAAATAAAACAAGATGATGCACCTGGATCACATAACTAGTTCTAGAGAAAATTAGGTTAGCTATTCCTTTATTTAATTTGATCTATGATGCTTTTAATTTCAAGTATCTTGTTCAGACGTTTAAATAGGTTGAAATTCCCACAAAGCTGAAGAGTACACTACTAAATGAACCCATCTGCTGCAAGTGCTGGGCTGAATATTTTACTGGAATACTTTTTCACTCTCTCATGTCTAATATGTAACACATGTTTGTATAACTACAAACAACTTGTTGTAGGCAATCAATCAGAAAGGGTTCAATAAGAGTAACGTATATATTTTTAAAGTTATCTTTGACATGCATTTCATTTTTAACATCTCACGGTCACTTACATATGATTTCAAGCATATGCTTGCACTCCCTTGTGCATGCACATATGTGCATTAAGTAATGTGAATTACACTTTGTAATAAATAGGTGACATTAAGCCCAATGGTATGCTCTGCTTAAAAATTTTTTTTTTTTTAATTATCCATGTCCATGAGTGTTTATTAACTTAGCTTTGTGATATTTGTACATTGATTAACTTATATTCAATGCATATACATTGAAATCAGTATAGGGCTAGCTCTGTGTGATTTTAAATCACCATGAGTATGGCAGAAGTGACACCTAGTGGCAATGTTTAAAATTGCAAATTACCAATTACAAGTGGTAATATTGCATGCATTAAAAAAATAAAAGTCCCAAAAAACCCCCCACAATTTAAATAGGAAAGTATTAGAACTCACCCATAACGGAAGAACTCCTTAAATTCCCTGCACATCCGATGTGCCATTTCTCTCTTTCCACAGGACTGGGGCCCAGTAAGCACTAGCATAGGGTATGGGGTGTCCAAGTTAGGCAACGTACTGCAAGACAAGAACATAGTTTAAGTATCTCCATTTGAAGTTAATGAATGAAATGTTCAAGGCAATGGTAAAACTTGCTGGAAATCGGGAAGCACAAAATACTTATTTATATCACATAACTTAATGTGATGTTCCATTTTCTTTTAAAAGGATTCAGGAATTGACATCACAATCCAGTTCAGTCCTGAACATATTGCATTGAAGCAGGATATATTGCATTGAAGCAGGAGAAACAAAAACATTGTTTCTGTTTCTCTTCCTCTCTGTACTTCTCTTCCTACGCTGGCTGGCAGATGCAAAGAGCAGAGTGAGTTAATACAGACATGCTTATTCAATGAGGGAATGAAAATATGATGATGGGATTTGATTGGAGAAGCATAGCTAGAGAAGCAGGAAGTATGGCAGATTTTACCTGAGACTGGTGGAAATATGGTTAGAGTTAGTGGGATAGAATATAGAGTGGATATCGCAGTGAAGGGTGGGGACTATGGCTGATGGGGGAATATAGATATGTGAGGACTATGAGAAGGGAAATCAGGATACAGGAAAGTGAGACATTTGTAGAAGATTAGATGTTAATTGGGTCAGTCAAGAAAAAGCATGTCAAATTCATAGGCTAAGACAGGCCAAATAAACAAGGTTTAAGTTTATGGGTGCTACAAAAAAAAAAAAAACTTCAGTTTTCATAGAAACATAGGTTTATTTTTAAAAGTACAGTATAAAAAAAGTCGCTTGACACTGGAGTCCTCATGCTCGTAGAGCTTCAAAGTAAACAAAAGACCAAATTTATTAAGGAGATGTGTATTTCCATATAACCAATGTTTTAGTCCAACTAACTTGATATATTAAGAAAAGTTTGGTAATGTTGAATGTATGCTGTTGCACAGCTGTAAAAAAAACAAATGATGTTATCTTGTTAATTTCGAAGTACTAGGAGTGTGTTCATCACTTTGGCTGAGATCATCTCAGCCAATGCAATGCTTTTCTACAGGAAAGCATTGGGAGGCTACTGTGCATGTGTGGCAAAAGTGGGCAGTGCAGCCAATCATTATCTCCATGGGGAACATACAGCGCCTCCGTGCAGACCCAATCTAAAACACCCCCCATTCTAATTCACTGCCACCAAATCCAATCCACTGCCCCCTTTCCTCAACTATTATACATTGCCTCATCCCCCCCAAACTAATACAATGCCCTCCCCAAACTAACACACTGCCCACCAAATCTAATACACAGCCTCCCCCACTCTAATACACTGACCCCTCCCCCGAATCTAATGTATTGCCCCCCCTCTCTCCACTCTAACTGAATACACTGCCCAAACTCCCACCACTCTAATTTAATACACTGCCACCTCGCTCCCTCAATTTAATACACTGCCCTCCCCCCAACTTAACACGCTGCCCCCCTCCCATCACTATAATACACTCCCCTTTCTTTTTTCGTGGAGTTTTCCCATTTCACTAGGAATACAAGACTGTGAGGATTTATACCAGTGTGATTCCCACCTTTGGTTAAGAATTTCATCATACAGACACACAGGTATGTATTTTTATTGAGTCTAATTGGTCTGAAGTGGGTTTTATTCGCTTGTCTGCTATTGTTTGGACTGCATTTGGAGTTTGCTTGGACATCATCAATGCTCCAACTTTATCTTGGGACTGCATTACACTCCCTCCTGGATATTACACATATATAGAATATATATCATATTATATGTATGGTTGATTTGCCTTCCTTTTTTTCAGGTTGTTATGATTACTGGACCCCTTATGCTTTTTTAGGTTGTGGTTGGTATTGTCCTCTTCTAGCTTGTAGATGTCATTATGAAAATTATCATTTTCAAATTTTAATTTTTTTTATTAGCTTAGATAAATTAGATACAAAATAATAAGATGATGGCATAATAAAATTTGAAAATGATAATTTTCATAGTGACATCTACAAGCTAGAAGAGGACAATACCAACCACAACCTAAAAAAGCATAAGGGGTCCAGTAATTATTATATTATATATGTGTTTATTTCGCCTAAGACTTTTATAAAGATTATTTTATAACATACAAATGGCATGATGTACAACAGGGTATTTCTGGAGATAGGGTAAAAAGTTTACATGTTAGTCGATATAACGCTATCACTGACTGTGTGTTAATGTGTTAAGAAGACACTATTCCATAGCTTTATGGCGTATCCATAAAAATGACATGTAGAATTGGCAATATGACTACAGTAAATTATCAAATTACAGATTCACTAGATCACTGGTCCTAGAGAGAGCTGGGTTTGTGCATGCCTTTACCATAAGACCCCAAATACAACATTTAATTTAATGTAATGGAAGGACTCCACTTCTTTGCCAATGGCATTTATTCTACATATATTCAGTAATAAGTTGCATTAATTAACTTGATCAATAAACCAATGATGCTACTGTTGTTTTTCATATGATATAAAGCAATATAAAGATAGCACTGCAAAGTATATAGGTTTTACCTTCCAGTGTTGTGAAGTGAAACCACATTTTTCTAGAAGTAAAAGCATACTGATCTTTTATAACTGGGACAGCAGGTACACAGAATGCATTGTAACTAACTGTGAATAGGAACGCTTTGTCCCTACTTTTAGTTTTGGTTGATATTAAGCACAAAATGCTCCTCATTGATTCTAAAACCTATTAATTTACCCAATTAAATTGCCCCAATTTACAGCTTTCTTCTCTTTCACATTAATTGTCCTTTCCAACGAGTGCCTTTATTTGGCCAAAGTAGAAAGATCTTTCATGATGAATAATTATTAGTTTGCAAACAACACATTAAGTTTACCTGTCAAGAACTTTCTGAAGCTGTATCATGCTGTACATAACATTTGCCATGTGGTCTCGGGCTGCAATCACTTCTGGTGGAGGGTCATACTTATTCACTGCTGCCACCTGGTCATTTCATGTTCACATTGCAAAACAAAATGGTTTTATTATAGCTAGCAATGACTTGAAGATCTACTACACAATAAATGAAGTTTGAATTTCGGTGTAAATTTTATTCTAGCTTGATGATTTCATAAAACAATACTTTGTATTAATATAGATGATTTTGTTATTGTAAACATATAAAAACTTGTGTTTTGGGCATAAGGGTAATGTGAACTCCTACCCCTGCTGCTAATAACATCATTTGACTTTTTCCCCACTCTTAAATAAAAGCCAGGCTGCCTGTCAGATCAGGCACAGAGCACTGTTGGTCCAAAAGCAGGACCCCAGAAAACAAAGTTGAGACCGTGGGACAGGACCAAAAAATCATGACTGCCCTGCCAAAATCAGTTATGATGAGAGGCATGCTAATCGTGTTAAAATGAGCAGGGGTTGGCAACCTTTGGCACTGCAGATGTTGTAGACTACATCTCCCATAATGCTGTTACAGACATAATGTTGGCAAAGCATCAGGGGAGATGTAGTGCACAACATCTGGTGTGCTGAAAGTTGCCTACCCCTGCTCTAGAGAGTCAACACTGACTGAAAATATAAAACATTAAATTCTGGCCAAGGTGATGTTTAGTTTTCAGGTAAACTTCAGATTATTTATATACTTGGGAATAATCATAAAATATTAAGCAATCACTTTGGCCTCATAAGATCCTTAGCCGTTTCTATTCTATCTTGAAAATAATTGTCTTTAAAGTCGCTTATGATAGCATGGAACATCCTGCAGTTCTGGTGCCCCCTACGTGCACTGGGAGATCCAGGTAGCTATTAATACCTGGTGTTCCATTGTGAGAAGTGGCTAGATTTATTGGCCCAAGCTAATCATCTGGCTGTAACAAACAATATAATTGAGAGCTGTCACATTTCATTAAAAATGCAAACTTTCACTTTTGGCCATGTGCCTGCAACATCATCACTGATATTGTCGGGTACTAAGGATATCATGGGGGAACCGGAGAGCCTTTCAGTCACCCCCTGTTTGCCTGACCACACAGTCCGAGTGTTTGCCTCCCTGATGCTTAGATCTGACAGTGATTTACACCCAGAGGTCCCCGTTAATAGCAGGTCTGAAAAGTTCCCATGCGCACATACACACAAAATAAATAAATGAATACATAAGAGTTTGGTGACCTCTATGAACAAGTTCTGCATATTAAATTCTTTAAATGTTATAACTGAAACAGTAATGCACTCCCTGTACTGTGAAACCAGTTGAACAAAAATACATTGAAAGCCTAGGCATAGGAGGACAAACTTTAGTTGTGAAAAAATATTATACATAAAATCATGAAAATTTTAATTCTTTTTTTACCTCCATTTTTTGTATATTTAAATCATACTAAATGATACGTTGTATTTTTGGTACAGGGGTCAAATACTAAAAAAAAGAAGTATGGAGGCTCTTCAGTTTCATCACCACAATCCATTATTTACATCATCACACTCTTAAACATTCAAGTTCAAGTGTGTAAATGTCTACACCAAGGTATCCTATCAACATATAACCGCTCCCCACACACACACACAAAATGGTCCTCCATCTCTCCTTACTATTGCCAGGCACAATGTACAAAATTAAAAAAAATTAATGTAGATCTTTTTTCATTTGCTTCTCTGCAATTTTAAAACGCTCACATTGTCTATATAAATGTTCCAGTACTACATGCAGTGCACAGTAGAACTCAGTTCCCTCTGCAAATATACTTGGGGAACAGGGATCCCATTGTACTAGAACCCTTCTTGGGTAGCAAAATAAAATCCACAATTCATAAGATGACTAGTGGCCTCCCTCCTGCCAGCGAGATAAGCCAAATACTTCACCTTTGATGGGGTGTACAGAATCACTAAGTCCCCACACGCCCCAGCTACTGCACCACGCGACATTACACTTAGATGCCAAATGATATCCGACAAGATGGGGCTGTTAGCTGCACTAAAAGGGAAGTCACCATATGACTTCGAAGTATGTCAAAATTCCTTCTTCCAAGATTTAAGCAGAGGCACACTGCTATGGCATAAATCTATGCAGCCCCTCACAAAGACTCTACAAACTGAAGGCCTAACTTACCAATGGGCAACTCCAAGATCACTGTGGGTAACAAAGGATGGGAAATCATACAAAGCCACAAAACAGGCAGATGCTCCTGCTCCACTAGCAGCACTGGGCCTCTCCTCACGAAACACCCCTAATGAGGGACTACCTCGCACTCACTCCCAGACTGTTGCTGAAATACCCACATTCAAGCCCAGAAGAGACAAGAGACCAACGACCTGAAATGTTAACAGTACCTGACCAGCTAACGCTGCAATGTATTACTTATTGTTTCCTTCTTTCAATAGGTTTTGTTAGTCAGTTGCACTTTTCGTTACCTGCCAATATATTGTACCTAAATACCTATGCGGGAAGGTAATAGTACCTCACCCGCCCTGTGTGGCTGAGACACTTAACTGGCACACAAGGTGCTCACCATGGGATCCGATAACACCATCCCCCCCCCCTTCTCCTCAGGGTACCGGGGTAGCGAATGCAAGGGTGCGAGGGGTTCAGCTTACGGTCCTAGAACCATGTCTAGCCGGACACAACATTAGGGCTAACCCCCAAGCCCCACACCACACTTGCCCTTATCACACAGTCTATCCAATAGCTACCTGGAGAGGTTATTAATCTAGAAGTAAATTTGGACACCCCCAGGAGCTATATCTCCTTCGCTAGGAGAGGGTATCGTAGATGTTAAGTTCCCTCAAGCACTCATATCCCAGCAGCCAGCCTGTTGACAAGGCAAAGGGCCCAATGAGTCACACGCACAACCCACACCCAAAGGCCAGCACCCGCGCCACAGTCAAACCCTCACAAGGCCAAGAGCTCAAAGCCTGGCAGACTCCACCAACAAGCAGAGCCGTTACATAACAAATAGCAAGGAGTATTTGTCCCATGTGATGGCCAACTCTACATAACCGAACAGACCACCATATTAAAAAAATGTGCAGCATAATTGACTGACACGCTTGAAAAATGTCATGCTGTTACTATGCTAATACCTGCTTATACTGCTGTGGCAAAATAAATGTGCCTGTAATATGCAAACTAGCACCAAAAATAAAGAATTTTTAAAAAAATAAAGAATTGCCTCGGTCCCTAAAAGGTTAATCAATATAAGTATTAACTACAAAGAGGCACTTAAACAAAGCAAATACCTTCTCTTCTACTTTAATCCTCTTCAGATCGAGTTCAGTTAGCCTCTGCAGCATAAATAACACTGACAGCCAGTATTCTGCTTGTTCCTGCACAGGATACAATATCATAATTTTGTAAAGTAATTTGTGTAGGCTTGTGTTATAGTTAAGTCTGGGTATATCTTATTTTCAAATTTTCATTGTTTTATATAATATTTAAGGGTTATTCACTAAACTCTAACTCTTAGTGAATTAAATCTGTATGGCACAACATAAATAGCCAAGCTGTGAATAGGCGTGATAGTGAAAAGTCAATAATACCAGTTTCATATAAAATGTTCTTACTTGCCTCAATATTCCACTTATTTTTGATTGGTTGACATTATCAGAAGTGGTGTTCAGAGCCAATCACGATGCTTTCACATAGGAAAGCATTGGATTGGTTGAGACTGTAAAGATGGCAGATCAGGCGTAGAGCCAGTCAAATACAGCCCTGGCTAATCAGCATCTCCTGATAGAGATGCATTGAATCAATGCATCTCTATGAGGAAAGTTCAGTGTGTCTATGCAGACGGTGAAGACACTGAATGGCAATGTTGCACACTGAGCAGTAATGCCCCAGGAAAGCACCTCTAGTAGCCATCTGAGGAGTGGCCAGTGAAGTTATCACTAGGCTGTAATGTAAACACTGCATTTTCTCTGAAAATACAGTGTTTACTGCAAAAAGTCTGAAGAGAACGATTCTACCCACAAAACAAATACATTAAGCTGTAGTTGTTCTGGTGACACTCGGTCCCCTATAACTTAGGGGACCTTTTTAACTTGTGGTGTGAGCCTTTCATTCATAAGATGCTCTGTTTCCTTTAAATTAATATTAAACATTTAGCAAACAAATTACACCATGATCCAATTCATACAAGGCAATGTCAAACAAACATTGCAAATGAGGAGGAGGAGAAATGGAAGTATTGTTTAATTTCTCCTTGTTTCTGTGTGCTTTTATATGCTGACTACCAGAAGCAAATGGGAGAGCTTATAACAATGATCCACATGGAGTTAGAATGGAAAAAGGTACTAAATCAGAATAAAGGATTGGGAATTTCCATATGTCCCAAGTTCCAGTAAGACATGACCTTTAAATCATTTTGGGTTATGAAATTAATTTCCTTTGAGAAGCCACATTTCTGACTAGTGTTACTGTAAATCCCCTGTAATTGTAGAGTACATCTATATATAAATAATAATAAATGATCTATAGGATATAATATGATTTCAGCTTAGCACATGCACCTGTATTGTTTAATAGAAACAACATATTTTTCCCCGTAGTTTTTACAATAAAGTTATTTCTTCTAAATTTAGGTTCTTATTTCAGATTAGTAGAACCACTTAAAGCAGGGCTTGACAAATTTGTTTCAAATCTAGGAGCTAGCTAAACAAGTTAGGAGCCAATAATTTTCAACGAGAAAATGCAATTCTTAAAGGGACACTATAGTCACCAGAACCACTACAGCTTGATCTAGTTGTTCTGGTGTCTATATCCTGTCCCTGCAGGCGTTTTAGTGTAAACACTGCCTTTTCTGCGAAAAGGCAGAATTTACATCGCTGCTAAGCAACACCTCTAGTGACAGTCACTCAAACGGTCACTAGAGAGTCCTGGGTCACTGCTGCACCACATGCAGCACCCAGGTTCAGTATCTCCAAGATCTGCATGGACGTGCTGAATGTTCCTCATTGAGATAGGTTTTCAGCAGCAGGGTTAACATTAGAGGGACTTGGCAGCCAGACCACTTCATTGAGCTTTAGTGGTCTGGGTGCCAATAGTGGTCCTTTAATATAAATTTTTTTCTTTTCTGAATTTTTAATGGAATGCAGACGATCACTCACTCACCTGAATGGGGTTTCTTAACAGGTTCAGCACATGCAATAGAGGAAGCTCTTCCAAATAGGCAATTTCACTAATTTGACAAACCTGTAGACAGCAAGGGATAACATACACAGTAAATCACCAGGACAGTCTCTGCAAAATAATGCAACAGTGAAAAATCAGTTAATGAAATAGACTCAGAAGTGAGCAGAAATACATTTAAAATATGCACAATCTCCTCTTGAATACTGTTTAAATTCCAGAAAATATGAAACGCCGGAACCATATTATACTGGAATAGGTAATAGGATATTGGAATGGAATTCTTACCTATCAGTGAATGGACCCATGCACACCAGGACCCCAAGAGAATAGAGAAAATGTTAATAAACATCAGGGCAGTTAATTCACAATCACAGTCTGTTTTATTTCACCTGTGTCATTCCAAAGTAAACCTGTTTAATAAACCATAGTGTGATTTTGAGCAGTACATGGAGCAGGAGAAACTTATCTAAAGTTTGACACCTGGATGTTAGGAAAAATAAAAAACGTATTTCATGTAGACTATTCCAAACTGCCTGTCTGCAAAGTTTAGAAGAATGCAGTGCATTCTTTCAAAAACAACACAAGCAAAAAAAAAAAAATCAAAAAAAAATCAACAGTTACACAAGAAAGTAACTCTGGTTCTACACTCAAATATGTAATGATTGCAAAGCAAGACAAGTGACATAAATATGGACTTTAAATAATGGTATGGGTCTATAAAATGTATAACCCAAGAGGAAAAAACTCACAGGCACTCCAACTTCAAGCCGCAGGCAGATTTATTATGACAGAATGGCGTTGCATTCTGTCATAATAAATCTGCCTGCGGCTTGAAGTTGGAGTGCCTGTGAGTTTTTTCCTCTTGGATTATTGTACTGGGATTGCTGGTCCTGCTCTGGAGCACCCTTGGCCGTTGGGACTGGGTGCGGTTCTCATCACTTACTCTGCTCTATAAAATGTATAACTGCACACAAACCATTGGTGACAAGAATTATACAAAATTCTAATTCATGTGCTACGAGTATAGAGAGAGACACACACACACACACTTTTTAGCAACTGGAGATTAAAAATGTTACCCTAATATGTATGATGTTACCCCTGCTGAGTGTGCAATAGACACTCCAGGCTTGCAGTGCCAACTAACTTAAGGCCTAGCTAGAAATTTTACGATTTGTGTAACAGTATTGTAACGGCACCCACAGGCATAAAAGGGTTTTAATTGCTGTTTAGTAGATCTTCCCTTCCAGAGACACAGGCACAGCTACTGCAGAACACCAATCCGCCAAACAGGAAACCATATGAATGCCGTAAACAGCCGAATAGGAAAAACCATACGAATAGGTTTACACTCCTAGCAGACGAACTGGAACAGCATACAATAAATCCCCCCAAGAACGAGACAAAGCTCCGTGTTGAGGGTCAAGCAGTGAACAGTAAGAGCTGTGGGTTTATTGTTCTTATATACACATTAGTACCACCCACGGGGTTTTGGAACACAACCAATAAACACATACAATACACTCAGACACTCCCACACAAAATCCTGCCCTCTGCCTGTGATTCAATTACCTTACACAATGGGTAATGTAATTATAACGAACAGAGAAATACATTTTTTCCACATTATTCATAACTTGAAAAGTATGCATCACATTCACATAAAACTTACATTTTCAGAATCAGCATACTCCAAATACAAACATATGTCAAATGTGGTTCACAAGATAGATCGTAGTCCTTTGTGACCAAAGGAAGCATGGCTTTTCTGCCCAAAACCAGTTCCACAGAGTCTTCTATCCTGGAGATAATTGGGAAGTAATCCAATTATCTCCAAGGACAGAGGCAAAACTCCATTGAACACATGGCAGCAAAAGACAATAAAACACATAAAAACATATAACTGTGCAGCCATTGCACAAAGCAGGTACATTCAACATATCCCCAGATAGCTCAGATCTGAGCGCACATTATTACTGAATGGCGCTCAGAGCACACATACAGTTCAATTGCCATGGAGCCAAAGTCTTTCCCATAGTCTTTCATTATACGAATGGGCTCCATGGCATAGCTATCTGGGGTATCACCGCTCAAACAGGGCAAGCACCAAATGACCCTGCTTTCATGTCTTTGCAGGGGAAAATCAAGCCTTTTAACATGGGGCCATAATCCAAAGGCAACAGGCGAGCAACCAGGCTTCTCCAATGCAATGTGGCGAGATTGGTCTCGTCACAAGTATATATATAAAAACAAGTGGCAGCGCTTAGTGAATAATCAACAATAATCCGCAACGGTGGAGTTGATGTGAAAGCGGCTTGTGAACTGTTGTAACAGCACAAGGATTACAGCGGCGAGGAGTTTCAGCATCTCCCCAGACCACACACAGATCCCCCGCAATAAAAGAAGACTGATGGCATGGAACACACCGGTGGAGCAGTAACTCGGAATGCTGCTGTGATTTGTACTTATATAGTGGCTAATGGAGACAGTAACCACATTTGCATCCTGTAAGAGGTCCTATGAGGGGTAGGGTTTGGGATATCTGATTAAATAGTATTACACTATATATGTTTTATTGTATCTTTCAACGTTATTGAAAAAGGATACATTGTATGCAACAAAGTATGATATTGGAAGTGAATACTGAAATGGAACACCCAAGTACCCAGTTTTATATTAGACCACCCAGGACTCTACTATTGATAGAATTTTGTGATATATTTGAGCAATATTAAGTGTTACCTCGGAATACTATTTCAGGGGATTAGTCACTAAGCATCGACACTTTTTTTAATGTATTTTAATTACTGAGAATTAGGGAATATTCTTGTTTTTGTGGGACTGCTATACTATTACATATCTAAGCATTGTTAGTATTTTATATTAGTATTTCATGCACTCCCTTTTCTGTGTTTTTAACAGAATATATGATTTGCAGTGTATACGTGGACAGCAGAATAAATAAAATACACACAGTGAATTGTGCTTTACTGGTTACAAATACAATTATTGTTATAAAGTAAAATTAAAAACTAAATAATTAAAGTTGATATTAAATGTAAAACTGAATGTGCTGCACAGGAGTTTAGCACACATCTCCCATTGTAACTCTGAAGTACTAAACACGTATTCTCTGACTCCTACAACCTCCTTGTTACATTTTCTTATAGATGTTAAACACAGTATAACCATACTTTTTTGAGCTCTGTTTATATCTGGGTTCTCAAACAAAGCCATCTATCAATAAATCTATCCAGCACAGTGAACCAGAACACATGCAGACAAACCGTCATCATTGTATTGTCTTTTTAGTGTGTGCCAGTGGATCACTATCATCCCATGCTTAAGGTTTAATCCAGCCACCATGACCACGTCAGTGATTTGAAGTGGTCATGGTGGTAGGAGTCAGTATCGGCGGCGTTTTGTTTAAATCCTCGCTCACTATGCCAGCCCTGAGACCACGCGTGCACTTTGACCTGGTAAGACACTCTTAGAAGCATGTTACTGGACCACACAAGGCCCCTGTAAGTAGGAGGGGGCAAAGAATTCAGCACCTGGAGCTTTACCCCCGCACTAGATTCCAGTTAAGTAAAATTCTTTTTTGCAGGTTTCACTGGAGGCCCATTCACCTTTAGATTGTGAGCCGCTGCAAAGGGGTTTCATTTTTAAAAACACATTTTTTGTGGCACTTTAAATCTAAAAATAAAATAGAGAGATAAAAGAATAAAAGATAAGATTCTGCTGTAGATTTTCTCTCGCTACATGCATGAAAGCAGCACTGTCACTTTGCAGGTTTTATAATGAAATTTTTTCCAATGGGCAGGGCTAATGCAAAGTTCCTGTTCAGTTGCCGTGCTAATTTACCCTCAAGCCATCAGTCGAAAGAATCTCATAAAAGGGCAATCTGCAGACATCATGGACAGAGGTGAAAAAAGACACAAGAGGTGTAAGGAAAGGGAAAATGAAAGAATGAAAGAAAACCACGACAGTGCCATTTTATGCCCCACTTACACATGTATGGAAAAAAAAAAAAAAAAGATTCACCTGATTGGCTGCCATGTTATTACCTATATGTAAAAAAGCCATTATTCCTGAAGATTCATTATAAAGACTCAGATTTTTCACATATCTGTTTAAATAACATGCATATTTCACAAACACATTTCTTCATCGGAATTAGTTAAGCAAACACTAGCGGTTGATAAAATAGAAGATCTGGGTACTGGATACTGGCTCCACTGCTTTTCTCGTGCAACGGTTTGTTAGCACAATAAAGACCTGTCATTTACCATCTACACATACACTATTTTGGTCTTTTAGCTTAATGAAGTACCTTTGAAACCACATATCAGACATATTTTCACTACTAAGAGGTTTATTATCAGAGATGGCCGGTGAAGAATTACATGATACAACTTGTGAGAACATGTCTCTCAAACATAAATCCTACATACAGTCAGGCCCGGTGTAAGACTATATTGTACCCTAGACAAGACCAGCTTCTTGCAACCCCCCCCCCAAAAAACCAACTAAATTTGCCTTGTTTATGTGTCTCTTTATCCTCCCAGCCACTTTCTACCTCCACTCATTTGTGTGTCTCTTTTTACACTTCCCCAGCATCTTCACCCTCTCAGTCCTCTGTGTGCCTCACCCACCTCCTCAGTCCTCTGTGTTCCTCTTTCCCACTTCCGCCCTCTCTGTGCACCCCCCCATCCTCGATCTTCAGTATGACTCACCACCCCCAACACTTTGTGGTCTCTTCTCTTCCCCCTTGTGTCAGCTCACCTCCCTCTATGTATTCATGTTGCGTGGCCGAACCGCAGACCTCCGTGGAGGATCTTCTGTTTCCTCTACCCGGTCTGACAGGAAGCAGTTCGGTGCTCTCAGTGAGCACTTCTTGTCAGACCAGGTAGAGGTTACAGAAGCATATCTACCACAGTCTGCAGCTTATCCACGCTACATGCAGTGACCAGCAGGAGGGGGGCGTTGTGTAAGGCAATGTTTTACCCTACTTCAATGTATAAAATTACAAAATAAAATAAATGAATAAAAAACAGGACTCGCAGTCAACAGTCTAACTTTTATTGTGGAAATAAGAGTAGTAAAATAAGTGCAAGGATAGAGATAATATGTTTAGGAAGGGAAAATGTTAACTGATCTAAAAAGGAATGAGAATACAGAACAATAAGACTTAGAAATACTTTCCTTTTTCACCACTAATGGTTTTAATTTTCGGTTTAGTGGAAATAAAATAATATAGCTTACTTCATTATCCTCCAAGTTGAGGGTTTGCAGAAACTCCAAACCCTCAAGACCTTCCAGAGTGGAGATTTGATTGCATGACAAGTCCAAAACTTGTAAGGTTTTCAGATTTTCTAGACCAGTGATGTTCTTAATTTGGTTGGCACTCTAGAAAGATAACGTAAAACAAGATGAGGCTGTGAAGACATTAAATGTGTACACAGGCACACACTATCGTTGTTTAAGTGCATTGGATCTTGGGTCACATATCACTTTTATATCTTCCTGGTATTTCTAAATATTCTCTCTCACGGAAAAGAAGAACAAAGTGTCTACTGGCAGGCTGGGGATATGACAGCACATGAATAAAATAGCCAGGAACAAGATCAAGCACTTTAAATATTAAACACACATTGTGTATTTGTCCTTTTTCCCCCAACTGGTACAAATGCAGAGCTTTGAAAACACTAAAATAAAACTGTATACACAGTAGGGATCTCCAGTGATTTACTGTGAAAGGAGTTAAACATCTGCAGAACTGTATGTGTTTAATGTATTTACCACTAGAGCCCTACTGATCTAGCATTTCATATAACAGGATACATATTACAGACACATAGGATGTCACATACCAGAATGAGGGTTTTTATGGGTAAATTACCAAACCCACACATATTGGAGACTCCATTGTGAGCCAAGTTCAGGTGAGAAAGACTGCTACACTTTTCCAAACCAATTATTTGCTGTATATTATTATCTGTAAAAATTAAAAGCTTTCAAGGAAATAATATGTTTATATAACAATAGCTCCAGAAAATAAAAAAATATTATGACTTGGTTGGATGTGTTGGATAATATGAGAGGCATACTTTAATTACAAATTTGCTGGTCAGTGTAGCTAGAGAGAGAACTATGTCAAGATAAGACTTTTTTTATAATACTGTTATATAATAAGTATAAAGGGCAAACAAGCAATACTAAATATTACACAGACGATAAAGAGGATTCAATTCATGCTATATCTGTGAATATTAAACTATTATCGATGTATCAATGAGTTGTAAAAATATTTCCTGAACCGATTACATTAGGAACCAGTGCATGCTGGTAAATTCTACAGGCTAGTGGTTGTAAAAATATTATATGACATCTTGCGCAACAATGATGTTCACAGACATCACAGAACAGGTATATTTTGCTATATATAAGTTTGGTCAAAATATTTTCCAGAACTGTTTATTGTTGTTACTGTATATATATATATGATCTGTTTTATAATATTCCCTCAATATATTAATACTGGAAGAGGGTGATAGGCTTGGGAACTTACTTTTGTGTTTATTCAAGAAACAGTGAATCATTTTAAAGCTAGGTTGGGCAGAGCCATATTCAACTAGTGCTTCTGCATGTTACACATGCTTTGTTTATCCTGTTTCCTATTGTACAGCTCTACAGGCTATGTTGGCGATATAGAGATATATATATATATTTTCCCTTCTAATTCTGAAAAAAAAACTACATTTCAAAATTCAGGTCAAAATAACTGCACTAGAAAAATTCCCTATTCAACAGATTTTGTTAACGTAAATTTTTTTTTTTTTTAAATTCCGTTTTCTCAACTATGTCCCTATTAATCATCTTACTGATAAATTATATGCATAAATCCAATCCTTTCTGCCCATGTGGATTTTATCTATCACTTAGGTTAACATACTGAAAATACAACCAAAGAGAAAGATAAGAATGCCTTATGATGGAGAAGATGTCACATCCCTGTTTTTTCTTTATACACTGATGCATACACATTGGCAAGTGAAAATAAAAATAAAATAAAAAATAAAAAAGTGATGTTACTTTCTAAAACTTTGAAAAGGATACTATTTATTATCAGCTTTGTCAGCATTTTGTGAACAGATAAATCCTTCATCTCTGTAATCTGATTAAATGAAAGATCCACCACCTAGAGAAACAGAAAACAAAAACGCAGAGTGGTAAAACAACCAAAGTATGACACAACAGACGGATTTAATCATCTTGGGCAGGTCCTTGTATTGCAGAGCGATCGTAGATGGAAAAATAAATCCCCCAAATAAGTGAGTTAATCTCATAAGAGCAGACATTAGGCTGTTAGAGTAGGACCTGCCAAAGATGGGGTACATTGACGTTGTGGCAGGCTTATGCAATGTATGATCATATACTGTAACTAAACCCCCATTATTTTTGCCTAGATTAGGTGGGTTAAAAAAAAAAAAAAAAACTAATAAAATCTGTGAGCTTTGGAGTTGCTGTTTAGTGGATGAGTAAGTCATAAGACATACTGATAATAAGCATACTATGCTGTATGAAGCCTTTTACTGCATTGGGATGCGTACTTGGATTGGATTGTTTGGCATGCAGACTGTTTGGTCCTATGCAGGATACCATAATTAGAGACCTAATGGCGTAACAGAAGTAATAACTGCTAAGTATGTAACACAATTAACCATTGTAGGTGTAACACTTGGAAAGTTGATGAACATTTACTCTCTGTATTGAATATTAGAAGATATGTCACAGTGAATGATTCACTGTATGCAGCAATAGGTAGCCTCAGATGTTTGCGAATACATTTGCCATGATGCTCCAAGGATGAGTCCAACCAACGACTCCATAGCATTGCTAGTGATAACCTCTGACATTATTTCTTCAAAGCTGAACTTACTTTCAGATTTTTAGGTGGCACAAAGTCAAAGAAGGTGCTCAACCTGTTGTTAGAGGCATTGAGTTCGGTCAGGAATGGCATGCAACTGATGCAGGATAGATCTACGGAACAAAAAACAGAAAAAAAACCTTTAATAGTATTGCAGTTTGAAGTCTTAAGAAATAGATTTATACATTAACTAATACCGTGTAACCAATGTCTGTCACAAAGCAACAAATGAAACAGAATTGTTATAAGTGTGTACATAATAAGTATATCATTCAGGCAGCAATATGAATTCAGGGCGGTATATTACTATGGTAGGATAACAAGGGTAGCATATCTCCAGACCTCAGTTATATGTATATGGATATGTATAAGCAAATCTACAGTCATATAGAGGGAATGTAACTGTAACAGACAGGCAGTTGGGCACAAAGACTTAATTTTATTTTATTCCAATAGGGGGCATTTCATTACTTCTTGTTTATCCTTCTTCCCATTAATGTCAGCTGCATTAAACAAATATGTAACAAAATAGTAACAACCTACCTGCCTATCCTAAATACTCACCTAAGTATCTGCCAGGTTACAATATATTATTTACCCCTTATAGTATTCCCAATAGTACTATCTATCATCTGCCAAATAAACAATAAAAGAAGAAAAAAAAGCACATATCAGTACTGACAACAAACTCTAAAGCATGGTAATGAAAAGGTTATTTTATTTAAACTCCTTTATGACAGTGCAGATGTTTGGATTGTCACAATAAACTTTCTAATGATTATGTAAAAAATACTTTGGGGGCTCTGGAGAGTGCTTTAATCATCTAAATGACTAGCTCTCCCTCCCGCAGTGACTGCAGGAGAAGACTGAAAGGCAGGTGTGCAGCCTACAGATCAAGTAAGTTAGAGATAGGGGGATCCACCTACAGATCAAGTAAGTGAGGAATTGGGGGGAGGGTGGGGAGGCAGCCTGTAGATCAGGTAAGTGAGGGATGGGGGAGACCGCCTACAGAATCGAGCAGGAAGATAAAGTAAGAGAAGGAGCACAAAGGAGAAGGAACAGAAATTAACAGAAAGGGGCAGCAAGGAGCACAAAGGTAAATTAGATGAAGGAGCACAAAGGAACAGGGATGGGGGAGACAGCCTACAGAAAGTAGGAAGGGTCAGCAAGGAGCACGAAGGGTCAGCAAGGAGCTGGAAATGGCAGCAAGGAGCTGGAAATGGCAGCAAGGAGCTGGAAATGGCAGCAAGGAGCACAAAGGTAAAGTACTAGAAGGAGCCAAAAGGAGAAGAAACAGAAATGAACAGGAAGAGGCATCAAAGAGCAGAAAGAGTCAGCAATGAGCTGGAAGGGGCAGAAAGAGCACAAAGGTAAAGTAGGAGAAGGAGCAGAAATGGGCAGGAAGGGTCAGCAAGGAGAAGGAAAAGACAGAAGGCGCACAAAGGTAAAGGAGCAGAAAGAATCAGAAGGAGCACAAAGGTAAAGTAGGAGAAGGAACAGAAATGGGCAGCAAGGAGCTGGATGGGGCAGCAAGGAGCACAAAGGTAAAGTAGGAGAAGGAGCAGAAAGAAATAGAAATGAGCAGGAAGGGTCAGCAAGAAGCAGAAAGGGTCTGCAAGAAGCAGAAATGGGCAACAGGAGCAGGAAAAGACAGGAGCACAAAGGTGAAGGAGCACAAAGCTAAAGTAGGAGAAGGAGCAGATAAAAACAGGAAGGGACAGCAAGGAGCAGAGAGGACCAGCAAGGAGCTGGAAGGGTCAGCAAGAAGGAGGAATGTGTAACAAGGAGCAGAAATGGTCAGCAAGGAGCAGAAAGGGACAGCAAGGAGCAGAAAGGGACAGCAAGGAGCAGAAAGGAACAGAAGTAGCAGAAAGGAACAGAAGGAGCAGAAAGGTATAAAGTAGGAGAAGGAGCAGAAAGGGATCAGAAAGAGAAAGGAGCAAAAGGGCGCAAAAGAAGCAGAAAAGTGAAGAAGGAGAGAAGACAGTGTCAGAAGAAAAAGAAGACTGTGTCAAATGAAGGAGAAGAAAATGAGATTGGAGCAGGAAGGACAAGTGAAGTAAACCCTCCACTTTATTCTGGAAACTACATCATAAGGCTTTGTTACCTGGGCCTGGCATGGAAACTTTGGACCTTCTCATCTCCCCAGGTAAAAAAAAAAAAAATATCAGTGTTAATGTGTTGACTTTTATTTACTGAGTATCAGGAAGCACAGAGTGCCGCTCGGTAGGGGTGCCGCTGATTGGCTAGAGCTCCCCATTCATAAAAAAGTACAAAAAAAAAATGTATGAACCAGCGATTGGCTTAGAGCGTCAGCTGACCACTCTAGCCAATCTGCGGCATCCATGCCTGACGTCAATCTGCACTTCCAGACACTCTGTTTCAGAAGCAGAATACCACTGAGCAACCTGGAGAACTGGAGGTGGAGGATGCCTTAGGGGCCTCCTGGCATTTTCATTTAGATGAAGTTGTTATGGTGAACAGAATGTTCCTTTAATTTGCTTAAAGGAACACTGTAGTGTCAGGAATACAAGCATGTATTCCTGACACCATAGTTGTGAAAACACTATTCACCCTGGCTTTATGTGATTATGACTATGCCCCATCTCCTTCATGACACTGTCAAAAAGGGACCAAGCATGGATGTCATTACAATTATGCCCCCCCCCTTCCATCCTGGAAAAATTCCAGCGGCTGCCCATGGACAATAGGATGGTCCAGGTACTCCAGGTATCACATTAAGCAGCTTTATTGGAAATAAACAAGAAATTTTTCAGCCTACACAGATGCCTCTGTCAAGCTTGACAATGACCTCTGTGTAGGCCGACATGTTGCATTTCTTGTTCACTTCCAATAAAGCTGTTTAATGTGATATCTCGAGTGCCGGGACCATCCTATTTTACTTGCCCTTGGTTTGTAGCACCTAGGTTCTAGGAGAAAGAGTGTGGCTTCCTCTTCTTATTATGCAATGTGTAATTAGGCAGAGCTAATGTTAAAATCAGCAACCCCATTCATCCAAGGATGGGAGGCGGGTAGAATAAAAATTACACCTGTGTGGGCTGCACAGTACTAGTGGGGTCACCACTACTCGTGTTTGCCATATCAATGCACCGTTCAGAAAGAAAGCCGTTTTATCAACCAGGAACCAGTGAGGAGAAATTGCTTAGCTATCACTTTTAACTAGCACAATGCTATAACTATAAAATACATACAAAGTATAGAGGTGCATTCAACCCAAAAATAATTATTTTAATTATTATACCCTGCCCATATTCCTTTGCATAATTAAATGTAAACATATGGGGCCACTGCATGCCCAAATATGTATTTTCAACTTTTAAACTCAGCACTAACTACATTGATAACAATCTGCAAAGGTAATCATGACGGGTACACTATTCAGTTATGCCCAGAACCATATACTGAAAACACATGTCAGTTTACCAGCTGGAGTTAAAAATACATACCACTAATTCCATTACAGGAGATATCCAGCTTCTGCAGGTGAGTATATCTACAGAGAATGTGGATGTCAGCTAAATTACGATTCTGCGAGATAAGAGAATAAAGATGGCATTTTCAAATCACACTGCCAGTGTTTTCTCATTATAGGCAATTACCAAACTAGTCTGTAATCATGTTTATATTTTAACACAGCCAATTAAATGCTTGCTATATTTTTACATATTTGCATACACCAATATTTTGTCTGGTTTGCAATAAACCACATTATGTCAGTGCATAAAAAAAAAAGAAAAAAAAAAAAGGATCAACTCACATATCAAAACTATCAATCTATAAAGAAAGGGAAGGGAAGAAAAAAAAAAGTTTAAAGGGACAGGAAATTTGAATTTGTTGCCACTAAATAAGTGATGTAGGAATAAGTTTAAACAGGACTGAAGACTAAGATACAGATGTTAAAGTTGTTTTTTTTTTTTAAATCTTGATATACAATGGTCTAAACCAAGGCTGTCCAACCTTAGGTAATCCGAGGGCCACATTAAAAAAAACCAACAAGATTTATCAGAGAGCCGCATGAAAAGTTATAAATTCATTACATACCTTATAGTATTTGTTAATAAAGAGCATTATATTTTTACAAATACAGTTTAAGCAAAATTATTTAAAGGACCACTATAGGCACCCAGACCACTTGAGCTTAATGAAGTGGTCTGGGTGCCAGGTCCATCTAGGCTTAACCCTGCCTGCTGTAAACATAGCAGTTTCAGAGAAACTGCTATGTTTACATATGGGTTAATCAAGTCTCTAGTGGCTGTCTCATTGACAGCTGCTAGAGGCGCCTCCGTGCTTCTCACTGTGATTTTCAGTGAGAATGCTTTCCTATGGACTGACTGAATGCGCGCGCAGCTCTTGCCGTGCGTGCGCATTCAGCCAATGACGTCCAAAGGAGGAGAGTCCCCCAGTGTTTAACCCCTACAGCTTGGCGGGAGGGGGACCCAGAGGGTGGGGGACACCCAAAGACCCTAGAGAGCCAAGTTTGTTTTCCTGGCACTACAGTGGTCCTTTAACCCTCATTGAAAATCAGGTTTATTGTCGATATTTACAGAATTTACACTGTTTGTAAAGAACAAATCAAACAAAAGCAATTGAAATAGCTCAACATAACAAATGCTTCAATAGTTTCCCCAAATTCAACTGAAAATGCAACGTAGAATGACTTCTCCAGTCTCAACATTATTCAACTCCTTCATGACAAGCTTCTTTAGTACTTAGTTGAGCACCCTTTTGCTGTTATGACCAGCTGCAAATGAGATGCAAAGCCAGAAACTAGCTTCAGGCAGTGTTCCTGTGGAATCTTAGCCCATTGCTCATGAGCAATGGCCTCCAGTTCAGTAATATTCTTGGGTTTGCTGCAACCCCCTTCTTCAAACCTCACCAGAAATTTTCTATGGGGGTTCAAGTCAGGTAACTGTGATGACCACTGTAGAATTTTCCAGGACTATGGAAAAATAGGAATATGATGGGGAACAGCAACCGCTATCTCAGATTGATAAGGCTGCACACCTGGGTAATTTGTTAATCATGGGAGATTTGAATTATCCAAACATTGAGAGACATTTAGTACAGTTAAGGCAAACAGGTTTTTGAACCTGATAAACGATAAGTTAATGTCTCAATTAGTAGAAGTGCCAACTAGAAGAGACGCCTGTCTAAATCTTGTAATTACTTATAATGTTGATTTATTTTCAAACATTCTAGTTATGGAGCACTTGGGAAATAGTGACCACTATGGTATCATTTGAGATTAGCTAAATAAATAAATAAATAAACAAATATGACATGGGCTGTACAAAAACATTGAATTTTTAAAAGGCTAAATTCAATAGGATATGGGCATTTTGACAACCAATTGACTGGCAGGAAATATTCACTGGAAAAGCTCAAATAATAAATGGGATGTCTTTAAACAAATTCTACAAAAGAATATTTTTCAATACATACCACTGGGAAATAAATATAAAATAAGCAAATTAAAACCAATATGGCTTAACACAAGGTTCCGTCAAATGATAAAGGATAAGAAAATGGCATTGAAAACATTTAAAGGGACACTATAATCACCAGAACAACTACAGCTTATTGAATTTGTTCTGGTGGGTAGAATCATTACCTTCAGGCTTTTTGCTGTAAACACTGTCTTTTCAGAGAAAATGCAGTGTTTACATTACAGCGTAGTGATAACTTCACTGGCCACTCCTCAGATAGCTGTTAGAGATCCTTCCTGGGTCATGGCTGCCTAAAATGCATCCAAACATTCAGTATCTCCTCCCTCTGCATGCAGACACTAACCTTTCCTCATAAAGATTCATTGATTCAAGTCATCTCTGTGGGGAAATGCTGATTGGCCAGGGCTATGTTTGAATCATGCTGGCTCTGCCCCTGATCTGTCTCCTTGTCAGTCTCAGCCAATCCTATTGCGCAAATGCATTGCGATTGGATCAGGCTACCACCTCTGCTGATGCTTGTTTTTCCTGAGTCTAACAGCATGCAGAGTTACAGCTTCAAGCTTGAATACAGTAAGATTCTTACTATATTTATGGAGGCATGAGGAGCCAAGGGTGGCTAGTTGGTGGTTTTAACACTATAGGGTCAGGAATACATTTTTGTGTTCCTGACCCTATAGCGATCCTTTAAATCAGAGGGGTCAATTGCATCTTATAATAAATATAAGCATGCCAATAGGGCTTGCAAAAGAGCGGTCAGATGGGCTAAACCTAAAGTTGAAAAGCTCATAGCCAAAGAGAGAAAGACCAAAGCCAAAAAGTTTTTTTTTTTCTATTTATAATGTTTATTAGCGTTAATGGTATACAAACACTTAAAATTGTAGATGTAACAAATTAGGCGTCAATCTTACTTGCACAAAGAACAAAATCACAAATACAAAACAACAACCACAAAACATGACATCAACTATCTCGCAGGAGGAAGCCAGGAAAGTTCGGAAGAGTAGTCCATGAAATAGATTTTTTGTATCCCTTTCTTTTATCACTTAACAGAAAGGCGAGTAAGAAATGTCAGAGGAAGGGTGCGCCATTTAGAATTTCTCTATGCAGGGCACGACAAATCCCAAGTGCCAGGTTGCCATGGCGCCTAGGAATTTGGCCTTGGCGTCTGGGATATGTGAGCCCAGCAGCAGGAGGCCGGCTGGGGAATTAGGAAGCCGGCGGCAAGTTGGGTGCCCGTACAGGCAGGCGGCGAGGGAGCGGTGATGTCTTTGCTCTGCTCCCCTGTGTGCCGCATAGGGAGACTGGGGCCGAAATATGACATCATTCGGCAACAATATGCACCGCCAGCTGCCCGTCTGCACGAGCACCCAATTGCTGCCCACCTCCACGGGCACCCAGCCGGTCGCCTACTGGATCCCACAGGCATTGTCTGTCTGTGATAGTGTGAGTATTTGGGTCTCTCATATTGTGTGTGTGTGTGTGTGTCTGTCTCATGGTGTGCGTGAGTGTCTGTCTCATGGTGTGCGTGAGTGTCTGTCTCATGGTGTGCGTGAGTGTCTGTCTCATGGTGTGCGTGAGTGTCTATCAAGTGTGCGTGAGTGTATGGGTCAGTCTCTCATGGTTTGTGTCTGTCTGTCATGGTATATGCGTGTGTGTGTGTGTGTGTCTGTCATGGTATATGCTTGTGTGTGTGTCTGACATGGTATATGCTTGTGTGTAGGTGTCATGGTATCTGTCTGTCATGGTGTGTGTTTAGGTTACCAGACCCCTTCTGTTCGCAAGGGAATGGAGTTTTTACTCACCTTTTTTTTCTCCCATGCCATGCTGGTCTCCCCTAGACTGTCCCTGCCTCTATGGCTGAGATCATCAAGCTTGATGGTCTCAGTCAATCCAAATGTGTTCCCATAGAATTGGCTGCAAAACGCTGCACCAATCAGCCTATCCTCATAGATATGCATTGAATCAATGCATCTCTGTGGGGAACATTCAGCGCCTCAATGCAGCATGTGGAGATGCTGAATGTAGGTGCTGCAGCACTGACACATGAAACACTTCTAGTGACCATCTGAGTGACAGTCACTAGAGGTGTCACAAGGAAGCAATGTAAACACTGCCTTTTCTAAGAAAAGTCAGTGTTTACATTGAAAAGCGTGCAGGGACAGGATATAGACACCAGAACCACTATATTAAGCTGGTGACTATCGTGTCCCTTTAAGAATTGTATTTTTGTCGTTGAATATAAAACTATGCAGGGTTTAAAAAAAAAAAAATATGGCTCCTAACTTTTTTAGCTGGCTCCTAGAATCAAAGCAAATTTGTCAAGCCCTGCTATTATGCATAACCATTTTTTTAATACTCCGTGTATAAAGACCTATTAATACCATCACCATTTTAATCTGAAAAATTATTTGTTCTTTGACTGGATGCCAACGTGGGACAAAATCCGACTTCCAATTCCTCACTATTAGCATCTTGGCCGCATGAAGATGTGGGAAACAATCAATGAAGAAGGGCCAAGAGTTGTTTGAAAGTTTAGTTGTAGTAAAAAGAAACCACGGTGACATTTTTTTATTGATTTTAAGTAAAATCTGGATTTTATTATGGATCATTTTCAAAAAAAGTTGCAAAAGTTGACATTCCTACCATATGTGTAAAAAACAGCCTTTCTAGAGAAAGCATCTCCATGATCTGAGGCATTGGGATACATACTAGACAACCTGCTAGGGGCTAAATACCATTTATATAAAAGTTGGAAATGAACCTTGGTTAAATTAAGATAACATTCCCAAAGAATCGATACATTCTTCACTACTAATGTTAAGTTTCAGGCCCCGCTCCCACATTCTGTATTACTGGTAGAATAAGTTTATCATGATCTCTCCCAATCAATTCTACACAGCCAGCAACCAAAATTTTCAATTGCGTACCTTTAATTAATTTTCCTAATTCGTCATGTTTAGGAGACTTATTTAAAACCAAGTGGTTAAGAAGATAGCCTTTTATCCTAATGTAATTAAAGATTTCTCTTTTGTACAAACAGTTGTCTTTACTAAGAGACATAATATCCCTTTTCCTATTTCCCTTGACTAAGTTTCCAGTTTCAGAAAGACCAGAATTTATCCAGCTGCAAATGTTTTATTGGGTTAAAGTTAACCCTGAGATAATTTTATCTTCGAGATGGCAATCAGATTTGAGTTTTTCCCATCTGTTAGAGGTTTTTGATTACTATGCACTTAGAGGCTCTATTGTGTCCCTTCCTTTTTCCCCTCCTGTCTACCAGAATATTAACCCCAAGTCTGTATTTGCGACTCCAGTTTTAGACATATCTGTTTCAATGTTATACCATGGTTCATCTTAGACATTATCAAATGGAGTGTAGATGATGTGACCTAGAGTGAACTCTTTCCAATAGTTCTTTATCTGTGTTACTCCTAGCCGCCCTTGATTCAGTTTCAGTGGCAAACAGTGTGCGTTAATACGGGAGTGCTTTGCAAGCCATATTGAAGAGAGATTGAACCAAGTCTAACCAACTGTTAGGACAGAGCACAGAGGTCATACGGAAAAGGAAGATCCACTTTGGAAGGATATGATATTCGATGATATTAATTCTCCCACACCACGACACTTCCCTCGATTTCCATTTGTTACGTTTTTTTACTAGTGTAGTTTAATAGTGGAAGAAAATTTGCAGCCATTAGTTTGGTGAGATCACTTCATATTTCAACAACTAAACATCTAAAAGAGCTTATTGGACAGTCAAGCCCATATTTATTCAACAAAATATTTTTTGTCTGTGGAGATAGATTCACAGAAAGAACGGAAGATTTATGTATTTTTAATTTGTATCCTGAAATATACGCAAAATCATTAATAATTGCCATAATTTCATCTATGGAAATAAATCGGATCACAAATTGTGAGTACTACATTGTTTGCGTATTATCAAAAACAGAACTTCTAGTTTTTCCTCCCTCAAGTGCTGCTACTCCCGTGTCTGTCGCCATCCAAGTCAACAGCGCTACTATCACCTCTACCTCCCAGGCTCGCTGCCTAGGAGTTCTTTTTGATTCTGATCTCTCTTTTACTCCCCATGTTCAATCGATAGCCAAATCCTGTCGCTTCCAACTCAAGAACATAGCGCGCATCCGCCCATATCTAACGCCGGACGCGGCTAAGGTACTGGTTCATGCTGTTGTTCTCTCTCGCCTTGACTATTGCAATCCCCTTCTCACCGGTCTTACATGTTCCCAGCTTGCACCGCTGCAATCTATAATGAATACGGCTGCGAGGCTTATTTTCCTGTCCGGTCGCACCTCCCACGCCTCCACGCTCTGTCAGTCCCTGCATTGGCTTCCAGTTAGATATAGGGCCCAATTCAAAATTCTGGCGCTTGCTTACAAATCCCTACATAATGCTGCTCCAACATACCTATCCTCCCTCATACACAAGTATGTCCCGACGAGACCCCTGCGCTCAGCCCAAGACCTACTCCTATCCTCTGCCCGGATCCCCACCTCTGATGCTCGCCTTCAAGACTTCTCCAGGGCTGCACCTATTCTGTGGAACTCCCTTCCCTCCTCAATCAGCCTTTCACCCAGCCTCCATTCCTTCAAAAAAATCTTTGAAAACTCACTTCTTTATTAAAGCGTATCAATTAAACTGTCAGCAGGTTTCTCATCCCCCACCCCATGACTCCGTTCCTTCACCTGTCAAAAATGACCTACCAAGCACTCAATAAACCCTTCTGTAACAAACTATTTAATTCCCCTACTTTAACCCTTTGTGTCACTATACCCCACTCCCTCTAGCATGTAAGCTCATCGAGCAGGGCCCTCAACCCCCTCTGTTCCTGTACGTCAGTGGTCTGATCTCACTTATGTGTCTGTTAGTCCACCCATTGTACAGCGCTACGGAATTTGTTGGCGCTATATAAATAATAAAATAAATAATAATAATAATAATAATAATAATAATAAGACAAAACCGAAACATCTTTAATCTGATCGTCTGCCTTGATTGCCACAGCCAGAGGTTCAATTACCAACAGGTATAATATTGGGGAAAGCAGACATCCTTGTCTGGTACCGTTACTCAATGGGAGGAGAAGCCACCATTCAGTACTCTGGCAGTGGTGGTGATATATAGCGACATTATAGATTGAAATATATTTCCTGAAAAGACTTAAGTCCCACTCAACTCTGTTGAAAGCCTTTTCGACATCCAATGACAGAGCAAAGAGGGGCACTCTGTCTGACTGGACCATATCCATAATGTCGATGAATCTCCTGACATTATAAACAGAAGACCTGCTTTCAATAAAGCCAGCCTGGTTCTTGCGTATAACTGATAAAATAATACTATTTAACCTGGCTGCTAATATAGAAAAATATAATTTCAAAATTGACATTTAGCAAAGATATGGGTCTGTAATTTGCTATAAGCTCTGGGTCCTTACCCTGTTTTGGTATAGGTATTATGTATGCTTTTAGAATTTCACTGGGAAACTCTCCTGATATGCTAAATTGATTAAAAACCTTAGCAAGAGCCCCCTTCATATTGTTTATTAATGCTACATAAAAGCATTTACTAAAACCATCAAGCCCTGGGGCTTTATTTGTCTTGGGCTTTTTTATGGCTCTCTCTACTTCACTAATGGTAGGCTATGTTTACGAAAAAAGTCTGCTAGCTCTACGGAGAGCTGTTTCTCTGGGAGATTATACAATGATGGGTAAAATCTAGAAAAGCTTGTCCTATTTTCTCTGGCTAAGGAGGACATCCTTTCCCTGAGTAATCCTAGTTACCATTGTGTTTGCTCTATTGCTTTTTAGTTTATTAGTCATTAGTTGCTTTATTCCCTCTATCATACCTACAGGGAGTGCAGAATTATTAGGCAAATGAGTATTTTGACCACATCATCCTCTTTATGCATGTGGTCTTACTCCAAGCTGTATAGGCTCGAAAGCCTACTACCAATTAAGCATATTAGGTGATGTGCATCTCTGTAATGAGAAGGGGTGTGGTCTAATGACATCAACACCCTATATCAGGTGTGCATAATTATTAGGCAACTTCCTTTCCTTTGGCAAAATGGGTCAAAAGAAGGACTTGACAGGCTCAGAAAAGTCAAAATAGTGAGATATCTTGCAGAGGGATGCAGCACTCTTAAAATTGCAAAGCTTCTGAAGCGTGATCATCGAACAATCAAGCGTTTCATTCAAAATAGTCAACAGGGTCGCAAGAAGCGTGTGGAAAAACCAAGGCGCAAAATAACTGCCCATGAACTGAGAAAAGTCAAGCGTGCAGCTGCCACGATGCCACTTGCCACCAGTTTGGCCATATTTCAGACCTGCAACATCACTGGAGTGCCCAAAAGCACAAGGTGTGCAATACTCAGAGACATGGCCAAGGTAAGAAAGGCTGAAAGACGACCACCACTGAACAAGACACACAAGCTGAAACGTCAAGACTGGGCCAAGAAATATCTCAAGACTGATTTTTCTAAGGTTTTATGGACTGATGAAATGAGAGTGAGTCTTGATGGGCCAGATGGATGGGCCCGTGGCTGGATTGGTAAAGGGCAGAGAGCTCCAGTCCGACTCAGACGCCAGCAAGGTGGAGGTGGAGTACTGGTTTGGGCTGGTATCATCAAAGATGAGCTTGTGGGGCCTTTTCGGGTTGAGGATGGAGTCAAGCTCAACTCCCAGTCCTACTGCCAGTTCCTGGAAGACACCTTCTTCAAGCAGTGGTACAGGAAGAAGTCTGCATCCTTCAAGAAAAACATGATTTTCATGCAGGACAATGCTCCATCACACGCGTCCAAGTACTCCACAGCGTGGCTGGCAAGAAAGGGTATAAAAGAAGAAACTCTAATGACATGGCCTCCTTGTTCACCTGATCTGAACCCCATTGAGAACCTGTGGTCCATCATCAAATGTGAGATTTACAAGGAGGGAAAACAGTACACCTCTCTGAACAGTGTCTGGGAGGCTGTGGTTGCTGCTGCACGCAATGTTGATGGTGAACAGATCAAAACACTGACAGAATCCATGGATGGCAGGCTTTTGAGTGTCCTTGCAAAGAAAGGTGGCTATATTGGTCACTGATTTGTTTTTGTTTTGTTTTTGAATGTCAGAAATGTATATTTGTGAATGTTGAGATGTTATATTGGTTTCACTGGTAATAATAAATAATTGAAATGGGTATATATTTGTTTTTTGTTAAGTTGCCTAATAATTATGCACAGTAATAGTCACCTGCACACACAGATATCCCCCTAACATAGCTATAACTAAAAACAAACTAAAAACTACTTCCAAAAAATATTCAGCTTTGATATTAATGAGTTTTTTGGGTTCATTGAGAACATGGTTGTTGTTCAATAATAAAATTAATCCTCAAAAATACAACTTGCCTAATAATTCTGCACTCCCTGTAGTTCTCTTTAGACGTTCAAGAGTGTAGTTTGCGTTCTGTATTAAGATGTTCTTAATCTGTTCCCTAACCATCATTACCCTAGTGCTTAATTGCTTTGAGGGGGTTGCTTCTGTTTTCTCTCTCCAATCCTTCCAGATCTATATATAATTCGGCAAGGCTCGGGAATATTTTTCTTGAGTATCCAATTTGATTAAGTGGCCTCTAATTGTACACTTGTAAGCACACCACATCGTTGAGAGTGAAGTGTCTGGAGATACGTTTTCTTTAATAATAAAAAATAAATCAGAGGCTTCACTGATCAAATCTAGGTTCTGATTATTTTGTAGGATACAGTCATTTAGTCTCCAATTGGATCTAGTTTTTTTATTATAAATTTCTCATAAATAGTCATCACTATTGCATTATGATCGGATCATGGGATACTAGTGATCAGAATCTTTTTGATCAATTTAACGCTATGTTTCAGTCAAAAAAAGAGTCAATTCTAGAATATGCCTGATGTGAAAAAGAGAAACAGGAGTAATGTCACATGTGCCATAGGTCTAAAATACCATTGGTTCTAAATGTGTTAAAACTTTAGCATGATTGAAAGCATGGCGTTGGTGATCTTTTTTTTTTAGGTTAAATCCTATTTAGAGTGGGGTCCAATAAACACTTAAAATCTCCGCAAAAAAGAATCCTTCCGCGTCTTATCTTCTCCACCGAGAGACAATCCTACCTATGAACCATATTGGAGAGTGAGTTGGGGCATAAACAAAGATGGGGGAAATCCCTAGATCTGATCCATTGCCAATGTGTTTCTGAAACTGCCACAGATGTTAATCTTTTCTTTTTTTACGAAATCAAGAAAAATTGTTTTCTTTTGCAGGGAGTTCATTCCACTGACGTTCAAAGAAACAAATTTAATCATGGAGGCTCCTCGTGGAACCTCCTCCCTTCACGACATCTCTCTTGCGAGATGGGCACATAAAACCAAGAGCAGAAAAAAAAGAAAAGAAAGAAAGACACCTAAAAACTTAGCACGCATACATTTAACACAGAAAAAAAAACATCTCAAAAGACCTGAAGGCAAGAAACAATGCCGCCTTGAGAAGGTGAAGAGGCAATTCACCAGTCTAAAAAAAATTAAAAAAGGATATACGAGGTAGAAAAAAGTGCCGCTACAACGAGAGATTAGTGCAAATTATTGCTATTAGTGGGCTGTCCTCTAGTATGGAATGTCTAAACTTATGTAAAAAAAAATTTAAAATAATTATGTGCAAGAAAAAAACAAAAACAAAAAAAAAACAAAGGAGGAAATGAATTGACCTACCTTTTGTCATCAATGCTAACTAAAACATATTTTTTATTTCGTTTAAGAATTGTATCATATTGTTACTTACACAGAGTGTTAAGTCCAGATAAACAAGCTCGCTTCCAAGGGCTGAACGTCCCAACCTGGACAGTCCACCAGAGACTATTTCTTCCTGCAAAACTCCATCAAATTCCTTCTGCAGGTTAAAAAAAAAAATTTTTAAAAAAAAAGAAATACAAGTCAGGCAACAGTACTTGTATTACAGTGATGCAGCACATTACTATAATGAAATAGACAATGGTCCACTGGCACTGTATCTATATAAATATGGGCATTGTATTCATATAGATGTGGGTAGATATAGGCAGTGTTCAGCTGCACTGTGTCTATAGTTATATGGGCAGTGGTCAGCCGGCAGGGTATTTATAGAGTTATGTATATAGCTATGGATAGTGTTGGGGTCTATGTATCTAGCTATGGGCAGTTTTGGGGTGTATGTATCTAGCTATGGGCAGTGTTGGGGTGTATGTATCTAGCTATGGGCAGTGTTGGGGTGTATGTATCTAGCTATGGGCAGTGTTGGGGGTCTATGTATCTAGCTATGGGCAGTGTGGGGGTCTATGTATATAGCTGTGGGCAGTGTGGGGGTCTATGTATATAGCTGTGGGCAGTGTGGGGGTCTATGTATCTAGCTGTGGGCAGTGTGGGGGTCTATGTATATATAGCTGTGGGCATTAGCTTGGGGGTCTATGTATCTAGCTGTGGGCAGTGGCAGGGGGTCTATGTAACATAGCTGTAGGCAGTGTGGGGTCTGTATCTAGCTGTGGAGCAGTGTGGGGTCTATGTGTATGTAGCACAATGGGCAGTGTAGGGGGTCTATGTAGCAATACTTAGCTGTGGGCAGTGTAGGGGGTGTATATGGCTGGCAGTGTGGGGGTCTATGTATATAGCTATGGGAAGTGTGGGGGTCTATGTATGTAGCTGTGGGCAGTGTGGGGGTCTATGTATATAGCTGTGGGCAGTGTGGGGGTCTATGTATATAGCTATGGGCAGTGTGGGGGTCTATGTATATAGCTGTGGGCAGTGTGGGGGTCTATGTATATAGCTGTGGGCAGTGTGGGGGTCTATGTATGTAGCTGTGGGCAGTGTGGGGGTCTATGTATGTAGCTGTGGGCAGTGTGGGGGTCTATGTATATGGCTGTGTGTATTATGTTACCTCCATGTCGGTGTGTTGCTGCTCGCTGTCGCTGTCACTGAGGGAGTCCCCGGGGTCCGATCCGTTGTCAGGGCTGGGAGGCTCCCAACCCCCCGCACTCTCATCTGCCATCTCCAGTGAGTCCATAGGGGAGAATTCCTCCCGGAACTCCGGGCTGAGTATCGCCACTGCCATCCTACCCCGGACACCGGCCGCTAATGAGATCTCCGGCTCAGGAGCGCATTGCTTGGAAACAGAACGCCAAGGGACCGGCCGCCATCTTGTTTACTAAGCGGTTGCTAGGAGACGGCGCGGATTAAGAGGGAGGCAGGGCGGGGACCGAGAAACATGGAGCACGCGCACTGACATCAAACCGCAGCCTGAGCGCGCGGGGCATCGGCACGCGCCTCACCCCGCCACCGAGCATGCTGGGTAATGTCACCCGCCTCACCCCGACCGAGCATGCTGGGTAATGTCACCCGCCTCACCCCGACACCGAGCATGCTGGGTAATGTCACCCGCCTCACCCCGACACTGTGGGAAAAGGTTGTTATCAGTGAAGCGTGCCTTCTGTGGGGAAAAGGTTTTATCAAAGCGGCACTGTCATGGCCAGACCTGTTTTTTTAAGCCCCCTGAATGCCCCTACCTTTCTATTAAGTTTATTTTTTGCCCAGACCTAGGTCCTGGCCACCGCCATCATTGCGTGAGACCCATTATCTGCCCACACTAGATAGCGCTGTGAAATTCCCGCGCACACCCAGTTACACACTTGGGGAGTTGCTATTGTCAAAAATTCGGACGGGAGTTTAGTCTATTAATTCGTCAGAAAGGCTAATGAATAGAAATGTCAAACAACGAATGTCGTAGTTAGTTTGTTCATTCTGTTTATTACAAAGAGGGAGCTACCGGCTCGCAGCTTCCTCCTTGTAATGTTTATTAATTGTACTTACTTTTACTTAGCGTTAGTAAAGTTGTCTGACAGACCAATTTTGGGCTTTCAGCCTTTTGGTAGATAGCTTCCTAATACCGTGGGAATTGGGGAGCTATGTAGTAAGCGACCGCAGCACGGATCAGATTGGAATTTCATTTATTTGAATTAAATTTCAAACCAAACTAAAAGTACCAAATTGCGTCCTAACACAAATGAACAGACTATTGTTATTCTGTTAGGATGAAATTTGGTAGTTTAGACAGGACGTTCAGGAATACTGAAAGGAGGCATCGTGAGATCACTGAGTAAAGGGTGAATATTGTGGGACATGTTCTTTGACCCACAGGAAGTGGGTCAAAGCTTGTTAAGCATAGGAAAAATACATAAGACAAAGTAGTACCTACTTTGGCTTATGTTTTAAAGAGCAAAAAACGGGGCGCAAGAGAATACTGAGAACGGGCAGCAGCTGAAATAGCCTGCCCTTTGATGGATCCCCACTCAGATCTCAAGCTGCATTTAGCTCATCTTGTGCCATTACAGAGAGAACATCTCTGAAACATATCAGACTGGTCCCACCCATACGGGCAGTACAGATCCGTAATGCCAGCAAGTTCCCGCTGCACGAGAAACCTAGCAACCCCAGACTATCGTTTCAGCCTTGTTAGGCATCATCAGTGAGGCATAGCTGATATCTCTCTAGGCACCGTGAGCAGCTATGCCTCACTGATGATGCCTAACAAGGCTGAAACGATAGTCTGGGGTTGCTAGGTTTCTTGTGCAGAGGGAACTTGCTGGCATTTCGGATCTGGACTGCCCGTATGGGTGGGACCAGTCTGATATGCTTCAGAAATGTTCTCTCTGTAATGGCACTAGATGAGCTAAAACCAGCTTGAGTTCTGAGCGGGGACCCACCAAAGGGCAGGCTATTTCAGTTGCTGTCCTTTCTCAGAATACTCTTGCGACCTGTTTTTTTTTTTTATGCTCTCCTTATGTTTTAAAGCAAACTAGATCAGATAGGAAGAAAAAAAAAGAACAGACCCTGAGAGAGGACCAGAAAGCAAAAAAAAAAAAAAAAGAGGAAGCGGTTGGGGAAAGGTAAGTTCGGCTTGGCAGTGCTGCTTTAATTTTATTCCCCCATCCATACCTCATATGTGGCCCTGAAGGGGGGACATTACACTCTCAGGTGGTCCAGTAGCACTGTGTAGGCTGCCGTGTGCTGTGTTGTGAAGAGAGGGCCCAGCCAACATGATCATCAGCTTCTGGCAGCTCCTCTCTCCAACTCTCATGAATCAGATCTGCGTGTCATGCAGAGCATTGCCATGGTAACCTGCGGAAACACTTTGATGGCCCTGGACTTGCGAGAGTTGGAGAGGACCTCTGGAAGCGGTCGATCACATGTGCTAGCCCCTGTCTTCATTATATTTTATGCTGAGGGCCTGCAGGGGCAGTGCTGTAACTAACATGGAGAGGGCCCTGGTGCAAGAAATGTTTCTTGGGCCCCCCTCTAGAACAAGGGTGGCCAAAATGTAGATCCTCATGTGTCATACAAGTCCCACAATGCTTTACCTGCTGAGAATCTACAATTTACCCCTCCTTGCAGGGTTGTTTTTAGCATTGTGCAGTGTGTGTGTGTGTGTGTGTGTGTGTACATTTTCCAGTCTTTAATAATTTAAAATAGATAAAACATTACACAAGAAAGTATATTCTGCCCACCAATAAAATGGGCACTGGGATCTAGTGTGGCGACCAATATAGGCTGCACCCACAGACTGGGAGGTAGGGACAAAATCCCCGGCTCCCAAACACTCATTTATCTCCCTGGTGGTTTAACATCATTGGTTTGTGTGTTTGAAGGCATGTTTCTTTATGGAGTATGTGTGTGAATGTTGGGATTTAAATGCAGGCGTGCACTTGTGTGTACTGTATACACTGGTACACATACTCAGGGCCGCCATCAGGGCATGACAACCACAACGGTTGTCATGGTCCTGGGGGGCCCGGACTGCTCAGGTCGTCCGGGCCCCACATTCAGTGGGTACATACCGGGTCGCAGGGGGCCCTGCGACCCGGTATGTACCCACAGGGCCAGCCTCTTCTCCTGGGGGGCCCAGCAGCCGGTCACCTCAGGGCCCCCCAGAGGCTGGCCCTGCAGACACCCGGCGGCTGGGCCAGCGCGCGAGGGAGCACTCTCTGGGTGCTTCCTCTTCAGCTCCCTCGCGCACCGTACTGATGCCGGAGCCGGAAGATGACGTCATCTTCCGGCTCCGGCATCAGTACGCTGGGCGCCGCTGAGAGCTGTGGAAGGAGAAGCACTCCAGGAGAGTGCTCTCAAGACCGTGTCGGGGAGAAAAATGAAATTCGGAGGGGGAAAATGAAATGGAGGGGGGGTGGAGGAATGAAAATGGGAGGGAGGGGGGAGAGAATGAATGGGGGAGGGAGGAATGAAATGGGGAGGGAGAGAAGGAAATTTTGAGGGAGGGAAGGAATGAGGGGAGGAAATGAAATTTGAGGGGGAGGGGGGAGAGGAAGGAAATTTGAGGGAGGGAGGGGAAGGAATGGGAGGGGGGGGAGGAAAATGAAATATGAGGGGGGGGGAAGGAATGAAATTTTGAGGGGAGGGGCAGAGGAAGGAAATTTGTGGGAGGGGGAGAGGAAGGGAATTTGAGGGGGGGGAGAGGGAAGGAAATTTGGAGGGAGGGAGGGAAAGGAAATGGGAGGGGGGGAGAAGGAATGAAATTTGGAGTGGGAGGGGGTAGAGGAAGGAAATTTGTGGGAGTGGGGAGAGGAAGGAAATTTGAGGGACGGGAGAGAGTGGAAGGAAATTTGAGGGACGGGAGAGGAAGGAAATTAGAGGGAGGGGGACAGGAAGGAAATTGGAGGAAGGGAGAGAGGAAGGAAATTTGAGGACGGGGAGAGGAAGGAAATTTGAGGGACGGGGGAGAGGAAGGAAATTTGAGGGACGGGGAGAGGAATGAGGGAGGGGGGAGAGGAAGGAAATTGAGGAGGGAGAAGGAAATTGGAGAGGGAGGGGGAGAAGAAGGAAATTGGAGAGAGGGAGGGGGGGGAGAAGGAAATTGACGGGGGGAGGGGGAGAGATTGACATCCATCACACACAATGCACCCCTTGCACACAGAAAAACACACAATGCATTACACACAGACACACGTACACAAGCAATGCATCCCTTACACACAGCAACACACAATGCATCCCTTACAGACGCACACACTGCATCCCATACATACACAAACTCATCTTGCAGCCCTTACACATACAAACACAGATTCACACAATGCATTCCTTACACACATCAGGACATCCCCCACACACACACTCCACTCCCTGTGAACAAACTCATTGGTGGAACATGAAGGTGGACCCTGGGACCCAGACCTTGAGCTGTGTAAAGGGCCCTCAAAAAAATGGAGCTGCTTCCCGTTCCCAGAACAGTGATTTTTGTGACCACAGTTACAAACAGCCTCCAGAGAGCCTGTTCTACACCAGACCAGTGGAGCCAGACGGCAATCAGAGCCCATCATCATCATCCTCATCTGGTTGTAAGTAGGCAATCTAGTATATTATTCGTGGCACTAATCTCTAATTTACCTCACATTAAAGGGACACTATAGTCCCCAGAACCACTGAAGCTTAATGTAGTGGTTCTGGTGTCTAGCCTGTCCCTGCAGGCCTTTTAATGTAAACACGGCAGCACTGCAGCACTGGTGTTAGTTAACATGGCAGATCATATGGGTGGGGCATTGTGATGTCACATGGGGGGGCGGCAAACTTTACTTTTGACACTGCATCCCTGTGGGCGGATTCGGGGGGGGGGGAGGGGCAGCACTTTGGGCGGACTCGGGTGCAGGCACCGGGGGGCCCAGACCTTGAGCTGTGTAAGGGGCCCCAACATTTCTGATGGCAGCCCTGCACACACTCATTAATACACTGACACACACACAGATATATATATACACACACACTGCTAAAAAAAATAAAGGGAACACTTAAACAACACACTGTAACTCCAAGTCAATCACACTTCTGTGAAATCAAACTGTCCACTTAGGAAGCAACACTGAGTGACAATCAATTTGACATGCTGTTGTGCAAATGGGATAGACAACAGGTGGAAATTATAGTCAATTAGGAAGACCTCACCCCCCAATAAAAGAGTGGTTCTGCAGGTGGTGACCACAGACCCCTTCTCAGTTCCTATGCTTCCTGGCTGATGTTTTGGTCACTTTTGAATGCTGGCGGTGCTTTCACTCTAGTGGTAGCATGAGACGGAGTCTACAACCCACACAAGTGGCTCAGGTAGTGCAGCTCATCCAGGATGGCACATCAATGCGAGCAGTGGCAAGGTGGTTTGCTGTGTCTGTCATCATAGTGTCCAGAGCATGAAGGCGCTACCAGGAGACAGGCCAGTACATCAGGAGACGTGGAGGAGGTCGTAGGAGTGCAACAAC